TTCCGAGTATTCGAATATTTACGCCGCCATATTGAATTTACTCTTAACTAGTTCCCAGTGTATGTCGTCCGAAAAAACACCCGGGTCACAGTTCATGCGAGCGACACCCAAAACGTCTCTCTATATGGAGAAGAATGCGCAGTAATATACTGAGGAATCACCTCCGGGTACAACCATTAAAAACAAAGTGGCTTTGTCCTAGCGAACCATAATTTCTTCCGATGTTGATGTTTCTGTGGACATTCATACTGTATTTTCAGCAAACTTCTCAGATATACAATGTTATATCAAACGATGTACTAGTAAACTGCATCATTCAAAAATTAACAGAGCCTAGAAACTTATCAGTGGAACCTTATATTGCGGTGAAGCTTCAGCTGCACATATTACCACAACCATAAACAGCATCACCCACTTCGCGGGCGTGGCCATTTTTGGACACTTTTCCTATTGAGGAAGGTTAGATCAGCACTCTTGACCACAGTTCGTAAGAGATCGTCAACTCTTATCATCAGTTCGACATAACAAAGCTTAAGTTAACTATACAAACATGAAGAATACTATATACTTGGAAGCAATATACCGCAGTTCTATCGGATGACCGATAATGGACTAATTTACGAATTAGTTCAGCTAACACTGACTTAGCTTAGTTTACATGCTGCGTCGGTGGATAACACCGACGCAGCACCACAGTTTTTTTTAGAGACTTTCTCTTTTAAAACTGACTTACTTTGACTTTTCGGCAAATAATCTAAAACTGACACAGCGAGGCTAGGCACTGGATCAAACTGACGAGATTTCGAGTATCACGGTACTTTTATGGTAGAAATTTGACATGTCCGAAATAGCTGCACTTCTTCCACAATTTGACTTTTGTTTTGCGGCTTTATCGACTGAGTCAAAAGGTGGATTTTAAGAAAATTTGATAATTTTCAGAACATCTAAAAATATAGCTGATAACCGGAAGGTTAGTTTCAAGTCTTGGATAATTTATGGCTTCAAATGGTACTTCGCCAAGTAATTTTGTAATAGCGGTATAGCTGTCATATTTTTGGCCTTGGTTATGCCATATGAAATGTCAAGCTTTGTTCATTGCTTATTGCTGTTATTGTTTGTTTGAAAGATAAATATTTGAGGAGACGAACTGCTTAATGAATAAATAATTGATTATTTTGAATCAGTTTGAAGGTGCTTCCATGCAGTTTCATCACAGGAATCTCATCTCACAGCTATGCTGGTTTTTTAGAGAAAATGTCGAGATCTTTAGAGATAAAGATGATATTTATGTCATTTATATTTGTTGGAAAATTTCGAATAGATTTCTATGCCATTTTTCGGGGTTTTGTATCTAGCCCTATGCTTAGCTGGGTTCCATTTTGGCACCCATTTGATAGTCATTTGAACTCATTTTTCGAAAGATTTTTTATTTTTTTAAGGCATCTCATTCCAAAGTTTTTTTTTCCAGTCTGAAGAAATAATATAGTTGATGTGAAAGTCCAGAGCGTTGTTTATTAAGTGGTTATAAGCAGAAGATCGGGTGCTCTAAAAAGGGATCTTAGAAATATCTTGGAAGACTTAGAGGATTTTTTTAATGCAGCAAGGTGCATTTCCATGTTTGATATTAAACATCAAATTAGCGCGGGTAAGTTCATAGTAGAAGAATTGTAACGGTAAAACATCGGCATTAGTAAACAAAGGAATTGCATGCTGGTTGCGATCAGAAAAGTAATTAAAACCGAGGGTACAAAACCCCTTCGTCAGGGCGAAGGACGAAGGGCTAACACTTGAAACATCAGGTTTTAAACCCTTAACGCTGACCAATTAACGTTATCAACCCGTTGATAATACTGAATTACCCTATCAGACCATAAGTTAAGTATGGTACAATATGAGAAAAATAAATGTTTAAAAAACGTGTGTTGGCACAAAATATCGTATTTTTGAGGTCATTTGTACCACACACAGCTCTCGTTCAGTCACCCAATAGACAAGGAAGAACTCCCTTCGCGTGAACATCATTAGCAGTCTGCTTACGAAGGGAAAGTTTTTAAATTGAAGAATTGACCGTACCTATTTATTTTAGAGGAAAAGGACATTTTTTAAGTCGGAAGTCAAAATTTCACTAATCGAATAAAGTGTGTTTTCCTTGTAAAGTACGTTTAACGTAGGATCGGTTTCTTATTACCGTTGATAACAACAACTAATACTTTCCACAATCAGAAAGCCACAAGTATAAACAACTAACTGTTCAATTATAACCAATAGAACTAAATTTGCATCTTACTCGCTTAACTCTGTATTAACATGCAAAACGCAACAATAGCCATCTGTTAACCGGGTTTTGATCGTCATTGAGCGTTTGGACGGGTAAATATCTACCAGCGCGTTGGGAACGAACTGACACAAACTGAGTTCGAATATTCTTACTGTGGGTACGAATCGACTGAGTGCGAAACGTCCGTGGCTACAAAACGACTGGATTTTAGTGGGCTTCTCTAGCTTCTACGCTCTGTTTTCCGTCTGAAGGTCTCAAGGGGATTCCCCTCTTTGTATTTCGTAGATCAAGCGTACAGAAGCACGTGATTAGAACAAAATTTGAAAGAAACTGGAAATGATTTAGTTAATCAACTGAGTTGATAATATTTTTAGATATAGTCCTTTCTCAGAGCGAATAGAAGAATATAGTGGGTTGTGTGTGATTATATACGTAGGAAAATACCTAGGTAGTTTGGAAAGCTTTAAAACTCTAGAACCAAAATTTATTTTTAACATCGGTTCTCTTGTTCCCCACGGTATGAACATTGACGCAGGAAAACAATTTATTTAGAAACTTACCCACTTTATTCATTTGAAAAAGAAACAGCTCTCTAGAGTATTATTACAAGAATCACATTGGAAAAAAAAAACATTGAAGTTAACGAAGTATATAAGTACTATAGTTATCCACTTTTGTGTTCCAAATGATGTTTTCATGGCAACGTCAAATAAGAACAAATGTGTAGCCAATAAGGACAGATACATTTTCCATCATAAAAGCACCGTGATACTCGAGAGCGCCGTCAGTTTTATCCAGCGCTTAGCCTTACTGAGTCAGTTCGAGATCATTTGCTCAAAATTCAAGGTAAGTCGGTGTTAAAGGGGGTACATTTCTTAAGAAACTGTGGTGCTGCGTTGGTGGGGAATGTCACAAGATAATTTGGTTTTAATAACGGAGTTGATAATGTGAATAAGTCACCGTTAAGAATTTGTAAAGCTAAGCTAGGTCAGTGTTATTTGGACTGATTCCTGAAAAGCCAGTGAGATATTCATCTGTTATCGTTTGCTATACCTTTGCTATACCAAAAGAACGCTGAATGAATATTCATCGCCTCTCTTACCATTATACCGCTCAAAATTTGGCGCCTTTTCAGCTTACATGATTAACTGAGGCCTAAAATACGTCATTTTACAAAATTTGTTATTTCGAAGCAAGGTTATCTTTGTTCCTGTTCTAACTTCTTTCTGAGTTGGTTTCAAAAGTATAACTTGTAGAATTGCGCACGATATCAGAGAAAGAGAAATTATCTGAAGAGCACCGCGCCCACTGTTCCAGTAGGTTCCTAGGAAACATTATGTAACCTTGTTAACAAATTAGTACCCCGTTCACAGGCTAGTTCACGAGCCTCAAGTTATCCTTCAATTGAGAAATACAGAAAAAGGGAAATATATGATCACAAGTTAAGAAAAATTCAAGGCAAAGATAACAACAGTGTTGTCAGTGCAAATGCAAATACAATACTCTGGGTGACCCAAGGGGAAACAATTATGAAATAAAGCATTATAATTCTTTGAATGAAGGGGTACCTTTCTAAAGGAACTGTGGTGCTCTGTCGGTGGGCGAGTATAACAGGGTAATTTAGTATTATCAATTGAATTTATAACGTAAATTTGCCACCTTAAAAGCGTTTCGAGCGTCAGCCCTTCGTCAGCACAGTTGATAATACTCAACTTAGCTGATCATACCAAATTACACATTATAATCCCTTATTTAGTGAAGGATGCCTTAAGGGATGATTAAGTCTTCCATTATTCTTCCTTTGATTAAGTCTTCCATTATTCTTCCTTTGATTAAGTCTTCCATTATTCTTCCTTTGATTAAGTCTTCCATTATTCTTCCTTTGAAGGGTATTTTTAACCGAACACAATCTTTCCACGCAAAACTCTGTCTTGGGGAAGCTTTAAGATGCTTGGTTGACTCATAGTTATGACTTCCCTCCAAATGTTCAGACTTGCGAGCTTCAAAGTTTTTGGAAAGTTTCACTGATACAACTTGCTCCACACAAACGCATTTATTCACGTACCAAAATGGCTTTGAGGAAGCTTTTGTCCTTGTGGTTGAAAAGGCTTATTTGGCGCATTTTCTATAAAACAGATAAGGTGAATTGTGATTAGTGAGTTCAATCAATTTTGAAATGAAGGTTTTGCTGCCGCTCTCACAGAACGGGCGATTGATGAGGATCATTCTTCGATCTTCAAGCAGAAAATTAAGTATTAGGGCTCATCATATTTAAGTGCTTGATATGCGAAATTGAGGATAGTTTTATCCACAAATTTATCGGAACAACCATTCCATTTTAGAAAGGGAACTTTTTTGATCTATTTTACTTTTCAAATCTCTGTTTATTAGAAATGACGACCGCCAATAAAAGACAGCGAGGCGTCGTTAGGAGTCTCAGAAGACTCACCAACATAATAACCCCCTTGGGGTGTTGCGAGAACATTCGAGTGACTTTATATTCATTTCTCGCGCAGTCCAAACATCCCACGTGAGTTATTACGTCGGTAAACCGATAAATAAGCGGTATATTGATTAATTTGTCTGGGTATACAGTTTTTTTCATGTTGATATGGTCAAGTTAAGTTCTTTCTTTATATCAAACTGATGATAAGAGTTGATGATCCCTTTAAAACTGAGGTCAAGAGTATTAAACCTTCCTTCGCAGGAAAAGTGTCCAAAAATGGCCGCGCCCATCAAGTGGATGATGCTGTTTATGGTTGTGGTAATAGGTGCAGCTGAAGCTGCCCCAAAATTTAACGTTTCACCGGTAAGTTCTCGGCTCTGTTCATTTTTGAATGATGCGGTTTACTAGTACATCACTTGATGAAACATTATTATCTGAGAAGTTTTGCTGAAAACACAATACGCGTATCCGATGAAACATCAACACCGGAAGCAAATGGTTCACAGGAAATTGAAATGGCCAGTTGGAATTATCGACGATTTTGATTATAATCAAGTGATCTCATTCCATAAAAGATATATTACATTCCTTAATTATCAGCTTAATTACGATTAGGAACCATTCATTATTCTCGATGGGGGGAGGGGGGGAAAGAGGATCAGAAAAGTTTTTTGGGGGGGTCAGATGTTTTTCAGGGGGAACGGGAGGGGGTCAGTTGTCGTTAAAGGAGGAACTTTTAAAAATTGATTGCGAAATCATAAGAATATCACCGAGCCCCAAGGGGGGAGGGAACGATCAGTTGAATTTAATCGTGTCACATCTGAAATCCTTCCTCCCCACTCAGGCGATAAATTAAGACTAGTAACTTGTTATAGCCAGACTTAATAATTATACTGCAAAAACTGAAATTTGAGTACAAATGTTAATTAAATTGAAATTAAGCAGGATTGCAACCATCACAATTAAATCATCACAAAGAGTTCTTTTTAGTCTCTACCGTTTATTTCGAGCCCTCGCGGAGCACCACAAACCGTATCAAGAAGTCAAATTCCACATCAGCCAAGGACTACGAGCCATCCTTCCTTTTAAGTGAAGTTTGTTGCGCGAGTAAACAAAATCAAAGAAAAAAAATTGATGTTAGCGCACTCCCACAGTTTAGAGAGGAGCGCTATCATCACTTTTTTTTTTAATGCAAGCAGCGGACTTCGCCGAAAAGGAGAAACTCATCGTAGACTACGTCAGCCTGTGTGGACAGGATTTTCAGTGATTCGGAAAGGAAAGTCATAGAAGAACTCTCATTGGGACGCTGGTCTAAAAGTTTTCGTGATACCGCCATAGTGAATCAAGAATAATTCTGTGGTCGAGGTTTTCCCACCATATTGACTAAAAGTTTATTTTCATTGCAGAGAGAAACCAAGAACTATGAGCAAGATGAAAGTAAGTAGTAAGTTTTAAAAAAATATCTTGAAATGCAATATATTTTCAAAACTTCAACGAGCCACAGAAAATTTTCCTTTTTTTTGGGGGGGGGGGCGTGGGGGTCTGAACCCTTTACATCCTAACATCGGTATGTAAAGTCTCCATACCCTTCCGCTATACATTTGATATGGTACTTACATGGAGAATTTGTCTAATTATCAAGAGTTTCTTGAGTTCGTGATCATTTCCTTTATTCTCATGACCTTAATGTTTGATTCAGGGATGACAAAATCGGGAGAAATTAGATGGCTACCACTCTTAAGGACTAAAAGGTTAAAGCAAGCAATATGTACACCAGATCGAGAGGTCACTCTTTCGCACTGTTGTGCTGCACACAATGCCTATCTCATCCCCCAAGAGTACAAATTGGCACCGGCATACTGTCTAAAATACTGGAAGATGGTCAGAGGGATGGGGGGTGGTAAACCTAGTTAGACTAGCCCTCCATCCAGGGGGAGCTGGTGTAGCAAAATTCCTAGTCACTTCTTCTTCTCACAATTCTACTTGATCCTGTGTATGTCTTAATGGTTAGGAGTTAACCAGTTAAAAAAAATGTGTACCATGTAACTTGATATTGTTCGTTCCTGCTTTATGACATCCCTTCTAATAATAAGTCTTAATTTCGCCTTCATTTGTTTCTTTGTTCAGGTCTACTTGAAAAGCTGGACAGCAACGGTGATGGATTTGTCTCTGAGAGTGAACTCAACAAGTTTAGAATACAATGGAACGAAGTTAAGGTTTACGACCTTAACAGTAAGTATGGCCTTTTACACTTGTTAACCCCTTAAACCCTGAGAGTGACCAGCATCTAATTTCTCCTTACAATAATACTGCTAAGTCATTCATTGAGATAACAAGAATTAAAGAAATAATCTCCAGGCTCTGATTGTTAAACGAATTCTCCTTGTCAGTACCAAAGAGAATGTGCAGAGAAGAGAATAGAGAATATCAGTGCTCATGTCAGGATGTGACGGGTTAAGGGTTGGAAGGGTGAGCGTTTGATTGAGCCTCCTAAAACAGGTGCATGATAAAAAAAATAGGTCCGCAATGGGAAACAGGTGTTCAGTTCTAGAATTTTCAGTTTATGTCTTGAAACCAGTATTTTCTGAATTTCTTGTAAGTTCTGAACAAGTCCTCTACTAATTTTAGTCTTTTACCCAAAAGAGGGGAGGATACTGTCGACAAAGTGTGAGAGCAAATTTGTTGTTATCGTTCAGGAATGAATTTCTGTTTAGTGTGTTTCATTTAAACCTTAACACCCTAACATCAGTATGCATATTCTCCATACTGTTCTTTGTGCATTTCCTAAGGTGCTGACAAGAAGAATTTGTTTAACAATCTAGCGCTTCTTAATTGATGATCATTTCCTTTATTCTCATGACCTGAATGTGTTATTCAGGGGTGATATTGTGAGGAGAAATTAGATGGAAGTTACTCTGAATGTTGAGAAGCTCAGTCTTTATGGTTTTCTTTCCGAAGATGACAAAAAATTAAGTGAAGAGGAACTGGACATCCTGCAGGCAGTTTCCAAAAACGTCAAAGAGACAAATTACCTCAATCACTTTAGGGAAGCTGACAAGAACCATGATGGATATGTCACAGCCGCAGAGCTGAAATCGCGATTCCAAGCTCTTGGAAAAAGCTATACTTCGCAGCAAATGATTAATATTATCAATAGCAAAGACCAAGATGGAGATCAAAGGTTTAACTACAAAGGTAAGAATTCACCATTTAAATTTAAAACAGATACATGCAGCGAGTCAGGAAATTTAGAGTTGTTTTTACAAGGACTGCAAAAAATAATCTTAAAAAAAATGTGACGTAAAAATACCGTGATGTATGGTTCACCATAATTTATGCAGTTTTTTCAATGTGTGCTAAGTTAAGCTACGCAAAATGTTTTTACCAAACGACAACCAAGTAGCTACAGCGTGTTAAATGCACGAAAGGGAAAATAAAGAGCTGAAGCGCAGTGGTTCAGGAAAACGGCAAACACTGAAATTTTGTGCAAATGCTTTCTGCCGTTTGCTTAGTAAACTGAAGAGATTTGCATATACTGCGAACAAGATGTTTGCATTTGTAGACCTCTAAGGATGATGGGATCGTAGGAAAATTTGCCAAAATCAGAGTTCAATTTTTGCACTTTGCCATTTGCCCTTGTCATAAAGTCATTAGTTGATGATGGTCTTGGAAAGTCCACTCGTGGCTAAGGGACGTGTATCTTGTTCAGTGTATGGGCTACAGACATACGACGACAAAATACTTCTTTAACTTTCATCGTAACTCTATGTTATTTTTCCAGTTACCTTTAGTTTTTTTTGGTTTGGATGCATCTTGTTGTTTGTTTTTTTCTGTATTTCAACCATAACGGAAAGACTTCTTTGAATGAGAGCTGATTATCTTTCCTGGTAGAAAAGGCTGGGATTTAATTGTTGTGAAATAGAAATAGTCTTATAGAAAGATTTTTTGCGTCTTGTCACGAGTGTGAGACAAAGAAAAAATTCTGAGTCCTAAGCTCGTGACAAGACGAAAAAATCTTCCTCTATTTCTTTACCGAGCTCAAACCTCACCATCTTTCTATTCTATTCACAAAAATGGCCTTCTCTGTCTTTTTTCATTAACCTCACATAAAAACCTTTAAACTCTGGCAATGATCCCCATTTCTTTCTTTCTTTTTTTTTTAGAGTTTAAAAAAGCGTTGTTTAACGCGGTGTGAGATCTGAAGGACCCCAGATCACCCTGATGTGTCCTCAGCATTGTGATGCAGTGAAGGAAGATGATTCAGATCTTTTCTTGTGAAAACTGCTTACCTTCCAGCTTATCTGAAAGGTTAATAAAATAGTGGTGCAGTATTCTAGACTGTTATTATTTTTTTCCTTTTTCCATTGGTCTGTGAATTGCGTAGGCAACTGCCCACCTACCCCTCCCCTAAGCCAACAACAGTCTATTGATAACAAGTTAGGGTTAAGTTAGGGTTAATGTTGGGTTAGGGGAGGGGTAGGTGAGCAGTTGCCCAGATACTGATATTGATCCAAAATAGCTTTAACCCCTTAACCCCTAAGAGTGATTAGCTTCTAATTTCTCTTTACAATATCAGCCTTGCATTACACATTAAGTTAATGAGAAAAAAGTAAATGATCACCACCAAAAAGCAACTCTTTCTTGTTAGGCAAATTCTCCTTGTCACTGTCATACGAAAATTATAGAGAACAGTGAGTTTAATTGTTGCTGGTGTACTTGGTTACAACCTTGATTCCTTTGCTGACGGCGTTTTTAGCCAGTTCACCGGGCAGAAGCAGCCTGATGGCAGTCTGGTCCTCGCGAAAACTGGTGGTCGATTTCTTGTTGTAGTGGGCAAGGCGAGAAGATTCCTTGGCGATGCGCTGTCGTTGACGAACGAGTTCACGATGCCCATGGCTTTGCTGGAGATACCAGTGTCGGGGTGAACTTGCTTCAACGCCTTGTAGATGTAGATAGCATAGCTTTCCTTTCTCTTTCCTCTCCTCTTCTTCTTTCCATCAGCAATGGCTTTAGCGGTAAAGGTAACATTAAGGGAACCAAGTCTGGGAGCCGCTCATCCCGAGTAGGGCTTCAATTTCCAGTGGGTCGAATCCACCGTCTTCTCCGCAAAGGCAATTACGCTGAGCGAGTTGTGGAGCGCCTATGCTCCGGTGTACTTGGCTGCCGTGCTTGAATATTTGAGCGCTGAAATCCTCAAGTTGGCGGGTAACGCTGCTCGTGAGAACAAGAACACGAGAATCATTCCTCGTCACCTTCAGCTAGCTGTCTGTAATGACGAGTAATTGAACAAACTGCTGTTCTTTAGACATTTCCTAAGGTGCTGACAAGGAGATTTTGTTTATTGATCAAAAGCTTCTTTTGCTGGTAATCATTTTCTTCATTCTCATGAACCTAATGTGTGATTTAGGGGTGATATTTTAAGGAGAAATTAAATGCTAGTCACTCTTAGGGGCTAAATGGTTAAGAAAAATGAAATTTTGAATTCCTTTTTGTGAAAGGTACCAGACTTTTTCTTTCAAAGCAAGAGGAGCGCACTTCACTGATCTCGAGATCTTGCGCTTCTATCACAGAACAGGTAACCTTCAAAGTTTAAGTTTTCCTCGTAATCTTCGAGAAAAGATGCTTCTTTTATTCGAGCGCAATCACGTTGCGCTGTCAATACCGTCTAAAACGTTTGCGCGCAGCTTTGTGTAAGATGAGGCGCTCACATAAAAATGTGGAAGCGAATTTGGTACTTTCGAAAACGCTAGGAAAATCCGCTCGTTTCTCGTCTCTGGACTCTGTAGCTAACATTTGCCAAGATTCACATTTTACGTATTTCTGAAGGGGGGTCAAGGGCACCCCAGGACCCTCCCTTGCTTCGTCCTTGTATTCAAGTCTTTGTCTTTCCTTTGCTTTTGAAGGAAACCATTCGCAAATACTTTTGATTGACAACTCTTTCCATAGTGTCATGCGATCGAATGCTTTCTAACTGAATAACATTGAGACTTTCGAACATCTTTCGCTTCGTGTAGAAAAAAAAAGCAAAATAAAAAGACGTCAGCATGCAACCCACAGACCCACGGGCAAATGGATCGGGCGTATTAGCCTACAAAGCGCACGCCTTGTAAAGCTATGTTATAATGAACTATTCCATAGGAAATGTAAATGAGGAAACATCTCCGAAACAAAAGCTAACAAAAAATTACGGACATGTTTTGTCTCCTGAAGAAGAGTGCACCGCTTTAAGAGGGAAGTTTTCCGCATTGCAGCGAACATATAGCTTACTCCTAAACATAAAATTGTTATCTAGCAGACATTTTAATGAAAATATTTCACTGCTACACTAGTCATTATATATGGGTTTTTGATGCCGAGATGCATCATGACGCATGCAGCCCCTAAATGATCTGGCGGGACTCGATCCCAGGGTCTTACCGGTATTGTCTCCAAAATTGGCGGTCACGCTCGCGCTTCGTGAAGAGTAGACAAGCTCTCTCTTGGTGTGATGTTAAGTCGGGCACTCCATAACCAGACTGAAAAACGAGTCAGTTAAGAGCTTAATGTTTTATTTTCCACCCAAAAAATGAGTTATTACAAGGGATCACGACGAAGAAGCAGAAAGAGAAGCAACCTCGGTAGCGAAACACTTGGTGTTAGCAACGTGAACAGTTCGGAAACTTCTTATGTGAGTCTCAAGATTCATAACAGTACAACTCTAAGTCAATACACAATGCCACAGTACTATGGAAAAAAATACTTTAAGTAGTCTCAACATAGGCCGTCATTCCGTTGGTGAAATTATCGGAAGGCTAAATTCGAAGATCGGGGGTTCGATTGTTTAGGAGGACTCACAAATTGTAATTATCCTAAGCTCGTGACAAAAACGAGTAACGTCCTCATTTATCCTCCAGGATCTAGGAGTTAGGTAGTATATTGTACATCCCTTCGGGTGGTCGGTATATCAAGGGTTAATGCTCAGGGCTGAAAGGTTGTCTGTTAAGATTAGCTTTGATGGCTGCAAATGGCTGGATGAAGTTGATATTACACAATGTATATTGGCTCGTTTTTCCTTGAGCAGTGTAGCAAAATGAAATTATTTTTTCTTAACCCTTTAACTCCTAAGAGTGATTGATATGTTATTTCTCCTTACAGTATCACTGTGTAATAAAACATAGAGGCCATAAGAATAAGGGAAATGATCAACGACCAGAGAGGCTCTTGATTGCTGATCACACTTTCCTCGTCAGTATCATGGGAAGTTTATAAAGAACAGAACAAAGAATATGCCTACTGCTGCTAGGGTTTAAAAGGTTGAAGATGGTCATCATGGGTTAAAGTTCATGGCAACACTCCACTCAAAAAATATCTCAAGAGTTACCCCCACCCCCTCTCCCCCTGTGAGGTAGTTGCATTATCTTCACATACACCTGTTTCTGGAAGAGGTTGATTTATTTAACCCTTCACCCCCTAACATCAGCATGTATATTCTCCATACTATTCTCCATACTGTTCTCCATACATTTCCAAAGAGGCTGACAAGGAGAATATGTGTAGCAATCAGGAGCTGCTTTAGTGATCATCTTCTCTATTCTCATAACTTCATGTTTGATTCAGGGGTGATATAACAGGGATAAATTAGATGCTTGTCACTCTTAGGGGCTAAAGGGTTTGGTATAACCTCCTGCTTTGTCTTCAACATAGAGCCTCTTCACAACATGTTATCTTTTTACTATATTTAGAGAAATGCTGATCTAGAGGCAATCGATTTATCCAAAGATGGGCAAATGCAGAAGAAAAGACAGAAGAGTAGTGACAATTCTGAGATGAAACAAGCCAAAAAATCAAAAAGAAACAAAGCACTAAGTTCTGGTAGGAGAGCACAAGAAGCTACAAAAGTTCCTGGCCAAACTGTGAAAAGAAAGATCAGAAAGAAAGATAAAGATATGAAAGATACTGTTCCACAGACTACCACTGGTACAAAAAGGAAAAAACAAACAAGAGAAACTGATTCAACACCTTTATTTGAGCCTGAGAGTAGTTTGGCTGATGTAGAAGATTCAGAAGCTATGGATTATACTGAGGAACTCTCGGAGCTCATGAGTGACCATGAGTTCTTACGACAGCAAATCAAAATACTTAAGAAGCCATTCCAGTTAGAGAAGGACTGCCCCTCTTTATCAAAGATTAAAGGTAATGGCTTTACCCCCCAACACCTTAAAATCAGTAGACATATTCTCCATACTGTTCTCTGCACACTTTCTAAGATACTGTTAAGGGGAATTTGTTTAACAATCAAGAACTTCTGTAGTTGGAAATCATATCCTTTTTTTCTCATGGCCTTGATTTTTGGTCCAGCAGTGATACTGTATAGAGAAATTATGTACTGGTTGACAACTTATCGTTACAACTTATCTTTCAAACTTATTAGAACTTAAACAGAAGTTGAGAAAGATGTGTTTTTTTTGTCTTGTCACGAGCGTGGGACAAAAGAAAATTTTGAGTCTCCATCAGGGCTCGAAATTAGCACTCGCAAACTCGCAAAATGCGAGTGGTTTTTCGAAGTTGCGAGTCTAAAAAATATCCTCTAGCAAACATTTGCTAGTTAGATTCCTTCTTTTGCTAGTAAAAAAAATCTTACTAGCAAAACTTTGCTAGTAGACAAAAAAGTTAAGTTCGAGCCCTGCTCCATAAGGAGTTGAACCTTAGACCTTCAGATTCCACATTTTGATGCTCTGACCACTGAGCCACAGAGACTCCACAGTGAACTAATATTGGTCTTTAGCCAGAAGTTGTTGATTACTTTTTCATGTAATGATTGTTGTGGCAAACTTTATGGTCTTCTTTTTTTTTTCTAGAATTATTTTTTTATTGAATTTATAAATTTATTTACTTTTTTATTTCAAGAAAAAGATGCCAAGCACATTCCTTTACAAGTTATCAACAATGCATTGAGAAAAGGTACTGATAGTCATGGCATGATCTATGATGGTCACAGAAGTATTAATGACTCTAGTTAACCCTTTAACTCCTGAGATCTCACCAGTAATTCTCCTTACTGTCTGCTATGCAGTTCTTGTGATGTTAGTTTTGAGAATTTGGTATTGGATCAACAAATAATCCCCTAATTAATATTTGTCTTTATTCTCATCACTTGTCTGCTTGATATTGTATTGATATTGTAAGGAGAAATTCTGTCTTGGTCACTCATGGGAGTTAAAGGGTTAAAGACAGTTGCAAATTCTCAAGATCCCAAATGTTTCAAAAAGATGATTCAAAACCTTTCTTCAAGAAGCTAATTCATCCTGGAGGATGTGAAAAACATGGCGTATTCCAGGCATTCAGTCAATAAAATACAGTGCTATGGTAAATGGTGCAGTAGTTGCAGAGGAGAAAAACGCCAAATTCCTCATCTGTGTTTTTATCAAAACAAATAAGTACAGTTTAAAAAAAGGGGAAACACTCCTTTTTCATTTTATACACATGTAAATTTGATGAAGCAACCAATATTAAAAACATAATGTTAAGAAAAACATTTCTTTTATTTTATATATTACCAAAAAGACTCCTTATCTGTTGTGCCATTTTATTTTTGCCTTTTTGTCCTTGAAAAGTCCCAAGATTCTTAAATTTCAGTTACATTAAAATTTGATGCAGATCAATTTATCATAATTGATATTTTCCTTGATTCTTATATGTCTACATGATGTTGTATAGATTAGTTGATGAAAATTGCCTCCTTTTCCTTTAAATTTTTCCTTTTTTCAGTCAATCATAAAACAGAGGATGCCATTATGCGAAATCTAAACAGACTTGCACAGAGAAAACTACTTGAAAATTTATCTGCTGCAAGACAGGATTCAAGGAGCAGTCCTAGATCTGATCAACAGCTAAAAAGGTAATTATTTTTAGAAAATATTGGTCTATGTTTTTGTAGATTTGTGCTTTTACGTGTTGTTTATATCTCAGTGTTGAGTGTCAGCTCACACTAATTTCTGCATAACAATAAATAGCTTATAAGAAAGTCAACATTATTAGTGCTGTGACACAGGTGTTTCTTTTCCTGCAAAAATGTTTGTGGTCTTGAGCAAAGCAGGCTGGCAAGAGGTGCAGGAGGGGTCTGGCACTTGTCTAGTTATGAGGGGCCCCTATAACTAATTCAAACCTGGTTGTGCCACAATCAGGGTCTGCTCACAGGCTATTGTATGCAATTATTGTGCCAATCAATAATAATTATTTGAAGCATCAACAACAACAACCCCCCCCCATGGCAACCCCTGGCACATTTGACTGTTGTCTGTACAACAGTCAAATTTAATACCCAGCTGCGATCTGCAGGAATGCACTCTTGCCCTTTCTAGGAGGATGAAGGGTCCTAGAGAATTCAAGCCTATGAAATAATTGAAAGTGATTTTTTTTCTTTTTTTTGGTAGATATAAAGAAGTGCAGGAAAGAGTGATGAATCTCGAAAAAGTTCATCAGGAAATCAGAAACCTACATGCTCAACATAAGGTAACATGCATTTACACCCTAACATCAGTATGCATATTCTCCATAATGTTCTTTATACATTTCATGAGATAATGACAAGGAGAATATGTTCAAAAATCAAGAGCTGCTAGGTGATGATTTCCTTTATTCTTGTGACCCTAATGTTGATTCAGGGGTGATATTGTGAGGAGAATTTAGATGCCAATCATTGTTGTGGGTCAAATGGTTAAGGATCATCAGTAAGCACTGCCATAGTAAATAACTGGTGCCATAGTAAATAACTGGCATGAAAGCAGATACCTCAATCTAAAGTAGCTTTAACCTGCAGTGCAGGTGTCTTATTAGGGCAAGCTAACATTATAAGCGTGCAATCTTTTATCTGATCTGCCATGTTTGATCTTTGATTTGGAGTTAGAGTGGACAGTTGGGTTACGGGGCAGGGGAAGGGCAAGAAAACTCCCCTACCCCCACACCTCTCCTTATTTTTGACAGTCAACCACCCCCTTGGTACAAATTTCTTTCTCCCCCCAGCCTTCTGCTGCCATTAAAATCAAAGATGGTGGCCAAAATTTTTGTTAAGAAAATACCAAGCACTTGCTTGCCAAAATTATGCCTGCTCTGTAGGCTAAAGTGGCTTCTGTGAGTATTATTGTGATGTTCCTTTTTAAGAATTCTGACAACTAAAATCAAAGCTAACAGCAGTAGGAGCCCTGAAAAGTATTTGTAGATTCTTGGTGGCTTTCCTTAAAATTATCTGATTTAGTTTATTTTGATTCATTGACCTTAGTAAAGCTGTTCACTTGTACATCTTTCCATTGCTAGGCTATTGGTAGTTTTGTGTCGCAGCTGGAAGGCGACATTGAGAAATTTGACAACAAAGAATTGGTGGCAGAGATAAGAAGAACCAATAACTTACTAGGTATGTTTAGTACAAGTTTGGTAGACACAGTATCCCGACATTAGGGATACTGGTCTCTCTCTCTCTGGCCAATCATTCTCTTCTGTTCTTGCAAAAGACAGTTTACAATCATTCTCTTCTGTTCTTGCAAAAGATAACAGTTTACCATAGCACATATTAGGACTTAAAAGGACTTGAAAAAGACAGTTTACCATCACAGTACTCTCTTCACCCAGGGTGCAGTTATTGGAAAGGCGAAAAGTGATAATCCAGAATTAAAAACCTAACTTGTCCTTGATTTCTCTTGAATTATAGCACATATTAGGACTTACATTTTCAAGAGTTTTACCTTAAGTGTACTTGAAAAACACAGAGGGTAAAAATAAATACAATTAAAATTGTCTGAAAAGCTACAAAACTGAATCAAAAATTGTTGGAAAATCCTCAGTTAACTTAATTGTGTTTTGAATAGCAGGGGCCAAAATCATAAATGTGCATCAGCATTGACATCCATGATAAAAGGTTAGGAGGTACCTCTGTGTTGGACCAGCAGCCCATCAAAGGGGAAAAACTGATATACTGCTGGTCACTTCATGTAATGATAACCAGAATAGGTTTTTGGTATGATGGGCCCTCTGACATGTAACCTGATGTTATCTTTATCTGTTGTTCTAACAATTCTTGCCTCTGTTTTCCTTTCTATTTTTCTGGTAACCAGGTAGTGCCAATTTGAAAAATACAAACAAGGACAAAGAGATTAATGGAAACCCAGGTCTGGAGCCCAGATTTTTATCCTCATATTGTTTTAGTTATCTTGCAAGTAAGCTCCTCTAGGTGATGCAGAAACATGTACTGATAGATAGAAAGTGCCTGGTGTTTCAGACCCTGGTCAGCCCTGTCTCGGAAATGTTGTGGTCACTCATTATGTTGAATACACTAGTTATGAAGGATAAGCATGTGTCTCATGTGGTAGTTACTTCCAAACTGGATCAATACATTTTGACTGCATACCACTGGTTTTCTTCAAGTGATGATTTCCACTGGATATGCCTTGCGTTATGAAGCCTTTTGCTCCGCTGTGATTGGCTGGTTCTTGACAGTTATGTTTAGGGGCATTTCAAAGACATCCTCCTGTTGTTGGTTGTTGTGGAAGGTCAAATGGGAGTTTGTGCTCGAGCTATTTTAACCAACTACTAACTCAATTTTCAAAACTATTTGAAGATTTTTTTTTTTCAAAAGAATGATTTCTTTATTATTTTCCTTGTAGATTCCAGGCCTGAAGTGGCTTCGACAGATAATGATGATCCTTGTAGTCATGAACAGCTGGTTCAGATACTTTTTAAAGACTGATGATATATTTGTAAATAAAGAAAAATTTCATACAATGAACTGAATTGTTTTGTTTTTATTGGTTCTTACGGCATGATATATTGAAGAACAGAGGCATAATTTCATGACATCAATAGATAAATTTTGGTTTTAGACATGTAGTAAAAAAAATAAATCCTATGGGGTTGGGATAAGGAGTCCCCCATGGATTGGCTAGTGCTTCAGTGTTGTTCTTTCCCATTGCCTCCCTGTTTTAAAATGTATTGATATTGTAGGGAGAAATTTTTTTGGTTGCCCCAGGAGTTAGGGGTTTGAACTGATTTTCACTTTGACTTAACTATAAGTGCAAGCCATTACAAGGAGATGTGTCAATTAACAAACTTTGGAAATTGCCTGAGAATATGCATCACAACCCATTGTTATTAATTGTCTAAGAGTACAGCTCAAGTCATATTTTATAGTTTATTTAATAATTTCTTAGACATTAATGACTTTTTTCACGAAATCCCTTTAACAGCCAAAGCTCATAATGGAAGTGAGGTTGAGGGTTCTTCGTGTCTTTAGTTTTATGTGCACGTGTTACGTGCCTACCTCCTACTTACTAAAGGTTCTTGGCATTGTGGGTATATACATCCAAGCATCCAAAATGGTGGACGAGAAGTTTGAGCCAGGTGAGAGTAATGCAAATTGTAATCATAATATGGTCGGTATACCTTTAAAAATGCACCAGGAAATTTCATTTTATCGCTAATGTGTTAATGAGAAACCCCTTTTTATTTTAAGTGATGAAAGTGACTGCTAAAGAGATGGCGGACGCGAAACTTCCTTTGGCGGCCAGAGATTACTGTGCCCACTTACTCATTCCTCTTCTGAAGTGCAGAAAGGATACTTACTATTTACCATGGAAGTGTCATCATGAGAAGCATGCTTGGGATAGGTGTCAGTACGATGAGTAAGTATATGCAACAGGGGCGAATGGGCGAAATGTTTCACTGACTTAATATCTTGGTAGCTTTCATTATGGCAGGTCCTCTTATAAGTCGACGCTTATTTTGTTGATAAATTCCTCTTTATGGCTCGAATTCAATGGCTAGATTAATTGGGAATACACCTTAAAACAGAGTTATTAGAAGGGAAAAAAGAAAAGATTCGTAACTACGGAATTTTTTGGACAATGTTATATCGTAGTTATTGATGCAAGGACATGTATTGTGCGATATGTGTTCAAGCAGTGATCGAGTATGTCAACTGGTCTGGATACAGAACAGATTTCCTTCACTCCCCTACTGATTTCTAAGGCTCTCACATTAAAAAAATGAGCTAGGATAAATAAAGAATGATGCAGTGAATTTCTCTTCATCCCCCCCTCCCTCCACTTTGTGATCCACGTAATTCACTCTTTTGATCAATATCAACGTTCTCTTTCCCATCATAACAAGTCCACTGCAGAAATAGCAACCCAACTGCTTGTAAGTCATTAGTGTTAAATAAGAAATACTATTCCCAAGTGAAATATTGAGTGGGATTGCCTTGATATGTCGCATGTAGTGCATACCATTATGTTGAACTATGTTCAACTAACATTTCAATTTTGGCTTATTTTTGTACTTGTTTGGAACACTTAAACTTTACAAACATGATCTCTGCCATGAATCAGCTATAGGAAGCACAAGGGCTACTGCAATTCCCAATGTCTGGGAAACTTAGTGTCAATTAATAGTAAACTATCTAAGTATCCATGCATTTAGCATATTTTAAGGTAAGCTCTGTCTCCTTTTTGAAACAGCTACATGTACAGAGTGAGGGAAAAGGAACGCAGGAAACTTCAGCAGTCAGCAGAGTAAAACTCTACCAACTTTCTCTGCTACCAGTCTGTGACCTCCTGAGCCATCTTATGACAAATGATGATACTTTTGTATAAAGACAGCACATGAATTTGCAGAACCTCTGATGGTGTAAATTGTTATAAGGGAATTAAAAGTAACCATGTTTTCCAAATAAGACAGTTTTGTTCTTTTACTCATTTAAATTTATTAGGAGATTGTAAGAGTCACTGTCTCCTCTGTAAGAGTTATGAGCTCATTCATCAAAACTTTCTCACAACACTTAACCTGAGGGAGGGACACACCGAAGAATGTACAAGTGGGAGGATTCATTAACTGGGAGACTATGAGAGTCATGTTTGAATTCCCTTAACCATTTCAATCTGAAGATTTCATTCACAATTCTTCCTAATTAATAAATTTTTCTTTATTTTTGTCACTTGTCTGCTTGGTTATATATTGATATTGTAATGAGGAATTCTGTCTTGGTAACCCATGGGAGTTAAGAGTTAACAATAAGATTTAAGAGTCACTGTTCCATTTACAAGAGTCATCTGGGCTCCTTTGACAACATTTTGAGTTTTGTACTACACCTAACTGAAGGGAAAGGAGGCAGGCTATGTGAGTTGCATATGAACCCTGATAAGTCTGTTGCTTAAATCAGGAAAATGTGAACAATGACTCTTCATTTTGCTTATAACCATGCAGTCAGGTTTCTTTCTCAAAATTCCATTTTGCTTATCTAAGCAACAAGGACAACCCCACTCTTGTCCATGGTTGGTTTGTTTTCAAAATTGAGATCCCTTGCCCTTAGAATTTACTTTGAAATGGCTCAGAAGAAATATTTCCGAGAACAGTGCAAGAGATCATAATGCCAGAACAGACAACCACATCTTAAAATTCTCCATCTCTACCATTGGAAATGTATAGAGAACAGTATGGAGAATATGCATAATGATCTTAAGGTGTAATGGGTTAAAGAAAAACCACTTCTGATTGAGATTTTGTTATGTCTTTTTAAGTACTTAAACTTAATCCTTAATCCTCAACTTTGAAAAATAAAATATATATAATTGTTGATATTGATGAGGATTATTCAAGTTCCAGAATGTAATGTCTAACAGGTTTATAATTCAAGAACTACCGCAAAATATCATCTGGCATATTGGTGAGACTGATGTCATAAAAATACAAGTTCAAACAGCCCACCATATGCCAGACAAGATTTTTCCTCAACACCATGATTTAAAATAACTGAAACTAGTCAGACAATATTGTTCCTTGTTACTTTGTCTAAAATTGAAAAAGTGGAAGGCAATCTGACCAGTTTAGAGATAAAATGTGAACAATAACTCTTCATTTTGCTTATTATCATGCAGCCAGGTTTCTTTCTAAAAATTCCATTTTGCTTATCTAAGTAGCAAGGACAACCCCACTCTTGTCTATGGCAGCTCTAATGCCTTGGGTTGTTTTCAAAAGTGAGATCCATTGCCCTTGGAATTTACGTTGAAATGGCTCAAAAGAAATATTTCCGATAACAGTGTGAGAAATCATAATGCCAGAACAGACACCCACATCTTAAAATTCTCCATCTCTACCATTGGAAATGTATAGAGAACAGTATGGAGAATATGCATAATGATCTTAACGTGTAATGGGTTAAAGAAAAACCACTTCTGATTCAGATTTTGTTGTCTTTTTAAGTACTTAAACTTAATCCTCAACTTTGAAAAATAAAATATATATAATTGTTGATATTGATGAGGATTATTCAAGTTCCAGAATGTAATGTCTAACAGGTTTATAATTCAAGAATTACTGCATAATATCATCTGGCATATTGGTGAGCTGGTGGAACTGATATCATAAAAATACAAGTTCAAACAGCCCACCATATGCCAGACAAGATTTTTCCTCAACACCATGATTTAAAATAACTGTAACTAGTCAGACAATATTGTTCCTTGTTGCTTTGTCAAAAATTGAAAAAGTGGAAGGCAATTTGACCAGTGGAGATAAAACGTGAACAATAACTCTTCATTTTGCTTATTATCATGCAGTCAGGTTTCTTTCTCAAAATTCTATTTTGTTTATTTAAGTAACAAGGAAAACCCCACTCTTGTCAATTGCAGCTCTAATGCCCTAGTTTGTTTTCAAAATTGAGACCCCTTGCCCTTGGAATTTACTTTGAAATGGCTCAGAAGAAATATTTCTGAGAACAGTGTGAAAGATCAGAATGACAGAACAGACAACCACATCTTAAAATTCTCCATCTCTACCATTGGAAATGTATAGAGAACAGTATGGAGAATATGCATAATGATCTTAAGGTGTAATGGGTTAAAGAAAAACCACTTCCGATTTAGATTTTGTTGTCTTTTTAAGTACTTAAACTTAATCCTTAATCCTCAACTTTGAAAAATAAAATATATACAATTGTTGACATTGATGAGGATTATTCAAGTTCCAGAATGTAATGTCTAACAGGTTTATAATTCAAGAATTACTGCATAATATCATCTAGCATATTGGTGAGCTGGTGGGACTGATATCATAAAAATACAAGTTCCAACAGCCCACCATATGCCAGACAAAATTTTTCCTCAACATCATGATTTAAAATAACTGTAACTAGTCAGACAATATTGTTCCTTGTTACTTTGTCAAAAATTGAAAAAGTGATGATGCTATATATTAGTTGTACATGCAAGTTTTGAAGCACTCCACATCTGCAGTGACCACATTGTGAGATAAACAATTATTTCTCTTTGGAAAGTGTTATTTACTGCAATAAAAAACCACAACCTATTTTACAATATAAAGTTTTAAATTAATGTCCCCTTTAATATGTAAATTCTTCTGGACTACTAAAGAAAAAAGTGACAGACACAATGCAATGGTTCATCCTGGTTGTTACCATGCTTTACCATAAATAATACACTAGGAAACACTGCCTTGCAAAACTGAGGTTCCTTAATTAAAATTTTCCATCAGAACCTCATGATGTTATAACCTGTTGTGATGAAATTCCAGTTATATGTTGCACATTCTTTAGCCCAAGAATAACGAAATAAACCAGATGTAATGGAAATATTTGTAATGAGGGCCCTGATGTAACAAATACCCTTTTGATCTACCAGTAAAACTGCATAACAAATAGTGGGAAAAAAACAACAATAAATCAACCCCCCTCCCACCCACCTTCCATATTACAATGGATATATCTTTCTAAAAAATTGTGTTTTAAGTCTTTGAAGAATGAAAACTAGATCCTTGATGAAAATGTAATTATAGCATGTTTTAAAAAAAAAAATTATTGTGAACATGACCAGAGCTGGACAAGTGCCACAAATACACTAGGTTTATACTTCAAGAATTACTGCATGTTATCATTTTAAATCATCATAATCAAAATAACTTATCAAATAAATTATACCAGTTTGTAATTCAAGAATTACTGCATGTTATCAACTGGCATATTGGTGAGCTAATGGAACTGATATCATAAATAACAAAAGATCAACTAGTTTACCTTGTGCAAGACAGTATATTGTGTTACACCAATCCTGCTATATACTTTTCAGTCCATGCATAAAACCAAATACGAACAAGAGAAGTTTCTGATAATCTTATATTGCAAACTGTACCCAAGAATATCCTGTTCCATCAGATTCATGCTTGAACAAACTTTATAATTTCACTTTAAGTTACAGTATTAAAAAGTTGTTTGAATCAGCAATATCTCTTGCTGTGTCTCAAATAAATTAATCCACAGCCCAAGAAAATCCACTTTACATTTGAAAAGAACATTATTACAGATATCATATTTATTTTCTGCTTTTTCTGCCAAATCTTCTTGAGTACTCTGAAAAGGTCCTTCAACCTCTTCCTGTCTTTGGGTTGCTTCTTGTTCATGAGGTAACCAACATGGCTACTAAGGAATTGTTGCTGATGTCTGTCAAAGCAGCCTCAAAACTTTAAACAACAACTCTGCACTTAACGAATGCCTTCTTTGGTGATTTGCAGCAGCATGTATCACAGGAACTAAAACATTGTCAAGATCCACCATAACATTAGCTGGGAGGTGCTGCTGATTGCTTCCCGCAAGATAACCAACCTTCGAGAGATTAAAGAAGTGACAAGAACAATTTTATTAATTGCACATAACCTAGCATGGCATCACAACTGCAAAACACAACATTGCCCATTTAACTGCCAAGATCTGATTGTTTATTCTCCCCTCTAGTTGCTACAGATTTCCTTGTTAATTTTTATGAGAATTCGATGTTTAATCAAAACAATAACTTCTACCTGATAAGTTTCAGTATTCTTATTACCTATTCACTGAATAATGCATGGGTATTGTAGGAAGAGGTTATATGATAATCACCTCTAGGAGTTAAAGTTAAAGAATTTGCAGTATGGGAAGTGCTTAAACTTAGTCCATGATGAATATGGATATATCACAACTTAGTAAAAATACATTAACAAATGATGACACAAATTGATTATAGTTGTACAAGACCCAGCTTAAGTAAAAAAGGGTCATACTTTAAGAATTATAGACAATTATTCCACTAGTGCACATTGGATATGAGATGATAGATAGCCAACAAGCCTGGGTTGGCCATAATCATCTCATATCCAACAAGCATGTGTGAAGTAATTGTTTTATTAAAAAAACCTCAAAATATAAACAAATCCTCCCAACTTAATTCTATAAGAACAAGTGTAATGTTACAAAGTACAATCCTATTTGTAGAGCATGGTGTCATGGCTCATAACCCATGATGGCTATGCCAATGAAAACTCTTGAATTGCATAATCCAATGAACTAGTTTTTAATAATGCATATTATCATCTGGCATATTGGTGAGCTGGTGGAACTGATATCATAAATAATAAGAGTTCCCACAGCTCACCTTATACCAGACAATATTCTCCCTCAACACCATGATTTAAAATTATTGTAACTAGTGACAAGTGTATTTCATCTTGCCATGAATTAATAAGTCCACAGTCCGTCGACAAGTCCATAATGCATTATTATCTCTAACAGGTACATAATTCATGAATCACGGCATGTTATCATCCAGCATATTGGTGAGATGGTGGGACTGATACCAATAATATAAGTTCAAACAGCTCACCATATGCCAAACAATATATTTCCTGGAAAATATGTCATCTTGCTATGAATTAATAAGTCTACAGTCTGTTTACAAGTCCATAATGCATTATTGTCTCTAACAGGTCCATAATTCATGAATCACGGCATGATATCATCCAGCATATTGGTGAGATGGTGGGACTGATACCAATAATATAAGTTCAAACAGCTCACCATATGCCAAACAATATATTTCCTGGAAAACATGTCATCTTGCCATGCATTAATAAGTCCACAGTCTGTTGACAAGTCCATAATGTATTATAACCTCTAACAGGTACATAATTCATGAATCACGGCACGATATCATCCAGCATATTGGTGAGATGGTGGGACTGATACCAATAATATAAGTTCAAACAGCTCACCACATGCCAAACAATATATTTCCTGGAAAATATGATTTAAAGTAACTGCACCCTGTGTTTAAGATGAACAACTAAATACTCTCAACCTATCATGCAGAAAGCTACAATATGACTGCACACCTCACAAATAAAACATTAGTTACTAAAATTAACAAATGAATTCCCTGTTGTAGTGCATCTGTTCAGCAATAGATAACAGATGACATCAAAATGTGGTAAAAACAAAAAAGTGGAGCACAAGGCACGAATGAGTGTGTCACTGATGTTCTTACCACATTTGGTCATCCTCTGTGATTTATTACAAAACAGTCTTACAGCACAATGAACTGATATCATAAATAATAAGAGTTCCCACAGCTCACCTTACGCCAGACAATATTCTCCCTCAACACCATGATTTAAAATTATTGTAACTAGTGACAAGTGTATTTAATCTTGCCATGAATTAATAAGTCCACAGTCCGTTGACAAGTCCATAATGCATTATTATCTCTAACAGGTACATAATTCATGAATCACGGCATGTTATCATCCAGCATATTGGTGAGATGGTGGGACTGATACCAATAATATAAGTTCAAACAGCTCACCATATGCCAAACAATATATTTCCTGGAAAATATGTCATGTTGCCATGAATTAATAAGTCCACAGTCTGTTTACAAGTCTATAATACATTATTATCTCTAACAGGTACATAATTCATGAATCACGGCATGTTATCATCCAGCATATTGGTGAGATGGAGGGACTGATACCAATAATATAAGTTCAAACAGCTCACCATATGCCAAACAATATATTTCCTGTAAAAATATGTCATCTTGCCACGAATTAATAAGTCCACAGTCTGTTTACAAGTCCATAATGCATTATTATCTCTAACAGGTACATAATTCATGAATTACGGCATGTTATCATCCAGCATATTGGTGAGATGGTGGGACTGATACCAATAATATAAGTTCAAACAGCTCACCATATGCCAAACAATATATTTCCTGGAAAACATGTCATCTTGCCATGCATTAATAAGTCCACAGTCTGTTGACAAGTCCATAATGTATTATAACCTCTAACAGGTACATAATTCATGAATCACCGCATGTTATCATCCAGCATATTGGTGAGATGGTGGGACTGATACCAATAATATAAGTTCAAACAGCTCACCACATGCCAAACAATATATTTCCTGGAAAATATGATTTAAAGTAACTGCACCCTGTGTTTAAGATGAACAACTAAATACTCTCAACCTATCATGCAGAAAGCTACAATATGACTGCACACCTCACAAATAAAACATTAGTTACTAAAATTAACAAATGAATTCCCTGTTATAGTGCATCTGTTCAGCAATAGATAACAGATGACATCAAAATGTGGTAAAAACAAAAAAGTGGAGCACAAGGCACGAATGAGTGTGTCACTGATGTTCTTACCACATTTGGTCATCCTCTGTGATTTATTACAAAACAGTCCTACAGCACGATGAACTGATATCATAAATAATAAGAGTTCCCACAGCTCACCTTATGCCAGACAATATTCTCCCTCAACACCACGATTTAAAATTATTGTAACTAGTGACAAGTGTATTTCATCTTGCCATGAATTAATAAGTCCACAGTCCGTTGACAAGTCCATAATGCATTATTATCTCTAACAGGTACATAATTCATGAATCACGGCATGTTATCATCCAGCATATTGGTGAGATGGTGGGACTGATACCAATAATATAAGTTCAAACAGCTCACCATATGCCAAACAATATATTTCCTGGAAAATATGTCATGTTGCCATGAATTAATAAGTCCACAGTCTGTTTACAAGTCCATAATACATTAATATCTCTAACAGGTAAATAATTTATGAATCACAGCATGTTATCATCCAGCATATTGGTGAGATGGTGGGACTGATACCAATAATATAAGTTCAAACAGCTCACCATATGCCAAACAATATATTTCCTGGAAAACATGTCATCTTGCCATGCATTAATAAGTCCACAGTCTGTTTACAAGTCCATAATGCATTATTATCTCTAACAGGTACATAATTCATGAATCACGGCATGATATCATCCAGCATATTGGTGAGATGGTGGGACTGATACCAATAATATAAGTTCAAACAGCTCACCACATGCCAAACAATATATTTCCTGGAAAAAATGTCATTTTGCCATGCATTAATAAGTCCACAGTCTGTTGACAAGTCCATAATGTATTATAATCTCTAACGGGTACATAATTCATGAATCAAAGCATGTTATCATCCAGCATATTGGTGAGATGGTGGGACTGATACCAATAATATAAGTTCAAACAGCTCACCACATGCCAAACAATATATTTCCTGGAAAATATGATTTAAAGTAACTGCACCCTGTGTTTAAGATGAACAACTTAATACTCTCAACCTATCATGCAGAAAGCTACAATATGACTGCATACCTCAGGAATAAAACATTAGTTACCAAAATTAACAAATGAATTCCCTGTTGTAGTGCATCTGTTCAGCAATAGATCACAGATGACATCAAAATGTGGTAAAAACAAAAAAGTGGAGCACAAGGCACGAATGAGTGTCTCACTGATGTTCTCACCACATTTTGTCATCCTCTGTGATTTATTACAAAAAAAGAGTCCTACAATACGATGAACTGATATCATAAATAATAAGAGTTCCCACAGCTCACCTTACGCCAGACAATATTCTCCCTCAACACCATGATTAAAAATTATTGTAACTAGTGACAAGTGTATTTCATCTTGCCATGAATTAACAAGTCCACAGTCTGTTGACTGTCCATAACGCATTATAATCTCTAACGGTTACATAATTCATGAATCAAAGCATGTTATCATCCAGCATATTGGTGAGATGGTGGGACTGATACCAATAATATAAGTCCAAACAGCTCACCACACGCCAAACAATATATTTCCTGGAAAATATGACTTAAAGTAACTGCACCCTGTGTTTAAGATGAACAACTAAATACTCTCAATCTATCATGCAGAAAGCTACAATATGACTGCACACCTCACAAATAAAACATTAGTTACTAAAATTAACAAATGAATTCCCTGTTGTAGTGCATCTGTTCAGTAATAGATCACAGATGACATCAAAATGTGGTTAAAACAAAAAAGTGGAACACAAGGCAGGAATGAGTGTGTCACTGATGTTCTCACCACATTTTGTCATCCTCTGTGATTTATTACTATACAGTCCTACAGCATGATGGAGTCTATTTGTTTCACGTAATAATAAAGCAAATTATTGTTCATGGTGAACTCATCTTTGCATCTGTCATCCAACTTATCATATAAATTATACCAGTTTGTAATTAAAGTATTGCTGCATGTGATCATCCAGCATATTGGTGAGATGGTGGAACTGATACCAATAATATAAGTTCATACAGCTCATCTCATGCCAAACAATATACTTCCTGGAAAATACGATTTAAAGTAATTGCACCCTGTGTTTAAGATGAACAACTACATACTCTCAACCTATCTCGCAGAAAGCTACAATATGACTGCACACCTCATGTATAAAACATTAGTTACTAAAATTAACAAATGAATTCCCTGTTGTGGTGCATCTGATTAGTAATAGATCACAGATGATAGCAAAATGTAGTAAGAACAAAAAAGTGGAACACAAGGCACAACTGAGAGTGTCACTGACATTCTCACCACATTTAGTCATCCTTCGTGATCTATTACCATACAGTCCTACAGCATGAGGGAGTCTATTTGTTTCATGGTGAAGTCATCTTTGCATCTGTTCTCCAACGGATCATAAAATAACTTATCATATAAATTATACCAGTTTGTAATTCAAGAATTACTGCATGTTATCATCTGGCCTATTGGTGAGCTGGTGGAACTGATATCATAAATAGTAAAAGTTCAAACAGCTCACCATATGCTAGACAATGTTTTTCCTCAACTATATGATTTAAAGTAACTGCACCCTTTGTCTAAGATGAACAACAACATACTCTCAACCTCTCAAGCATGAAACCACAATATGAACTGACTGACTTACTGATTAATAGATTGATTGACTGACCGACTGCCTGATTGACTGACAGACTGACTTAACAACTGACCAACAAGAAAATAATGACTGTACAGAAAAAGATACCTGAACTAAAAATATGTCTTAACTACCAAAGCTTATCATAACTCATGCCAACTACCCCAATAGTGGCATATGTTATATGTGCCTTACATTATCAGGATCCAAATTTACTCTCAGTCCAACAAAGGTGAATCCATCTGAGCTCATTTTAGACAAGTGTGGCATGAGTGTCTGGCAAAAAGCCTTGGCCAGCTCTCCAGTGAGTTTATTGAGGTCCCGTGATGCACTCTGTTGTCCTTCACCTAAAAAGAACACCTCTGTCCATTGTATCCTAAATACATTCTTGCGTGTGAAGTCACATCCACTGTGAACCTTGACACTTGGAAAAGAACCTAGCTGTAAACCATCTATTGGACTGTTCAAACTGTAGAAATTTGAAAGAATTATCAATCAAGAAAAATCAATCAGTTGTAATATCAGCATTTTATTGTAGATTTAGAGCCTTTCTCAAAAGTTTTTAGTAGGACAATTTATTTCATTAGGGTGCGTAATTACAGTCAAAGACTTTAGTCTCCTTTATGGCCATAAGTTATGCCAATATCTTTACAAGTACATGAACAATTATGGCATCAAACAAATTGAACAAGTCCTGAAGCGGGACTTGTTCAATATTTGGTTGCCCCATGTTCAACTCCTTATCTGCACTGTGTAAATAGCCAACTGGTCTGCTTACTGCCAGTTGGGATTTTCAAGCACTTAATGTTTATTTGAAATACTTGTTTTTCTCTCTTTCAAATTGCGAAGTGCTAGGAGGCTTGCAATAAGCACAACATAAATTGTAAATTGATTATTTATTATTTACACGGCACCTGGCTTGCTGTGAAGCACTTTGACGACTGGCCCATTCCACAATGACTTGTTCTTCACCAGCCCCACCTGGAACCCCTGTAGTAATTGAATAATCCTGCATTTCTTTCAAAGAATGTCGTAACTTTTCAATCATTTCTGGCGTCAATTGGACCATAATGCCATCTATGCAAAGGAAAAAACAAAAATTAAATCAGCAAGTATTCAAAATTGCAAGTACTACAAAATGGCTCTTACTGATATTACAATAAATACCCTAAGTTCTAATGAGTTGGAAAATGATACAAATCATCTGATATTTAACATAGCCTTTGCACTTCAAACATCAAATTCTCTGAACATTCTGCCATTTGTTTCTTCTAGTTTTAGCCTTGAGAAATTGCCTTCCAATCATACAATATCCACTTGAGGGTATTATTCTTTCTTCTTAACACCTTTCTGCTTAACCCTTTAACTCCCAAGATGTGATTGTTAATTCTCCCCTGTAGCAGCTACACATTTCCTTGTAAATTAGTTATGAGAACTTGGTGCTAGATCAAGATAGCAGCTTCTACCTGATAAGTTTGACTGTTCTCATCACCTGTTTGCTGAAGAATGTAGGGATGTTGTAGGGAGAAGTTTTACTTTAATCACTTCTGGGAGTTAAAGGGTCAAAAATTTACTGATATGGTGAGGAGAAATTCCATTTGGGTCTCCCCTAGAAGTAAAAGCATTGGCCAAACAAAGAGTAACTGTCAATGAAAATATGACAGACAGAAAACTACTCTTGCTGTGCTTTGACATCAAATTCCAAATTAAATGATACAGACATAAGATCTATAGAGAGCCCCATGGAAAAGAACTTTAAACGTCTGGCTGCCATCTATGTCTCAGAGGCAAATGGGCTCAAGCTCTCTCTAAATTAAGCCCTTTGACCCCTAAGAGTGAGAGTATGTTATATTTCCCCAGATTATCACCCCTGAATTTCACATAAAGGTCAAGAGTTAAATGAAACCTTGATTGTTATACAAATTCTCCTTGACAGCACCTCAGGAAATGTTGAGAAAACAGTAGGGAGAATATGCATACCAATGTCACGGCATGATATCATCCAGCATATTGGTGAGATGGTGGGACTGATACCAATAATATAAGTTCAAACAGCTCACCACATGCCAAACAATATATTTCCTGGAAAATATATCTTGCCATGCATTAATAAGTCCACAGTCTGTTGACAAGTCCATAATGTATTATAATCTCTAACAGGTACATAATTCATGAATCACCGCATGTTATCATCCAGCATATTGGTGAGATGGTGGGACTGATACCAATAATATAAGTCCAAACAGCTCACCACATGCCAAACAATATATCTCCTGGAAAATATGATTTAAAGTAACTGCACCCTGTGTTTAAGATGAACAACTAAATACTCTCAACCTATCATACAAAAAGCTACAATACGACTGCACACCTCACGAATAAAACATTTGTTACTAAAATTAACAAATGAATTCCCTGTTGTAGTGCATCTGTTCAGCAATAGATCACAGATGACATCAAAATGTGGTAAAAACAAAAAAGTGGAGCACAAGGCACGAATGAGTGTGTCACTGATGTTCTCACCACATTTTGTCATCCTCTGTGATTAATTACAAAACAGTCCTACAGCACGATGAACTGATATCGTAAATAACAAGAGTTCCCACAGCTCACCTTATGCCAGACAATATTCTCCCTCAACACCATGATTTAAAATTATTGTAACTAGTGACAAGTGTATTTCATCTTGCCATGAATTAATAAGTCCACAGTCAGTTGACAAGTCCATAATGCACTATTATCTCTAACAGGTACATAATTCATGAATCATGGCATGATATCATCCAGCATATTGGTGAGATGGTGGGACTGATACCAATAATATAAGTTCAAACAGCTCACCATATGCCAAACAATATATTTCCTGGAAAATATGTCATCTTGCCATGAATTAATAAGTCCACAGTCTGTTTACAAGTCCATAATGCATTATTATCTCTAACAGGTACATAATTCATGAATCATGGCATGATATCACCCAGCATATTGGTGAGATGGTGGGACTGATACCAATAATATAAGTTCAAACAGCTCACCATATGCCAAACAATATATTTCCTGGAAAATATGTCATCTTGCCATGAATTAATAAGTCCACAGTCTGTTTACAAGTCCATAATGCATTATTATCTCTAACAGGTACATAATTCATGAATCACGGCATGATATCATCCAGCATATTGGTGAGATGGCAAATGGGCTCAAGCTCTCTCTAAATTAAGCCCTTTGACCCCTAAGAGTGACAGTATCTTATATTTCCCCAGATTATCACCCCTGAATTTCACATAAAGGTCAAGAGTTAAATGAAACCTTGATTGTTATACAAATTCTCCTTGACAGCACCTCAGGAAATGTTGAGAAAACAGTAGGGAGAATATGCATACCAATGTTAGGTTGTAAAGGGTTCAGTGGAGAGGACAAGTTACAAACCTTCCACAATGTTGACTTTTGCCATGAACGGACTGCTTGGCTTTAGCGCCCCACTGAAGACAATAAAGCTTGCTCCAGTTACTAAAGAAAACCAAAATAATAGGAGTTACATTAAAAAAAATACACCATATATACTTGAGCCAGTGACCCTGGGTGCATTTTCCACCTGCTTTAGCATGTACCTTTCCTGGCTTGATTCTGTATGTTGATGGCTTGAGTTTTATAGCCTTGTTCACTCTGCATACAGACCAGATGTGAGTCTGCTTCTAAGCTGAAGTTGGCTCCGAGAGCCATGACATGCTCATCAGTGGCATTGAGAATCTTTACTACCTGATGAGAGAATCAAAAGACGTTTTCCTAAAAGATTACCAAGTATTGTATGTTCACAATTTTAATTAATGCTCCTACCAAAAAGGTAAAATGTTTGTACCTATCATAATAAATGAAGACTTCAGTTGTCACTTAACCCTTAACCTCTAGCATCTATTTTCTCCTTACAATACCACCCCTCACTCACACATTAAGGTCATGAAAATAAAGGAATGATCACCAACTAAAGCAGCTCTTGATTGTTCAACAAATTCTCCTTGTCAGCTCCTTAGAAAATGTATACAGAACAGTATGGAGAATATGCATACTGTCTGATGTTTGGGTGTAGAGAGTTAACACTCAAAATTGTTACCTCATCATATCTGTCTTGTGGCAGTCTAACTAAAGTCTTCTTTTCTTCCATGTGTATGAGAAGCCCTGTCACTCGTGGTAATGTATACTGGAAATTCTTGAAGTCCTAAGAAAATTAATTATTATTACAGCATAAGGCAAGTTTGCACTCAGTAGCAAGGCTATAATCTGTATGAAAAACAGTCTACAATCTAGCAGTGGGAAAGTCATGATTTTGGGTTTCTGAAAGAGACATTTAACTCTCACAGAGCTGTTCTCTGCTCTGGAATAATTATGACAGCTACTAGTAAATTGTCTGGGAGATCTAACATAATTCAAGGGGTGCAAAACTGCTGTTTCTTGTCCCATCCCACCTTGATTGTTCAAAGGCTAGATAGTTCTATTCAGTGGATAATTATTTACAAAATACATTAGGCTAACTGCTGGATAGTGTTACCCAGCCTTTGAACAGCCAGGGCCTGCAGATGGATTAACAACACTCTTTGTCACTTCATGATACTGAAATTTAAGATAGCTCAAAACGTGTTGGCAAGACAGCCATTGTGCAAGAACACTCACTGCCTAAGTACCCATCCTAAATTAAAATCAGACTGATTCTGATTTAGAGCAACCACTGTACAGTATAAAAACCAATGACCACATACTGCTAACAGATTCATGATTGTATGTCCAACTTCACCATATACTGTTGATCTGCTTCTTGAACTGAATAATGGACAGGGATAATCTAGAATCAACAAAAACAAGTCTCAAAAGCATCTAATTTTGCTGTCCACTATTACCCCAGAATCACACATTCAGGTCACATTAATAAAGGAAATGGTTGTCAACTAAAGAAGCTCTGATGAAAGCATGATTTCTTTATGACTAAACAAATTCCCACTTACATCTAAACTCTGCTCCAAGTCTTAGCTGCAGCCTTAAAGGAAACAGTTGGGCCCATGGTGATTCCAGGCGTTTTATTAACACTCCTATGACATAAGGAGTGGAAGGAACAGGGATGTTCTTCAAACACTGAAAAGATTTGATTGCATTTAAAAAATATCAAACATTCATCACACTAACATGTGTATATATCGTTATTGTTAATAAATAGAACCTTTCCCACTCAAACTGTTAAAACAAAGTTTGGGTTTTTTGATAGAAAATAATTGAAAATGCACTTTGAAAAAAAAGCATTTATGTTTGAGTTCAGAGGGATTTTTAGCTAACTGAGTTTGGGAAAGCAAAAAGCTAATATTACCATAAGTAATCATCCCTGGGATGTTTAATTGAGTTTTGTGTTCTCATGTGTAACCCAGAGAGAAGATGTTGCAGCATCAAATGCCATCTAGAGCTTCATTCTTCACATCTCTTCATTTTTTTTCTTTATTCGAAATACACTTACTAGAAAAAAAGTCTCAGAACCAAGGCTTTCAATTTCAAAGCATACCTGAAATGATGGTTTTACATATAGAAAGCCTGCATTGTCACTACTGCCAAGAAATGGTTGACCAAAAATTGTGTAGCCAAGTTCAGACACAGTGTGACCTAACAGCAATTGAAAGAAATCTTAGTTCCAAGAAATACTGCCAACAATTATTGCTATTCTCATTAACGAAGAGGAATCAAGATCCTACCTTGTTTTGCATATGCAAAGGCTGTATTGAAGTGTGAAAGGACATCCTTTGGAAGCATTGTCTCTTTACGATGACACTCCAACAGGACCACCTGAAAACATTGGATACAATAATCTAACTAACAATGACAATAATTTTTGACTAACAGTAATTTTTTTTATATCTCTCTGCAATCAGTAACTAAACTCAAAATTTTTTTATCCTTTTTAACCATTAACAGATAAGATACAGTACTTCAACACTTAAGACACAAGTATAACTTAAGCAACAGCTTTACCATTTCTTCTTGGTTAGCTGCCCCCATTCCTTCAGTAACAAAACACCAACATTTGCGCTTCACACAACAGCTCACTAGAAGAAATGAAGAAAAGTGAACAAGGATCCTTAGTCATTAGTGCTCTTGAAATTCAAGGCCCTTTGATAAATGCTATCCCACAGATTAATCTTTACAAGCTGAATAACAGATTGCTTTCAAGCATTGTAAATAAGTCTGTATTTGCACCTAGTGCCTCACCCAGCCACAGCTTATCCAAGTTTCCTCAACATGAAGTGACTAGGAGTATTACTACTACCCCCTGAATGGGATGTTAGTCCAGCATCCCCTCCCCCCCCCCCAGCATTTCATCAAGCTTTCCTGACAGTTAGCCAGCACCCATTTATACTCCTTGTTGGAGAGAAGCACTGAGAGCAAAGTGTCTTTCCCAATAACACCACACATTGACCCAGCCAGGTCTCCCAACCAGACCTCTCAACCTAGAGTTCAGTACACTGAAACTGCTTCTCCAACAGTAAATGGCTACTTTTCAAAACCTACTGGAACTTTGTGGACATAGTTTACTTTGTTGACAAATAGTTACATTGAATGACTTGAATGCACAATAACTGATATCTAACAGTATCTTCTAACACTTCACCTGGTTTATTTATTGTAACAATTCACACTTACATTTCACTAAAGTGACTTTGACAACCAAGTTCTTATTCAGCAGGAATACAACAGTTTCATGAAGACCTGTTAGCAAAAGAGCATTGTCAGCATGGGAGAAAATAATTATGAGGACTTCCCTATAAAAAAAAAAATCTCTGGACATTTATTATTTGATGATTTATTGACCTTCTAGAGATTATTTATAAGCGACTTGACCCCTCATTAAATTTGAGGCTGACCTAGTGCTTTAATACCACAACACTGCTATGATTATTAGCTTATAGTGGCTAATACAAGGACACAAGTTTCCAGGGAGAATATTAGGGGTGGTACAGCATGCTTTCTTCCTCAATTTTGCCACAACAAGTGAATGTTCCTGCTATGTTTAACAATCATATTGTTCTACAAAAGCTCTTACGGTGGCTAAAACAAGGAAACAAGTTTCCAAGGAGATTATTTTGGGAGGTGTGCTTTCTTACCCATTTGCTTCAAAATCAATGAATGTTCTGTCTACAATACATGTTTAATAAACATACTGTTCTCCCAAAAGCCTTAATCTTTTAGCTGACTAATTTTCAAGTCTTGTTTGATCTGTTAGGAATGTCACTTACATTAAACTAAGACAAAAATCAATTGCTTCACAAGAAGCAACATTTAAGTCAATTTAAGACATTGAGTCATCTCTTGACTCAATGTGAACTAAAAAGTTTGTACCTTTCAGTTGATACATGATTTCTGCAGGATCAGGTCTTTCTTGAATTGATATCTCTGAAACAGATAAGATATACTATAGTTACTAAGCAGCAATGATCATTATTTCATCTCTCAAAGTAGAGACTTTCTGAGCAGCTTGCCATGTTTCAGCTAGTACATAATGAGAATCTTCTTCAGGAAATAAGGTTGAGTAGTCATGCATCAAGATAATTTGTGAGCAACCAACATCTAATTTGTCCTTCATCATCAGTATCACCATTGAATAAGACATTCTGATCATGAGAATGAAGGAAATGATCAACAACTGAAGAAGCTCTAGATTGTTAAACAAATACTTAAAATCAGTACCATACAAAATGCATAAAAACAGTATGGAGAATATGAGTTCTGATGTTAGGTAGTGAAGGGTTAAGGACCAACCTTCCCATCCAATCAAATTACACTAGGAAGAATTACACACACCTTCATTTGTAACCCTCAAAACTGGTGGCAGTGTAGTTATATCTTGTGGCATCAATGACCGCACATTATCAACATCCAATCGAAACAAGCAATCACTGTCGTCAGACAGAGCAGGGGATGCTGGTGTGGATAATGGAGTGCTGGGTGCGTCTGTGGGTGGTAGCACTGGGATTTGTAGAGGAGGAAGAACTGGGGGAGAGGAAGATGGTCTTGTGGCCACATCCACTCCTAAAGATGAGCGCCAGTCATTAGACAACAGAATTCTCATATTACTTTAAAACATCAACCACAATTATGTGCTCTATGAGTGACTACAGAAAAATTTGAGATCATGTTGACAGAAGCAATTTCACCCTTAAACTCCCAGAACTGATGAACATCTAACCTCTTCCTACAATATCCATACATTATCCAGCAAACAGGTGGTGAGAATATGTAAACTTTTCAGGTAGAAGTTGTAATCTTGATTTAACACCTAGTTCTGATAACTAATTTAAATGGAAATGTGTAGCAGCTAGAGGGGAGAATTGAATCAGATCTTGGGAGTTGAAGGGTTAAATACAGTACGGTCTTCACCTGGGCTGGGTAACTCTGTGGAATCAAGTTCATCCCCTATGGCCTCTGCACCTTCAGAGACCTCTTGCTGGTCAGCTGGTAAGTCTTCGTGTTCTTCTAAAACATCTTCTGTGAGCAAATCATCTGGCACACTGTCAAAATGATTTCTGAGATTATCATCCTCTTGGCTTTCCATCACTTCTGATAATGCCTGAGCTGAAATTACAGTCATCATCAATACTTTGCCTCAAAAATGATGCTTTGACCAAAGAAATGCTATGAAACATCTGGTTGATACACTAAAAAGATTATCCTCAAGCTATGCACTCCTTAACTAAAACTCCTATGTGTTAGAGAGTACTTCTTTACTTTAATCATACAAGCAGCAAAAAAACACCATATCCAAAACAAACACAAACAAGAACCACAAATCATGAGTCCATATTCTTTTAGATATGACAATAAACATTGGATGCTCTATGTAGAACTGATAACAATAAGATACCTCTTAAGAGGGCATTGCAGCAGACTTGGCAAACTCGACCTTCCTTATTGTCCAGGTAAGGTAAAACAAACTTCATATTACAGCAAGATGAACACAGAGCCTGTAATTGACATAATTCACTTAATTAAGACAATCAACTAAAAGTAAAGGTCCATAAGTAGTAAAAAATTATTTTCTTACCTCAAATAGCCAATATCAAGATACAAAAAAGTTTTATATCTTTCTGTTGTATATTACCAAAGAAGTAATTTTTTGACACTGGTTAACTCTTTATCTCTTAAGATCTTAATGTTAATTCCCCCGCTAGCGGCTAATATTTCCTGGTAAATACATTACAAGAATTTGGTATTAGATCAAGAAAATGACTTCTACCTGATAAGTTTGAGTATTCTCATTACCTGTTTGCTAAATAATGTATGAATACTATAGGGAGAAGTTTAAAGCCAATCACTCATGGAACTTCAAGGGTTAGTAACACTTTGAGTACCTTGAATAATCAACCATTACATGTATGTGCCAATATATACAAATAGTTTTCCTCTAAATTCCTATCCAGCATAAAAATAAGAGTGTATTGTGAGCTACAGTACCTTTCCACAAGCTCTGCAGTGATGTCTCCTCTTCAAAACACTAAATTTCAACCCACAGTTCATACAGTGAGTAGCCACAGAGTCAGGCACCCATAGGGGTGGCACTCTACCAAGACAAGCTTCTCCTGAGGTGATGCGGCGAGCCTCTACTGCTCCGTGAGACTGTAATGACATGGTTAATACAGGAGACTGTGTACCTTCTTCATGTTCAACTTGACCAGGCTGATTGCCTGTGTCAAAACTCTCCTGTTCTGAATTACAATTATATGAATTTGTCATTGAAGGCTCGGTTTGAAAAGAGGTGCCAGAATCTGCATTCTCATTCTGTGTATAAAAATCCTGTGTTCCTAAATTATGACTTTGATCAGAATCTGAAGGGTAAGTTTCAAAATTTGCATCAACTACTGGCACAATGGACAATCCAGGTTCAAGAAGATTTTCACTTTGCACTTGGTCATATGATGTTAAATTTACGTCATCAACAGACATACCACCATCTTGGGGATGCAAAACAGTGCTGTTCATAAATTGTTCATGAGTTTCTCGTTGTTCTGAAACAACAAATTCATTCACAACACACTGGCTAGCCTCATCATTTCCAGGCTGTTCTGAGTTGTCTCTGGATGTATCTTCAATCCAGCCCATAGATTCTACATCTTGCACATGTTCAGCGACACCATTTGCTGCCACTGCAGAGTCTAAAGCTGACTCATCATTGTTACTAATTTGTTCGTCTTTATGATCAAAATTATTACTACTTGCTTCCTGGCCATCAGATACTCCTTCATTGCTTGCTAGAGTTGTCATTAAGCTCTCTTCATTATCAAGTGAGCTGGCATTGTAGTGTGTGTCCTCCACACCATTCAAGTCAAACTGCCCAGCAGAGTGGACACTCTCAGAAGTGTTCTGTGCATTTTCGTGCCAAGTATTATCAATAGGTGTGTAAACCACACTTTCCTCCAGTTCTTCTAGTTCATCTCTTAAAGTCTTTCCAGCCACATTTTGATCAGTTATGGCTTCAGCTGCTTTAATCAGTCCATTAATACTACTACTATCATCACTGTCATCATCAATGTCATTCTTGCTGTCATCAGGATATTTTTCAGATTCCTGATCAGACAATACCTCTTCCTGGATTGAAGGGAATGGTGACTGGAAACTCTGTGTAGCTATTCGCTTTCTGTCAACAGTTGGCACTTTGACTGCACTGGTTTGATCTGGTTTTGGTTCTAAACATTATAATTGAAAGCATCATAAACATTAGCCCTTTTACTCCCATGGCTGACCAAGACAGAAATTATCCTGACAATATCAAAACAATATCAAGCAGACAAGAGATGAGAATCAAGAAAAATATCAATTTGGGATAGGTGATCCAATACCAATTTCTCCGATGTAAAATGATGAGAGTTGTACAGCAGACTGTAAGGAGAATTACTAATGAGGTCTTGGAAGTGAAGGGGTTAATCAGTAACAAATAATGTTCAATAATCTCAATAATTCAAGCCTTTTTTCACCACACATTTAAAAACAAAAATAGCAATAAAGAAAAAAAGAACCTTTCTGCAAAATATCACCATTAACAAAACCAAATAATAATGTTACTTATTCTTAAGCAGTGTCATACTTGAATTATATAACTTACTTTTAACCTTTCAGTATGTTTCACAACATCTCCAATGATAATATTCAAAAACTACTTCAGCTTTTTAAAATAACTCATTCATTGTATGATTAAGGACGATAAGTGTATATGTGTGAACATCAAGTAATTTTGGGCTGAGGTACATGTAGCTTTTTTAATATAAATTTAAAAAATATTGGCCCGCTTTTGACCTTCCATGCTGTAATTCCATCCAAAAATAGAGAAAAACAAATTAACACAAAAGAACATTGATTCACAGATTATTTCAAGAGGAATGTTTTTGTTCTTTAAGTACCCTTCCCATTTCACAAAACAAAGACACAACTCTAACCTTGCTCCTTTTCCTCAAATTCATCTAAAAGTTTGTCTAAGTCCACAGGAACAAAGGCACTGGCCATTCTAAAAACATATTTCAGACACTTTAGCTATAGACTAAATCAAGACACACACAAACCCCATCCCATTTAAGTTTTCTCCAAAAGAGTCCTTGAATTCAAGTACCCTTTCTGTACAGGTTTGATGTTGGGAAAAGACCAGACTTGCATGGAAAAAAAAGGGCTTTTTATGAAGTAAATGTAAAACAAGGTGAATTTTGGCCTCTGAATTTGGCATCTTATTTCCCCTACAAGTAACAGTATCACCCCTGAATCAAACATTAATGTGATAAGAATATTACAAATGATTGCCAGTACCATAAGGGAAGTACTAAAGGAATTATAGACTGTTGTTCAGCGGTCATTCTTTTCATACAGCTGCTCCTAAATTTTAGAACAATCTTCTGTGTTCTATCTGAAATATTGAATCTTTAAACCAGTCTAAGAAAGCTATAGTGACTTTTTTTAGTTGCAAAAGCTCTCTACTTATTTGCATGTAATTTTTGTGTTTCTACATGTACATCTTCCCATTTAAAATTTTTATTTTTAGCTTTAATATCTGAACATAGTTGAATTTTAACATTATAATGTTAATATATTGATAATTGTGTAATACAAGTCAATAAATTATCACTAATTATTACTATAATTATTATTATAGGCATCATGCATGGTTATGTAAGGGTGTAAAGGGTTTTGTCTTGAAGGCCAAGACACTCTCACTGGCTTGTGCTTTTCACTAGGAACTGTAACATGAAGAGACTAAGAGTACATCTACTTCCCCTGAAAGAGATGCTAGTCTTAAACAGGTACCCCCCACCCCAGAATTTTTTCAAGTTTCCCTGAGTTCAGGATTGTCAATTATTCCCTTGGGAACCCCTCCTGGATAGAATAAGACACTGTGAAAGCTAAGCATTTTTAAAACAATGAACTTAACCCTTTGCACCCTAACATCAGAAGAGGTATTCTCCCTACTTTTCTCTATACATTTCCCTCAGATGTTGACAAGGGGAATTCGTGTTACAATCAACAGCTTCTTTAGCTGCTGATAATTTTCTTTTTTCTTATGACCTTACTGCATGATTCAGGGGTGATATTGTATGGAAAAATTAGATGCTTGTCACTCTTGAGTGTTAAAAGGTTAACCAGAAGCACCAAACCCTCACAAAACTGTATCAATCTATCAAAAAATATCAAAACTAATAAGACTAAACTTGAAAACAATATGACACCAAAAAAATACAACTAAAGAAAAAGCTTTAAAAAATAAATAAATAAAATAACACAATGTACTGCAAAAAAAACAAAAGCAAAATACTCAAATTCCTCTAAATACTTTCCAAGCATAATTACACGCTATAATTCTGACATAATAAAGTGTTTTCTTCCAGGAATTCCAATAAATTAGAGGTGTTTAAATTGGATTTCACTGCTCTTGAAACATATTTCAAAGGTATTGACACATTTTTAATTCCTGAAAGATCATTTTAACCTGAAGAAATGTGAAAGTTTAAAATGAAATGTGATAAGATCTCTTGTGTCGTCATAATCAAAACATGGTTCACACCATCACTTCTCAACATCACTGTTTCCCAGTCGACAAGGTAATATTTGCATAAGTAAGTTGATATTCTACGACGGGTTTGTCTAGAAATAGTTGTAATGCTTAAAAAAATGCAAACTTATTTCCATCAAGAAAGCAAACATTAGCAATTGCAAATGAACCTTAATTAAATAACAGCTGCACTGTTTGATTGAATTTCAAATAAACTAGTAATTCCAAATGCGCAGTTGTTAGCAACGAAATTTAAAAATTGCAAAGTATGTTCTCATTGCATGCATAAAATAAGAGCGTGTTTATTCTTTGACTTGGCTACAGGTATTCGATTACAAGCCGCAAAAAAATCCTCTCTTTAAAGCAACTACAGCTCCTTAACTTAAGCTAATCACTACGGCGAAGTCAACATGCAACCTTTCTGAACGATTGAACGAATGCTTGACACGATCACCTCACCTGCAAGGTCCAAAGTTCCGCCTCCGTCTATCATTTCACATGGCATTTACATGAAGCTGGCGATGACAGACCACGAAACATTAATTTAAAACGTTTTCTTGCAGCAACAAACACCATTCAGTCTTGAGGATCTGGGTTTCGGTTCATAATTTTCATTATGCAACGTAGATAGCTTTAATTCCTTACTCCTTCCTCGTGAGTCTCCCATGGGCTAACATAAGCGATCAGCGGTTAGCTTTGGAGGATATGTTGTGTAAGACTCCATGGAGTATAACAGTTAGCATCCAACCGTTTGGTACTCTAAAGAATCTTTGATCAAGGGAACCAACCCTCAACCACAACCATTTTTAAAACCTAACGACGTTTTTCTCAGCCAAGGCGTATGAGAATTCCTTCTTCACTTACCCTGATTTCTGAAAATATTGCCCCACTAAAAAAGTTGCTGCAATTTCTTCTCTAACCTATTTGTTTACATTTGTTTTATTACCTTGGTTTTGGTGATTAACAAAGCTTGATTAAGAAAAAAAAAACTTTCCATACGCTTATCTTGGCTAGGTTCGAAATTAAAACCAATTTTCTTGAAAAATGAAAAGTGGTCAATAGGTATTAGCGTCATCAGTGCAAACACTACATCTTTAAGGGTGGTTGCACCCTAATACATGCTAAGTTCACATCTTTTGAGCCTTCATTTGTGTAGTCAGTTTTCTAAAAATGAAGCTTCATGCAGAATTTTTCATTTTTCATGGCCTGCTGTATTTCTTTTTTTGGAACAAAGAAGATCATTGTTTTATCGTCAAAGAATATTTCACAAACATTTCCCTGCGCACATCCTGGGGTACAAAATGATGAACAACCTGAAATGGAAAAGCAGATATAATCTGCTCTCAGTTCAATCAAATTAATTGAGGTGGGTGACTGCAAAAGTCTTAAAATGACAGGCATTGACACAGTACAGCATATCTAAAACAGAGATGATGCCCCAAAATGAGAAATGAGAGGGCCTGGGCAAGTTAAAGAGGGATGGGTCCCATACCTCTGTCTTACTGGTATTTGAGGGCATACCAGGCTATTTCATCATGAAAATTTACAATTTATTATTTCTGAACAGAAAAAAGGAGGGAGGGGGGGGGGGCCCACATGTAGTTTTAGAGTCACCTCCATTCATAGCCACAACCTGTAGGTCTGCATGCAAACGAGGAGGCTCAAAAGGCACAGGATTTTATCCTAGTCTAACCCTTAACACCCTGACATCATTATGCATATTCTCCATTCTGTTCTCTATACACTCCCTAGGTTCTAACAGGGAGAATTTATAAAACTATTCAGAACTTCATTAGTTGCTGATCATTTCCTTAAGTCTTGTGACTTAAACCTTTTATTCAGGGGTGATATTGCAAGGAGAAATTAGAACCTTGTCAAGGATGAAAGGGTTAAGCCATCAGGAGTGTTACTACTCCCCCTGAATGGGAAGCAAGTCCATTGCAGGTGGCCCCTTGCATTTTGGCGACATTCAAGTGGAATGAGAAAAGAAACTCAAGTTTATGACAGAATTAGTTTGTATTACACAAAACAACAGAACAAGAAAATGCCTACATCAGAAAGTTGAACTAATCCTTTAACACTTTAACTTTTGTACAGTAACTCTGTTGTTGTTGTTTTAATCTCTCTCCCTTTTTTATAACAACATCCTCTAACCTTTTCTTTACCTATTTTTACATGCCATTTAGGCTCATTAACTAACTGAGGTTTAGTAAATAAGTCAATGAGGGTCAGAAATATGAAACTGGTAGAAATCAAGTTCACATGAGACATGATCATAATGTTAACTTTGATGCCAGAATAGATTTACCTACAAAAGATGATATTTACCTCGGTGCTGTTAGCATCTAGTTGGATTGTGTAGTCCAGATCACCTCTGTGGCTTAAACAATTCTTGCTGGAGCGACAGTCAACTCTGACAACAACATCACTGTGGGACTGGTAACAGACACACCTGTAACATTAGTAACCTTGTCACTCCTAAGAGTGATCAAAAAGAAATTTCTCCCCACCATATCAACAGATTTTCAAGCAGAAAGGTAATGAGAAGAAGAAAAAATATCACCTACCAAGTATTATGATTTAAAGCCAAATTTTTTAGGGATAATATTATGAGAATTTGAATAAAAAAGTTGATAAATTTTGAGCTTGGTAGCAAAGAAAGAAGATGTTTTTTTTCTTCTTGCCATGAGTATGGGACCAAGAAAAAAATTCTGAGAACCCATAAGGAATTGAACCTCAGACATTTGGGTCCATGCTGGAGTTCTGAAGTTCAATTCCTTGTGGGAACTCAGAAATTTTCTTAGTCATGTCCCATGATACTCCTGACAAGACAAAAAACATTTTTTTCCTTCACACTTTAACTCCCAAGAGTGATCAGGACAGAATTTCTCCTTACAATATCAATACCATATCAAGCAGACAAGTGATGAGAATAAAGAAAATATCAGTAAGGGGATTATAGGTTGATCCAATACCAAATTCTCCAAACTGACATCACAAGATTATTTAGAGTTATCAACTGAGTTGATAACGTAAATTGGCCACCATAAAGAGTTAAAAGGCTGACATTTCAAGCATTAGCCCTTCATCAGAGCATTTGGAGGAATTGTGGGTTGTGTATAGGTTTATTTATTTCATAAATTAGCCAATATGGAAAACTGACTTGCATACTTTTAGTTTGTTTTTGCTGAGTTTTAGTCAGTTGTTTTTGAGCTTTCATTCATGTAAATTCGTTACCCTTTTGATTGGAAATTTAAGAAGTTTTGGACTTTGTATTTCAGCCAAATATTGTGGTTCATTAAACAAGTTAAATACATATTTTCTATGGAGTTTGGACTCTAGTCTCTTTTTTTGTAGATGGATTTTGTACACAGGTTGAAAAAAGCACTACTTAAGTCTAAACTTCAAACTAAAGCTGAATATTTGTTCTTAATTCTCACCATATTCTGCAACACCAGGGTCACTCTAATGGAACTTTCATACTTGAACAAAACCAGGTCCCTCATCCCTTTTATATTCTCCTTTTTGGTAACATTGTTTAACACTGATGATACTACAGCTTTATGCACAGCTTCATTTTTGTTCTCCACCACTGAATTTACTTGAATTGATGGCCTGCACCTGTTACAGTACACCTCAAGCAAGAACGGATTTGCCTACAAAAAAGAGAGAAAAAAAATTAACCAATTGACTCCACCAAACCTGTTAGCTACGAGCTCCATCTGTGGGTAATAGGAAAAAGGTTAATTCCTCTAAGGATATCATAAGAATTGAAAAATGCATGTAAAAAACCTCATACATGTAAAAATAAAAAGTGTACAACCAAGGCAAATGTTGGTTTAATTTGCAACATTTATATACACTGTAGACACTGTCTATAAGAATGCAATCAGTTTGAATTACTGACTGTTTCTTATGTGTACATTGTTATAGTTGACGTCATAAAGAAAACAAATATTCACTGCATGCGTATGAGTAATTGTGTCATATTTTTGCCAAGTATAGCTGGCCTCTACAATATGGCTGATTTTCATTTTGTATTTGATTTGTTAACAGTGTGGCATAAAGAAGCTTTAAAGAATAATCACTTGGTAGCAAAATACAATGTAATCCTTAATTACTTTTAACACACTCATTGTTAATTGCTGTGAGTAATAATAATTTACCTGATCTAACTCAAGAGCTTTGTTATAGCCCATGTTTTCAAGAGTCAGCCATAAGTCGTTAGGATCACCATCTGCATCTTGTGCTTCCATCATGTTCAGGTCCAGGAATCCTTTCAGAGTTATCTCATCATCCTCCATTTCAAAATTATCTGAAAAGCATAACCCACAGCTGTAATAATGGATGGTAGAAAAGCTATAACTTTCCAAGCCTTTTTAAGGGAATTCTTTTTATATTTTCCATGACTTATGATCAAGGGGTTGCTCCCAGAATAAGGTGAACATGATCATGATCATGTAAGAAGGCATTTTTCTTTTTGCTCTCAAAAAGTACCAAATTCAATTATTTTCCAAGCCTTTTAATGACCCAAACTGAATTTCCATGACTTTCCTGGGCCAGAAAATGATATGTGGAGATTTACCTTTCATAATTTCCCATGCATCATCATCACAAAGGTCTCCACCAGATTTAAACTGGAACAAGTCGAATTCTTCTCTACTTAAAGATCCATTCCCATCAAGGTCACAACTGTCAAAGATTTCAGACAGTGCTTCTCTGTAAAAATGTAAAACAGAATCAAAAAAGTTCACACACCATTCTGTAATCAAATTTCTCTCGTATCTTCTAAGGGCACAAAAAAATTTTAAAGCTTGGCTGAACAGTTACCTTCTTTTGCACTGAATTAACTTTCTTCTGCATTGTGTTACTCGAAAAAATGCATTTCTCTTAGCTAATCACAATGATGAAATTGATTCATGTATATGAGTATTGAATTTACAAATTTGGATAAAAAAAAAAAAACATTAAAACTTATTTACTCAAATATCTTGCTAAGCTGGAGGTTTTCTCCATGGCCTGTGGTAAGTTTCACTTGTTTGGCAGGTTCTGCTTTTCTAATGGAGAGTCGACAACCAGTAGTGAAAGTTATCAAACTGTATGTCCCTCCTTCCAGCTCACAGCGAAAACAAAATTTCTACAAAAAAAGCAAAATAATATTATAGTTGAACCTGTATTTAGCAACATTATTAAGTGGTCACCCTGTATTGAGCAGTCAATGGTCAAAGAATTCTGGATCGATGAAAGCTGCTAAGGGGAAGGCAAAATGACATTTGTTACAGATCCCAGTAAGAGGGCTGGATCTGAAATGCTTAGAGAACTTGTTTCCAATTGCCTCACTAAAATTAAACAAACAGTTCACTGATTAAACTATAATTATTTTTCTTAGCACTGTTAGGACAGAATGCATTTTTTAATCCCATTTGACTCCTATTCTGTGGAACCTGTATTTAGGGCAATCAGTTGTTTCGCCCACCGTCTGTTTGCCAATGTCTAAAGTTGGTTCACCTACGTCCAATACGTCCATTTGCCCACAATTAATACATAAAAGCTTTAAAAACGGAATTGTTTAAAAGTCCATGTTGAACCTTGCAGAAAAACTGAGTATTAAGATGAAATAAAACACCGTTTACAGTCTTTGTGTTTACTTGTGACTTAAGCGGCCTATACTAAAGGAGATGGGACTTCATAAATTAATGTTTTGACTGTTAGTTCAAGCACTTTCACGCAATCTGCAAACTTAGCTAATTATATAGATGAAAAATATATATATAACAGTTACGGCATTATTTGTGTAGACTTGTGACTTGAGCAGCCTATACTAAAGAAGGTCCCAGACTTTTCATTCATATCATTCAAAAGGACAAGGTACTTAAGAAATTAGCTTGTTCCCATTTTACTTCCCAGTTCAATGTTTATTTTGATGTTGTGATTTGTTCTATCATGAACTTTATAAATTAGTGTTTTGTTAGTTCGTGTGCTTTCACATGATCTGCAAATTTAGCTGGATGAAAAAAATATGAGGTGAGACTTTCACTAACATATCATTCAAAAGGCATGGTAGTTCATTTATTGAAAAATCAGTATGACAATCAACGCTATCATCAATGCTATAATCATTGATCTGATTTACTACAACTTGATTCTTTCAAAGCAAACTTGATAGCATAATATAGAAACATCATTCCTTTATCTCTTCCCTCTGTTAAGTAATGAAGAAAGTAATGCACCTGCTGCCAATTCAACATCAATTTTTTTTCAATTGAATCAACTGTTTTATACAATGATTGTTATAGTACGGAGTTTAAAACGTACATGAACTGACATATTGGACGAAGGGGAATCAACTCAAGACATAGGCGAAATGACCCATAGGCGAAACCACCATAATTCGTATTTAGCAGTCACTCTGCCATTTCCCGTGGGTAACTGCTTAATACAGATTTGACTGTACTTAACAAAATGTCTACTGAATATTAGTTTGTAAACAGCCAGACTGACCGGACTTCACAGATCTTGAAAAAAGCTTTATCATTTTGTATCAATACTCACTGGTCCAAGCTTGGATGCTGTAAATGTAACCAGTTCTGAATTCTTGTCTACACAAAACACTGCCATGTCTATTGTTTTCAGTTGATCTGCTAAGTCAGAAATGAAACAGCATTATGTTATGAACTGAACTGAACTGAACTAAAAAATGTAACTATCTTAACATTGGAGACAGCTGCTCCATTCACTCTGATGAAGGGCTAACACTTGTAACATCAGCTTTTGAAACTCTTTACTGTGGCCAACTTCATTCATCCAAGCAAATTATCCTGAAATACCCCAATTGATGCAGCACCACAGTTTCTTTAGAAAGTTACCCCCTTCATCCATTGAAAGTTTTTTGCCCGTACACAAATATTAAAAGTGGAAGATTGCTGAATGATGTGATGATGGTTAGCATGTTAGTGACTGAATCAAAAGAAGAAGCTTTGTTATCTGACAAAGACTAGCAGTATAGCAGTTGCAAAGTCACAGTCAATACAGTTGATAGCCTTACTCTACAATGCAAGAAATACAAGTAATCATTAATTCATCTACATGACCACGACAGCCAACAACAACTTGTTTAACACTGGGAGAGCAGATATTCAAATTTGGAAAACACATTAAATGAGTCACATACTAGCACCTTTCTTGTTTTTAGTAGATTGGATGGTAACAAAGACTTCAGAGTCCTTTGTGAGGTGCAGTTTATAATGATGACTTGAAATCATTCCATATCTGTCAATAAAGAAACTACCCTTACTGCTTCCTTTATTCCAATCCTACAAAAAAAAAACACAAAATGAGTTTTATAACTAAATTTGTTAAAATTTTTCATGTGAAGCTGCAACTTAGTAAAGGTCATTATAAAGACACTTAACCCTTTAACTCCCAGAAGTGACCAGACAGAATTTCTCCCTACAATATCATTACAATATCAAGCAGACAAGTGATGAGAATAAAGGAAAATATCCATTAGGGATTATTAGTTGATGCAATACCAACTTCTCCAAAGTAACATCATAAGAATTGTGTAACTGACAGTAAAGAGAATTTCTAACAAGATCTTGGGAGTGAAAGGGTTAAATACAATAATCATTTTGACTTACTGAATCATAACATTAGTCCCTTTTACAACAAAAGCCCAAACCATTGTGATTTGATCATTCTACATGTATCTGTTATTTTGTTAATATGTTTTTGCTTGTGGTGTTCTTTTTATTATAATATTAGATTAGATTTAAGGGTTTATTAAAAGTATTCAAAAATAGCACCCCAGTGGTGAAATACATGTGAATTTACAAGTATACTTTAAATATTTAAAAAATACGACAATCTTACATTTGACTTTAAAATTAAAAGTCTAAGGGGACTGGGAATTACAAGAGTCAGTAGTTATATACCAATGAAAAACGCTTAGGTTTGCTTGACTACAAGAACTGGGCGTTAGACGCCATTGTTGGAAAGAAAGATTTTTTAAATCTTTCGGTCCGGCATTTAAAGAGTGATACATGGTTTTTGTTGCGCAACTCATAAACGTGGGCAATCGGGCGCTTTGGTGGAATAAGGTGGTACAGCCGTGACCCAGGCACACAGATACCGTCCCAAACTTTCTTGCAGAGTTCGTCTCTTCTCACATTTAAGCGAGTGGAGTTTGCAGCCACAATGGCGTCTTTGTAGCTCAGTGCCGGAAATAATATCAGAGCTCTTTTCTGAACTCTTTCGATCATGTCCTTGAGGTAAATTGGTAGGCTAGTAGACCAAGTGACGCAGGCGTATTCGAGGACCGATCGTACCAGGGCATAAAATATGTTAATAAGGTCTTGGTGGAATTCGGACCGCTTGAGCACTCTTAAGATGTAAAGACGTTTTGAGGCTTTGGAGACAATCTCACGTGCTCATTCCACCCAAGAGTGTCGCTGATAGTGACTCCAAGGACCTTGTGTGAGGAGACCCGTTCTAAGGGGCGTCCATTGGCGCACAATGGGCCAAGATCTGGCCGTGTTCTAAGTGAACAAATCACAAGTTCCTTGCACTTCTTTGGGTTGAGGTTCATATTATTGCGCGACGACCACTGTGCAATGGCGTCAAGATCTTTCTGAAGGGACAATGTACCGCCTGATGGGATGACCTCGGATATTGTTAGGTCATCTACATATTTCCAGTGGCTCGATAGTAATGGAGTTTCAATTGCGAGATCGTTAATCATCAGGAGGAACAGGATGGGGCCAAGCTTAGTGCCCCCTGCGGGACTCCAGCGTGCACGGGCAACCAAGGGGATACAATGTTCTTAATCTTAACAGCTTGGCGGCGGCCATAAAGAAAACTGCAAATCCAACGGATAATAAAACCACGGACCCCAAGGTGGATGAGTTTATTGACTAAGATAGTGTGGTCAATATGGTCAAAAGCCTTACTAAAATCCAGGAAGCAGGCCCTTAAGAACATACCTGGTTTGTCAATAGAGGACAACCAGTTGTGCATCATATCCAACAGGCAATAGATGGTTGAAGTTCCTTTGAGGCAGCGAATTGGCTGAAATCGATGAGGTGCACAACATCCTCAATTAGCCATTCAACTACGAAATCCTCCAGGACTTTAGAGACGATTGCAGTTAGGGAGATAGGTCTTAAATCTTCCCTACCGGTTATGGGCGTAACCTTGGGTACCGGTGTGACATTAGAGTCTTTCCATGCAGTAGGGAAGGAGCCTGATGCAATAGAGGTGTTGAATATTCGCGTGATCGGCTCAGCGAGCTCAGCAGCATATTCTTTCCAAATACGAGTCGGAATCCCATCAGGCCCAGGGGCCTTAAAGGCGCTGATGGCAAGTAGCTTTTTGTAGACCCTTTGTGTCTTGATTACGGGTGGTTGAGGGGATGGTAAGTAGCAGGGCAGTGCACTTGTATCAAGTGGCTTAATGTCAGATATTACAGATACAAAAAACTCATTAAGGCGTGTTGCGAGAGTCGCGCCAGAGATAATTCTGCCTTCCTCGTCAGTATAACTGAGTTCGTTAGGGCTGCTAGCCTTCCCTGCAAGCTTATTCACCATACTCCACCATTTCCTCGGGTCAGTGCTCTTGAGGTTATTAACTTTGTTTTTATAGAACTCACATTTCCGGCGGGTGATAACCTCTCTGACCTTATTTCCAAGGCGACGCCATTTCTCCTCCAGGCCATTTAGATAGGCGCGTTGGCGCTCTAATATGAGAGCCTTAATCTCAGGTGACATCCAAGGCTTGTCCATTGGATGAATCTTCACGTATTTGGATGGAAAGTAGATATCGCTGGCTGATGAAAGATCCTTAGTAAATGAGTCAGTGAGAGAGTCAACTGATGGTGAGTCACCGTCTACTTCTAAATCACTGAACCAATGGTGTGAACACGCCCACCTCCCAAAAGCGTTTATTGCCGACTGAGGAAAGCGACGCATCGGGATCCTTTTCTTTTCAACGCACAGCGGGTTTAGTTGGTTCATTGAAAGCGGATTCCAGTGAACAGAGCTATGGTCCGAAGACCCTAATTGTGCGCTGACAATTGGTTCGCTATAGTATTCACTAAAATCCGTTAAAATAAGGTCTAGTATGCTATTGCCCGAGTGGGTCTGATAACTACTTGTTTTAGGTTATGATTGGCTAACATGTCTGAGATGTCCTGGGTGTTAAAATCGCCTAATAACACTACACCACAGTCTGGATAAGAAGTCTTTTACGGAGTCTAGTGTTTCTATGATGTACATTGTGCGATCTCGCTGCACTGCGCGCAGAGGCCACAGGAAAATACACCACCCCACATATAATACCAGATAGTGGGCGTGGTAGAGCGATGAGGGCATAGCCATAGCCACAAACACTCGTGTTCTGGAGACTCCAAGTCAGATCTACGCTTGAAAGGTATCTCTGAAGACACGAGCAGCGCACACGCCACCCCTATTCGGTTGTGGCGGTCACGTCTCGCGATGTTGTAACCTGGAATGGTAAGGATGTTATTATCGATGTAGTCATGCAGCCAAGTCTCCGTAATAATTGCAATATCCATGTGAAACGTTAAAAGCTGAGCAGTCAACTCGTCCAGTTTGTCCCTGACCGATCGAGCATTTGCCATGTAGAAACTTGGGAAGCTGTAATTGGGGCGTTTTTGAGAAGTAATCTTAGTTAGATTGATTACTTTCACTGCTCGTTGACGATTTACTGGTTTACTGGGTCCGCGACTGCGCTGCGAGGTGTGATCCTGACCGAATCGATCGTCGTCCTCTCCTATTGTTCGCGGGACAAAAGGACAGCTACGAGAATTAACATAAACACCAGTAAAGATGGAGACACAATTATTCAAATTTCTTGATCTTGAGTTGTAAATATTCCTGGATTGACAGGGTCTTGAAATCACAGGAATCGGCATGTGTTTTTGAGTGAAGGTATTCAAAGCATAGAATGCCCAGGTCTTGGAGTCGGTGTTTTAATTCAGGACGCAAAGAGACGCTTATTAATAGAGGCAGCCAAATTACATAAAAGCCGAAGGAGAATACGCAATTGTTGGTCGGGTTCGGTCAGAAGTCCTTTGCTGGTCTTGAATTAAACAGGGTCCTGGTAGAGGGTGAACGTCACCACTTCTAATGATGTTTTCTAGTCCGACGGGCGCAGGACAAACGCTGCTTCGGGCAGACATATCATAACAGGCCCATGTTTAGTAGTCTTCTGAACAGCGAACTTAACTCGATGTTTCCGGCGAAATTTAACCAGTTCCAGTTTGAGAGATGGTCCGACTGGCAGGTTAGTATCTTTAGCCGTCCTGTAAATCAAGCTGGTGAACCTAGGCTCCGCTAGATGGGCTAGAAGAATAAGAAATACGAAGAGCCTAATGACGGTGCGTGTGTCCGCCATTAGACCCCAGTCCCAATTCTATATTAATAAAAGTAATTCTATATATATTATTTTATCTAATTTGCCACTGTCACTCAGTTTTTTAAGTAATATTAAAATACCAGAAAAAGAGTGCTTATTTTATATGCCCCATGGTTTCTTTGGGCTCCCTTGTCATTTCTTTCAAAAGTAATACCAACCTATGCTGCGTTTGCAGTTCTATGGTGGAAAAAAACCCTTATCTAGAAGATAACACTGACTTATAATTACTGGCTGTAGTCTAATGTAAATCTGTGCAGAAAGAGCTGTTGTACCTTCAGGTTTTCAGGCTCCTGCAGGGTTTTTCTATTTGTGGACTGTCTTTTAACAGAATATGGTGCAGGAGAAGAAGCAACGTCATCATCAGCTCTTGCTAGTTTCTTTAGACTTTTCTGTTTACAATCCTCTGCTGTAGAGATAAGTAGTGCTGCAAACTTGAAAAAATAATAAAATTTAATATTTTAAACTTTGGATTTTTTTATTGTTTTGTTTCTTTAATGATGATGAACAGGAATCTATGAGGTTACTGTAAGATAAAAGAGGTAAAGTTTGTACTTGAGCCTATTGGTACACCCAGCTGGAGTTTATCCCAGTTTCTTAAGCATGAAGCAACAAATAGTATCACTACTACCTGACCCCCTGGCTGGGATGCAAGGTTTTGTACCCCCCTGCATTTCATCAGGCTTCCCTGACAATTTCCCTGTACCTATTTATACTCCAGGGCTCAGTTGTTTGAAGGTCGATTAGCACTAACCCAAGGTTAAATTTAGATCTGAGTTTCTTTATTCCTTTATTCAAATGCCTTTTTAGGATAATTTCCTGTGTTCTTATTAGAGCATCAAATAGTCATATTCCAGACAAAAAGAATTTGACTGAATTTTGTTTTAAAGTTATCAGATCTGAAATCAGATTTCACACTTACCCTGGGTTATCCTAACCCAGCTTTGAACAACCCGGCCCTGGATGGAAAGGGGTCCCGTGGGAGTAAAGCCTTTTGCCCACGAACACAACACTTTGACCCACCCAGGTCTCGCACCTAAACTGCTTACCCTATTTTAGAAGCTGTGACATTAATTTAATGAGATATTTCAAAAATTGTCTAAATCCCTAGTTGGAAGTTAATACTTAACTAAAAAAGCAAAAGGAAGCATTATGTAATAGAATTCAATTACAAATTGTAAGCACAAACCTCATTATAATCCAGCTTTCCATCATTGTTTACATCAGCATCATCTAGAATTGCCTGCACCTCAGATTTAGTCATACGTTCTCCTTGCTTTAAGGATAACAAAACTTAACCATTAATGAATAAAAGCAATCAGAAAACAAAAACTATTGCAATATAATAGATATTCCAAGCACAAAGTAAGATAAACATATGTGATCAATTTGTTAGGGTTCAAATAAGAAACATTGGGAATTATGGATCCAATTCTTTGTACTTTATTTTGTGGTTATCACCACAGGACTTTTCATTGCACAGGGTTCAATAAAGTCCTACACCACTGCCATGAGAAGGCATGTGGAGTAGTTTTGTAATGTATTACCTCTTGAGTCTCTTCCATTTGAGAGGAAACATTCTTGGGACCATTCTTGGAACCACATCCCCCCCCCTCTACCCCCTTTGCCCTTGTGACACTCTTGGCTTAATCCATTCCACTTCCCAATTTTCCTGGATGTGTGGTAGACATTTCCTCCAGAGCCAGTTCTGGAATTCTGGTCTGAAATCAAGTGAGTTAACCCTTTTGCTCCCAAGATTTTATTGGTAATTCTCCTTTCTTTCTCACATACAATTCTGATTTATGATGTGAGTTTGTAGAATTCAGTATTGGGTCAACTAACAATCCCCTAATTAATATTTTTCTTTAATCTCATCATATTTCTCCTTGATGTTGTAAGGAGAAATTCTATCTTGGTCACTCATGGGAGTTAAAGGGTTTTAATCTAATTTCATGATAATTTCCATTACCTTCCTTTGTGATAACGTATTGATCTTGTAAGGAGAAATTACCTTCTGATCAATATTGTGAGTGAAAGGGATTTATATATCTAAGAAAGCAGGAGAACATTTTTACCTTAGTCAAAAGTCTAAACAATTCATCATGTGTTATGAATCCATCGCCATTAGTATCAATACATTTGAATGCTTTCAGCATAGAGTCCTTGTCAAGAGGCTTCTCTTTCCTCATAATGTCACAGAAATCATTGTAAGATATACTGTCTGTAAAAAGAAAGTAAATGTAAGTAAAAGACTTATATTTATAGTTAATTTGTTATCATTTGTTAAGCAATTACGAAAAGAAAAGCCTGGAAAAATTAAGGCTTTGGGATTTTACAAAGAAACTGTGATCAGATTCCTTTAAGGGAAAGATAAAACCTTTAAAATTTGCATTGCTCCCAACATATGGCCTCACAGCTCAGTTGGTAGTAGCCCCCAACTAGTATCTGGGAGGCAGGACTTCAAATAACGATGAAGCCTAAACATTTTTAGGCCTCTCTTCTGCAATTGCAGTCTGCCTATGAGGATCATTTCGATGCTTGATTATCATACTGCTGTCAAATTACATTAATTAATTTAGATTGTTATTTCAAGTACATAGCATAACTATTCTAAACCTTTTTTCCCATTTAACCACTTTCTGAACTTCATGTGATGTACTTGACGTTATTAAATTGTAAAACATAATTTATAAAGATTTCTGAGAGCTTCATTTCATGAAATTCACTATAAAAAGGTCATACTTAAACAGGGTTTGTACCCTTTTTTCAGAAACAAATTTCAAGAACTTTTCTGAGACTTTACCAGGACTCTGACTTTATCCAGGACTCCAGATTTCACCTTAAACCCCATAATTTTCAATTCTGCTTATCACTGTCTACATAAATTTCCTATAAGTTAAACATAAATTCTAAAAACTCTATTGCTTGATTGAAGTAGATTTCCAGGATCTTCCAGTGAATTTTAGTCTTTTCTTATTTTTCTGGAGAATGTCGAAATAAAATTCCAGGTTTTCCAGGACATGTATGAACCCTGTTAAAGGGGAAATACTATTTAACATAATCCCTTAACCCTTTTAGTAATGTAATCAACTTCTAACCTGTATCATGCTTCCAATATTTTTCAGCAAACTTCCGAGAAGGATTCCTTCCACCAAATTGAAGTGCTAGCCAAGATAGACAATGAAACACTCCTTGCCATAAGTGTATTCCACAAGTCATTTACAGTATATCTAGTATCTAAGCCCTTTAACTCTCAAGATCTGATTGTTAATTCTCCCTTCTAGCTGCTTTACTTTTCCTTGTAAATGAATTACAAGACTTTGGTGTTAGATCAAGACAACAACTTTTACCGGATAAGTTTGACGAGTTTGCAGCAAAATGGGATTGTAATTAGTACCCAAATCTTTACCATTTGGCCCCCCAAGAATGACTAGCTATTAATTTCCCCTTACAATATATCACCCCTGAATCATACATTAAGGTCACAAGGATAAGGGAAATGATCACTGACTACGGCTTGAGGTAAGCTATATTAATTGCTTAAAGACTATTACTGATGTGGAACAAAAAACTTTTCAGTGGAACAAAGCGACTGTTTTATGGTATGAAGTGGCTTTGAATTGGAACGAAGTGATGTAGAACGAGACGACAATGGGACGAAACGACCGGATACCTTCTTAATTGCGCCTTATCATTTGTTGGTAAACTCACGCCACCAACTCGCCCTCCCCTCCCCCCTAATAAAAACAAATCTCACCACTCCCTCGAGCTGTGATTAGTTACATAGTTCCATCTGCTTACCTAGGATCAATTCATCAATGGATGTAATCTTTTCTGTAGTGCTACTTAAAACAGCCAGGTAAGCGGCACGGCATTCCTTCATAAAATTATCAAATTTTGCAGTCGATTCTCTTCGAACCTTCTCCGAGAACGACACGTTTGATGCTCGCGATGAAATGCTCGAATTAGACGACCTACGAGCCGGTTTTACTCGCTTTATCTCTGACATTCCTGTAAGAAACTTTCTAAAGTCCTTTCTGGCTAAATTGTTTCGCCTGCATGATGTATGGATCCCGTTACCATAGAGTGCGCCATCTTTGCTTTCTTAACCGTCACGCATACAACTGCTGACCAATACTACCGCGGTCCCAAGGCTAGAACGATCGAGAAAATTAGAAATGGCGAGTTTTTGAGGGAATCTCGGAGCGGGCCTGACACTTTCTATACCCGGGATAATTGAACAAAATAAAACTCATTGGCCCAATCGTGGGCTTTTCTGATTTGACGATAGGACACATCTGCATTATTGAATAAATTTTGCAACATTGTTCACATCGCAAGTGCATGTCTTTCCGGATCTATTCAAATTGATCTTGAATGTTCTAACCAATTGCCTGCTGTCTACTGTTATACTGCACCGTTGTTTTGTGATTCATATGATATTCTTTGGCAGCTACATCACATGAGTTTTTTTCAATGCAAAAATTTTATCTTAAAAATAACTCCGTTTTCAAAAGGACCTACGTGTACGTTAGATTATTCAAAGATAAAGGAAACTTGCCAGACGAAAAAAAAACAAACACCGAAAGCGTAATTATAGACCATAAAAGAGCGAAGATGGATAAGGACACGAAAATTCCCAGGGATTGCGGTGAAAAAAGTATTAAAATCAACTTGCGCCAAATTTCCCAACGAGGGATGCAGGAACTGCGTAGTTTATCCTCTTGACGCCTCTTAAGGCGGAAAATTCATTTAAATTATCCATTTAAGTCAAAATTGCCGAGTTCACAAGTGAACCTCTTTACCCCTTGCCGGAAAACTTATCATCAAAGCCAGACTTTTTCCAAAAATATCAAAGTAGTCATCCATTGTTTAATGCTACATTACAAAAATTGAGACAAAGCCATTACGCTGAAATTTCATTTTCGTATATGCTAGTTTTCATTTTTGGTTATTTTTGGCATTGGTTTGGAAAATTTTGAAAGGATGCCATAGGCGGAAATTGGTCTAGAAGGTAACCTTCTTAAGTAACATCAGCAACGCAAAGGGCACCATGCTATTTGTCAAGTGTCAGTACGTGACTCGCGGAATATCGTTAGAAAACTCGCCTATTTATGGTCAATCAGGTATAACAATAAAACTGACACGATGTTTTCAATCTAAACAATCTTGAAGAAAAGGTTAGTGTGGGAGCAGTTATAATTTGTTGACAAGGTTGAGTGAGTGCAAGTCGATCCAACCTTGTTTGAAAGACTGGAAAATAAATACAATGCTGTGTACAACTTGCTACTTGTGTTGTGGTAGGGTCCGCTGATACAATACTTGTTGATTGTATTGAGAGACAAACGGTTGAAAAGTTATCATGATCATTACACTGAATGAATATAGCTTGTTTTCCGCATTTGAAATGCTGGGGGTGGACATTTTAACGGATTGCCGAAGTGTTTTCTAGATATTTCTCATTCCTGAAGTTCTGTAACGCATCAATTCTTGGTTTCTAATCGTATGTTTTATAATATTTGCGATTTTTGTGGTTTTATCAGCGTTTAGTAACAAAATATATCTTACTTATAATTCCAATAAAAACCCGAAGGGTTTCATTTTTCACAAAAATTCTTAGCACTTGTTAGATTCCTGATAGGAATATTTATAACAGAGAGTAAATATCTGCTCTATTAAAATAGCAAGATTTTTTTTTTTTTATCAGATGAATGGAGATGAATTATGAAACATGCTACTTATTCAAACCATCACTTGCGAAAACTATAAAACGTCGTCAGATGCTTTTTAAGGAAATTAATATTCCTTTCTTTTTAACATAACTACGATAAACGTCCTTGAATAGTTAAATCTCTACGGTTTATGGCGGAAAATTCCCACTTTGGCAGCATGCCGCTCGGTGAACAAATTCCTCTCCTAAGTCCAACATTAAATCCACTCATAATAGTTTTTCAATTGTCACAAATGTTCAGCAAACAAATTGACTCCAAATTATGAACAAACATGATCTTCTCATGACCAAGTGAAATTTCCGTACATCGCAAAGTCCATTACAAATTGTGTGTATAATTACAAAGTTCGATATTGAATTTATAAATTCGTAATTTTTTTCTAAATCGTTAGCGTCGAGTTTGAATGATGTCAGGACCTAGAGATTCTAAAAATTCTTAGTATGTAAACATCGAAAATTGCGAAATGAGCGCTTCGACGAAATCAAAACAATGTCAAAAAAAAAACACGCTAAATTGTTGCTATCTGTTAAGGGTATGTGGACACGATGCAGTGTGATTTGTTTCACTTGCGTTAAGTTTGCTTTCTTCCACGTTCGATTACCATTGGTTTTTCTTTCGTTTCGATTCACATCTAATAATAAGTTTGACAAAAATATACGGCGACTTCATGAATAAACAGTATGAATGATATAAGCGTTTGATATAAAACACTGCAAGAAGGAGAATCGATTTTATTTCCCACAAAGCACACACTGTCAGAATTATGCCTGTAAGATGTCTAACATGTCTGAATGATGCAGAGATCGTGCCAGCTTTTATACTAGGAAGCTCAGATGCTATTTTTGTCATGTCCATAAATGGTGTGAAATATCCCGTATTGGTTCCTCTTGATCGATTGTATGATTGAATAAAAACTACAGCCAATGAAATGGCAGTTAAAATAGGCAAGTGACTCGCTATGAGAAACCGCTTATATCTTCGTGTGCAGTGAACCAAGAAATGGTAACGTGCAAGCATAGTTGAGTTCAAAATGTCCACCGTTGTCGATCCTTTGCTTTCAACGGTTACCTTGGATTTATTGCGTCCGAAGGAGACATTTGGAAACCCTGAAGAACATTTTAGAAAGGTAAGTGTGTATAGTGTCGAGTAGGTTTAAGCAGAGCGCTGTTAGCGTGATTTGTTATTAGTAGTATGTTACAGCAGTTAGTCAGTTTCATACCGAGTTGGAATTTCTGTGAGACGAAACTAACCAAATGGAACATTTTTAATGTTCTGTTTTCAGCAATGGTTTGACATCGACAGCTTGAATTTTTCGCAGTTCAGTAGTAAGGTGGATATTTTCGATGACAGCGGCGCATTTGACTCCGAGAGCTCATTGGATTCAGACTACGAGCTAAATTACAACGAGAAATATTTCTGTCAGGAAGATCTAATCGAAAGCAAGCTGAAAGATACTGCCTTGTTGTACGAATTGCCTTACCAACAGGATGACATTTCTTTGGAGTTACGAGCAGCTAGTCCGGATGATTTATCAAGCTGCAGCCCTACTACTAGTGAGTCGTCTTCGGACATTGAAGTCCAGCTCGATTCCATCGAGCAGACGGATCTCACGTGCAGTGATGTGGAAATGAAACCCGTCTGTGCTGCTAAAACAACGACTGTGAAACAAACTTCAGAGGGAACGCAAACTGACAACGATGAAGGTTTCGCGGAATCGATGAAATCTGATTCTTTGACCAAACTGGGGAAGCCAAAATTGACGATCGAAAGTTCTACAGCCATCTCTGGGTCGCCAAAGGCCAACTCGAATATATTAAAAGGAATTAACACTTCAGATGCAAATGATGCGAAAGATTCCTCAGAATCTACTCCAGTGCAACTACCAAAAGGAAAGAAAACATTAGCAAGGACTCATAAATGTACATTCGAAGGTTGTAATAAATCTTATACTAAGAGCTCGCATCTCAAAGCTCATCAAAGAACACATACTGGAGAAAAACCTTACCAGTGTAACTGGAAGGATTGCGGTTGGCGTTTCGCAAGATCTGATGAGCTTACAAGGCATTATCGAAAGCACACCGGAATAAAGCCGTTTAAATGCACCACATGCGATCGAAGCTTCTCTCGATCAGATCATTTGTCGCTTCACATGAAGCGTCATTACTAACGAATTCTTAAGGCCTCATTGCAAGACAGTGAACCTTGCTAGAATATTCCAAGCTCGGTTTTCAAACGTAGAGCTGTAACATTAAAAAAGATCTGTACTAAGATATGTTCTAGTGATACCGTATGTACAATTTTATACATTATAGACAATATTCCACAACATGAAGACTGTGAACGACCAGGTTCAACAGAATCATCAAATGGAGTAAAGAATTTAAAAGAACAAAGAGAAGAACTTATTATTAAGGTGGCAAACACCACTCCTGAACTGTGTACATTTATGTTTGAAAATGGAAATAAATGCAAAGCATTAAAATGAAATGTATTTTACAAAATGTTTGTTTCTTGTCATGACTTGTAGGTCATGTGCTTTTGAATAAACAGCAGACTAGAAGGTCACAAGTTTTTGTCGCAAAACTTATTTGAATGGTAGAAGTCAAACTAGGAGTAAGTGAGGTTGTAATAATTTTTTTTTGGCCTGCAATAGCCAATTTTTGCGGTCAACACTGTTATTGAATGATGGACTGATGTATTAATAAGTTTGGTTTAAAAATTACTCTGTGCAGAATTTAAGGCAGGCCTTGACTCGGCTGTGCAAATATTTCAATGTTTCTCAACAGCTTACAATTAAATAGAGCAAGCTCTAAAATGTCGTGAATATTTATTCTGTTTGGGCCTGAATTTTTACAAAAATGAAAATGTGGGCCGTGAAGTCAATGAAACTATTAAGTATAATCAAAACAAACAAAACAGTTGAAAAATCAGAACTAACAAAAGTGTCATGACACACATGTCATGGGATTTTAAGAAATGCTGTTAAGACAGGTGAGAAATGAAGAGTTTAAATTAAAGTGCAAAAAAAAAAAATGGTCACTGATATCAAATAATTTTTCTAAAAATGTTATCAGCACTGATAATAGAGAAATGCCACATCTGTAATCACAAATATATCACATGTCATCTAGTTTGAAATTTGTAGGTTAATTTTAAATGAATCATAAATGTATACATGTGTTTACAATATTTTCATTATTCTTGTTCTGACAAAAAATATGGTAGCTGTTCTTTTTTGGCTTGATTATTTATGAGATTCAATGTACGCAACAGATGATCAGGAAATACTTTTGAAAGATATCTGATCATAGTCTGCACTGAGCTAAACTGGAATGGATTGCATTAAAATCAATCCCCTGATGTGTCTCATTTTGTATTCCTCAAAAATGACCGCACTTAAGTATAAATTATTCAATTACTCAAGCCAATATTACTCCCGAACATGATTTAATGAGAATTGGTGATAAATGTTAATGAAAATATTGTCAAGTTTGTCTGAACCTCACACATTTACAGGCTGACGGGAGACACAAGAAGCTGATTGCATTTGCAGCAGTCAATCACTGCTTTGTGAAAAAACCATTTGGACAATTCTCTAAGAATGTGACGATTTAATTTTACTTAAATCCTGTACAGCAAAATGAATTGAAGTCGTACATGAACATTGAGCATTACAATCCAAAGTCCCAAGTCCAATTGCCAATAATATTTTAACAGGAAGTACGTTAACAAGGAAATTTTTAATAAAGCAGATTAAAGATAATGAAGATTAAGCTGATGGGACGTATTTTTTTATTTCTGGACGAGTAACGGAAATTTATTAATCAACGAAACCATAAGGAAAGTGTGCGGCCCATATGTTTTCTAAATTTTTGTGTGAAAGATTTAGTCACGCAACAAGAGTGTCACGCAATATAATTATCTGCCTTATATGACCACACAATATATCGTGTGCTCAATTTTTCGCGTCACGCAAGGAGCGACTTACGTTTTTTTTTAATATTATTACAAAGAGTGACTTCCTTAGTCAGGGGGTAAAGTTGTTGCAGGCAGGGGGATGGTAAAGCGACAAAGATCTTTCGATGGGAGGGGAGGGGTTGGCCGGAGAGAGAAATACGTTAAAGAAGGATTAAAAATTTATGTTTGTATATCAAACATCTCAGGCAAAGGAATAAACAAGGAAAAAAAATACTTAGAGGAACTTTTTCCTGAGTTCACGAGTTACTCACCACCAGCAGGTTGGTTATAGGGAGTCATGTGTTTATTACACCAAAAAAGTAAATGTCGTCAGGAGCTTTCAGTGATGTATTGTTAGTGTCATTCATGGGGAAGGAGTTAAAGACGTTCTCGGTCGTTAGAATTTTCTTAGATTTGGCTGGGTTGGAATTTTAATTTTCTTTTGGACGAGGAGGGAGGGTTATAATTATTTCATATCATGAATTCTCTTGGAACTTACTTATAGCAAGCCCATAGGCACAAGCTTTGTACAAGACCCTGTGATTAGCAAATAGTAAAATCTATGAAAAACGAAAACGATATGTCCAACTCTAATTATAACCAACATATTTTAACGATAACTTGGTACCTTAAAAGCTTACTCTGTATTTTCTTTCCCTTGCATTCTATCAGAAGGCAGACATGCGGACCTGTTTCAGCGTGTTACATGATATGGCTGCTTTTCTGTGATTAGGGCTAAGTGTGTCACTGCTGGATGACATTTAGGAAAACCGTCCACAACTATGTCTAACAATTCCTTGTAAAGCTGATAAATAAGGTTTTCATAATGATAATATCTCACTTAATTCCGAAATTTGGGTGTCTTCGTCTTTGTTAGGAACTCTCTACTCTTTTTATCAGTTTGTTCGTATTGAAATATTTCTCAGGGTCATATTTTCTCGTGAGTCAAAATATTTTACGAATGATGAGCCAGAATTTACGGTCATTTCATGGCCGATAGCTTTTAAACGGAGTTTTATCCAACTGTTTCTGATTGCATGAAAGTTTGGGAACAAACATGGCCGACTGCACTTCGATTGCCGGCAAAGGTTTCAGGCATTTTTTTGTGGAAGGGATATTCATTGGGTTATTGCATCTTCTTATTTTCAACATGCTGTCCATTGGTAATAACTGTAGATACTTCTTGTATAAAGTCTTTCGAGAATCTCGACTATCTTTGCTCGGAAAATCGGAATCTAAACCACCAGCCTTCACTGATACAACAGAAGGGTTGAAAAGTTCTCTTGTACCCAGGCCCTTTCGCGTTTTTGTTGCCAAAGGTTGTCGTAGACCTTCCATACCCTTTTCGATCTTTGATTTCCTCCTCGCCGTAAGCCTCTTCTCTAAATTACATATTTTGGCAACGGGGCTTAACACAGGCCCTGTATCAAGTAAATGTTCTCTCCTTTCCGGACGTTTGCCAGGGTTACAGTTGGTGTTTACCCTCGCATTACGAGCCGTTCTGTTCAAGGGTAATTTTTTTCCCATCTCTTTATCTTGCTTATCAGGTTTTTTTGGGATCCCACGCAGTATGTGGAGATTATTGGGTGCGGAGTGTCGAGAGCTTTCTTCGTGTAAACGGCATAACAATGTGTCCATGGTCGACCTATCGCTTTGTGCTGTTTCTAACATGTTAACAGCGGATCTTGATGTGAAACTTCCACTGTATGAATGACACCAGTCTAAAATGATCGAAAGGGAACAGATGAAAATTTAAAGAGTTCTTGATAATTGAATAAGCTAGAATGAGGCCACTCCCCTTACACTGCCGACAGAGGGGTTGAGGGGGGTCTCCTAATAGAGGTGGGGTAGGGATCTAGCACGTCTTATCAGCGTTGTTTATTTGATTGTCTCTGGACACTTAACTGTTACCTGCCTGAGCAAGAAAAACGCCCGTAAATAACCTAAAGTTCCTTTTACCACACCTTCGGCCCGATTTCGAAATACGAGAGGGGGCCTTTCGCAATTAGAATTTTGAGAAGCTGACTTGTCAAGTGTTAGATTTCAGCATAAGAGACATTCAATTCGCTCACCAGCTCTGTTTGTTATAAGAAACATCGATCGTTCTTCATCATTAAGCCACTCGACAATTCCTTCAAAGCATGAAACAAAAAGACAGTGAGATATAATAAAGTTCAGACATTATAACTTTCAAGCTGGCTTTACCCTACATAAGTAGTTTATGGTTCAAACGCCTGGTTAGGCTAGGGTCTCTAGGTTTCATTTTGGGGAAAAAAAACAAGCTCTCCTCTAAAATTGTCTTTAAATTCAGTTGAAAGACTACGTAAACCAGTTTCAGAGGTTTGATAGAAACTTGTTTCGTGAAAGCTCTCACCCACCTCTGTATTCTACCTTCAGGATCATTTTTATAGTTCCAACAGGTAACTCAAACAGGGGAAAAATTTTAAATTACGCGCGGTAAGTTCTCGTTAATTTCTTGAAGGACAGACTGGTTTCTTTAGATCAGATAATTATTATCCAAGCTGTACGTATATATTTCATATTTTGAGTTCCAAGAACTGAATAACATAGGGAATTATATATATTTTATTTTTTTTGTCGATAATATTCTTCTGTTTCCTTATTACCCAAGTCATCATGTAGAAGCAATAACTGACTGATTTCCCAGCCACAGATATCCTCTCCTCGTGATACAATGGAGGAATTCCTGTTAACAGAAACATAAAATACTAAAATTTCACCAATAAATCACCCTTCTTGCTAATCTCTCGTCCATAACGCTACTGAATTTAAGTTTGGTACTGAAGTGCACTGCCACCGAGTGACGTTAAACCAAAATGGAAGCCAAATAAGACCTAGGAAAATATCACAAGGATAATGCCCGAGCGCTCAAAGTGAAACCAGTGCAATTCTGGAGTGCAATCTTGGTCAAGAACTGAGTTCTACAATTTGCAAAAATAGAACTGGATCTTGGTTAGGAACACAGGAAACGGGAGCAATCACTAGATTTAGTAAAAGAAAAATGCTGATGAAAATTTTCCTGTGGTAGACTGTCCGGATCAAGGAGATATGACCTTACCATTTACTACCTGTTTCGAGAAAGGGTATATTTCGTTTATGAATAAATTCATACAGAATAATTCTCGTAATTACTATGCTCAGTATTTGAACGTGCTCAAGGTTCCTATTCCTGCAATCAAAAACTCCTCATATCAAAATGAGTGAGAAATTTATATCCTTCACTACTAAGTAAATATACTTGGCATGGTGCAAAGTGTTTATAGCTAAACATGATTGCTAGTTAAGTGGGATCTTGAAATGGAGACGATGTCAAAATGGAAAGACAAACGAAGATCACGGGGAAGATAATCTTAGATTAAGGCAGGTTAATATGGGTGATTTTGTGGGGCAAACAGTTGTGAGGCAGTTCTAAAAGCAGGTGTAAAGAAGAGGATTGACAAAAGGATGAAGGAAATCAGAAAATCTGTCTGACTTTTCAAGAATGGTGATAAGTTACTATGACGACCATCTGATCAGTCTGCGAATGCCGCACGAGAGTGTCAGTTTATAAAATGTTTCTACAATAAAACTGAGAAGTGAAGAACTAACGATATAAATGTTTTATGACCTCTTTTATTCTCAAAATAATCCACCGAAATGATAATTCAAGAATGAAGGGTCCTTATCTCGTTAGAAACCTTCCCTTTCAGTGTAATTTATACCTTATCAAGCAATGGCTGATGGAAATGATATAGCAACGCGCTCGCTAAGCCAAATTAGAGGGAAAATTAAGGCCGATAGGAGGGAGAATTATTGATCAGGTCCTAGGTACGTGTTGAAGGGTTTGAATTAAACTCAGTGTTGTTTTGCTCCAGACCTACTGTGAATTACCGAGACTAAAGCTCATGAAACAGTGCATATTTTGTTATATTTCAACCTAAATATCGCTGAATGCGGTTTTTCTCTCAAGCAAGATTACAAGGGCTTGAGGCCGTTGAAAGAATATTGAATTTAAGGATAGCAAACCAAAAATGTAGAATATTTGATTATTTAAATGTCTTGCTGTTCACGAGGAAAGATCATTGCGAAAGTTTTGAAAACGTTTGCTTTCTTTAGAATCACTTTACATTAGCTTTACCACAAGCAATGAAATAATTGATGTTTTGTAAAGGAAATAATTTGAAATGCATCAATTTATAGAATTAATGGATCGCCTTAGTGTATGTTCATGCAAAAGCCTTCATAAGTAAAGGTAATCAAGCACAATGTAAATTCAAGATTTTCTTATCTTCTTCCGTCATTTGAAACAAAAGCATCCATTATTGGATGTTTTCAATGAAGTCCTCAAAGTGTCTACATACAAAAATAATCTGGTTCTTGCTATTCTTAACATCCATCAACTTATTATCGCAGTACTAACCTCAAATCTTGTGCCGAAATATGTTGAAAATGTTTCGTTCTTAGGCTATCTTGATTGGTACTGTAATCTCGTTTCGTTTTATTCCTTAACGAGCACGGAGTTTCTTGCATCATGTCGGATGACGAATTCAAATTTTAAACTAATTTTTCACGGTTTATCTGTCACAGGAAATGTAATTCAAGAACGGATGGACATTCATAGTCCCCTAAAGTGTTCACTATTTACCTTTTCCACAGCAACATCCCACAACAAATTTTCAAGGTGTCCGGAAATTGCCTAAAAATAGCTCCTAGTAAACAAAGATGAAGGCTGAAATCTGTCCAATTAGTGATTTAAAACGTGAATTGCGGTTTCGTGATTAGAATTTATCTTTATTTCACTTCCATGGTTTGTGAACAAGTGACAGTACTGTTTATACAAAACCTGCAGGGTGCCTAACTTAAGTTCTGTCTATGTACATTTGTTTGTGCTTGAGTAGCTTCGATAAATAGAAATCCTGTCATCTCTATTTTCATTACACTACGGGATTCAACGTAGCACCTTTTTCACACGCTTTTCAAAAGCTTTTAAGAACAAAATGAATTGTAATGGAGGGCTCTTACGACAATCTGATAATTATTCCTCTGGGAAAGAAACGGCTTTCACAGACTCCAACTAAGCAAATCTAATTATAATTACTGTGGGATGTCTAACAAAGTTATGTTTATTTTTTCAAGTAAGTAATCTTTATTTTGTTAAAGAAAACGTTTCGTAGAGGTGAAGGAAATTAATGTTTTATGATCTAATGAGCTCTCTTAAAGTGAAGGGAACATTTTTTAAGCTGGGAAACTACAATTCTAAAATACACTTTGATTAGTTTTAAAAATTATTTCATTGTCTTACGGCTAACATATTTTTTCTTGAACAAAAATATATGCCCGTCATCTGCTTCATATGCAAGCATTTCACTTTAATTTAAATCCTTTTTTTCGTACCCAGATCTCAAATGGCGAGTAAACGCTGAGAGTTATGGGTAACAAAGTATAACAAGCCATTGTAAAGGACGCCAGTAGTTGGGAACTTTCAACGGAAAGCTATAACGGTAGGCAAAAGCTAACCCGGAGAATGTAGCTGATAGTCAGTGAGATGGAAAAAAAGCGTAGGTGCGGAAACTGGGGAAAAGCAGATATAAAAACTCTGACTTGTTAGGTCGAAACCAGTTTTCGCGCGGCGTAAAACACAATTCGACTTTGAACTAAGAACAACATCATTAACAAATTCGTTGGAGGATAAACGATGGCCGAAATATTCTTTCACAAAATTATTATGGATCGTGACTAAATAGCAATAAAATCCTTAAAATAAGCTAAATTATCTCAGAGGCAAGAATGATGATAAGGGATGTCACATTCATTAGAAAATTGTGTTTCAATGGGATTCGAAATACGATACAGACGAACGGTATGATAAGACTAGACGTTCCCGGAAAATTGAGTGTTTTATATGGGTGTATATATTAGAACCGATTTGGGTAGAAACATTGTGGAAGAAATTATTTTTTTAACAGAAAGTTATGCATCTTTTTAAGGATCCTCATTTAGGGTGAGGAAAGATTCGTGCACTTTGTCCAAATCCATCATACGACATCCCTCTACGCTTATCATCAAAGTCATCGGCACGTTCGTCATCAAGCCCTCTGCGCATGCCCCTGCTCTGGCTCAGACCATTTTCGTGTGTATCCCTGAATCCTCCACCGTGTGAAACTCGGTCTCGAGGCCAAGTGTCTTGTTGTTGCAACTGATGCCTGGGTTCTCTCATTCTCATCCTGGTCAGAGTGAAGTTGAGTTTGGCGGGTTTATTAGGCAGTACTGTACATGATTTGGTTTCCTGTTCAAATCCTTTGGCCGAAACCGTGATGTCATAAGAGCCTGGTACTAGTAATCGCCAAAAGTCGCCGTCACTCGCGGAGAACACATCATGGCGGCGATTTGAAACAGCTACTCTGGCTTCGTCCACTGGGTTACCATCTTGATCTTTAACAAAACCGTGTACACCAGTATGGACCTAATGATAAGCGAATACTTTATAAATCAACCGAGAGGTAACTCATATTGAATTCACAGTAAATTAATCTATAAGGATATTTTGTCAACTTTACTTCTGACTGACAGGCGAGCGCGAAGTTGGCTTCCGCGCTGAGCGTGTCAGAAATCTTAATTCCGTAGACAAGGTGGAATAGATTGTCAAGAGTGACATTTACGCCCCCCCTCCCCTCATTCTCTTTTAGCCTCACCCCATCTCCCTTAGTTTGCTTTGTCTCATCTCAGTTCCCTCATTATCTTTGACGGATTAAATCATACACGCTAAATTTAGCGGTAGTCTTCTCCGAAGCGATCTTTAAGCCTAAGAAAGAAAATTTATGATCACCCCCCTGTCCCTATAGCACGCTGCGACAAGCCTATTTTAAAATCCTTAAAATTAATAATCTATGGATTATCATTTTTGATATACCTGCTCTATATAACTGAGGAGCGCTTCTTTGTTCTCCTGCCAGTATTCTGGCAGTTCGCTTGCATTAGGAAACTTCTGACAACCGAGTTCAAGCGTAATATCAAAGCAGTTAGAGTGCACATAATTGTAATCTTGCATTCCTCCCGATACGCTGAACCACTTGGCACCATTTGTTATTCCGTCTATAAAATGCTCCCGCGGAATCTCTTTGCATTTCCAAGGTGCGTTTGCTAAATGCATTGTGGGATGTGCCTCTGAGTACGCACGTGCAATCTGTCTGAATACGTCATCATCAGGCGTGGCGCTGTACACGCTCTGTCCCGAGGGATTATCATCATACGGGTAATTTGCCACGAGAGCCCCACTATGCAAACTGGCTGACAGCACAAAAGGAATAGAATTGATCCACTTCATGACAGCGCGGGTTTCCGGTTGGGGTGGCCCGTTGGTGCTTGGAAAAAACTGATCTGGAAAATTACGATTCAAGTCGATACCGTTAGCATTAGGTCGGCTTGATTTCCAGCTGTCTTCCCCATCAGCGAATGTAGCAGCCATCTCGTATCCGTCAGGATTCATACTCGGCATAATGTGGATTCTAGTCGTGTCCACAATGTTAGTGACTCTCTCGTTGACTTCGTAGTTTTTGCAAAGATACCTAATTAAATGAAGAAGCATCTCTCTTCCTACTGCCTCATCCCCGTGCATGTTAGCGACGTATTTAAATTCTGGCTCCCCTGGCTCGTGCTTCCCTGGGTTATTGGAGATTTCCATGACCCACAATTTGCGGTTCTGCACCGAGGTACCAATGTCATACAAACGAGCTATTTTGCTATATTTTCTGGAATACTCCTTTAAAAGCCATGTCATTTCTTCATAATTATGATGCCTAAAGCTCGAATTCTTCTCAGGTATTTCAGTTTTAGAGTCTTTTTCCAACTCCTTCAGCGTGCTTTTAGCATCTTCTTGGCTGTGGTCTTTCAGTTCTTCTTTGGCGATTGCGAGTTTATGTTTTATATCCTTGATGGTTGCAAAACTACCTTTCTTTCCATTATTCGTGTTTGGTTCAGTATCATGTTTGTTTTCCTTTTCGAATGATATTTTTTTAGCTCCTTTGTCGGGTGGCTTTGCAGAAGAAGATAGCACCAGGCTGTGAAGGATCATAAACAGTACGAACAACTTTGCACGAAGCATGGTTGAAGTGCTCACAGGACTGATCACAGTTGGAAATGTCTGTTCTTTTGTTACACAATATGAATTTAGAGCTCGTATGTTTCTTCTGACATCACCACAGGAGTGGTTGACCGCTCACCACACCTTACAAAGATTTAGTTATGATCTCTACATCTCTCATCGCATCACGGCTATAAACCATTTGTAAATGATCCTTTATCGTGTTTCATTTCAACAGTTCACAAACAAAACTGCAGTTGCATTAATACACATTCGACATGTCAGAAAACTGAAAGACCGCAAAGTCCCAATTAAAATTTAAAGTTTGTCCTCTTGCTGGAACACTTAGATTTAAAGAGTAAAACAGAGTTTTGGCGATCGATTTGTAAAATCCAATTAACAGACCACCTGCTGAGAGATGACAGGTGCAACAATCTACCTGCTCCGAATCTTTTAGCGCAAAAATCGTCTGAATAAATATTTTTATAAGTACATTTGTATTTGAACTTTTTAATGAAAAGCTAGAAAGTAAAGAGCACTTCAAAAATTCTAATATGCAGCGGGTAACCTTGTGAAGTAATTTTGTTGTTGACCTTATTAAAATTAACTTCAGATTGATGCAGTTTACATGATTTGTTGATATCTGAAAATATTTTACAAATCTGCCAAAATATGGATTTTAGAACATAATTGTTTCCCACGAGGAAAAGAAACGAGATGCTTAGAAGAATATTAACCCAAACAAAGATGAGAAAACCCCGTAAATTGCTAAGACAAGCATTTGTTTTCTACTACACCACACCCATTTCAAGAATAAGATCTAAATAAAGAGAGTGAATAAAGTTCTGTGGAAGAATGTCAGATTATGGACAAGTGATCTAATTCGCATTTTGGACTGATTGAATTTCACAGCGGAAGACATTTGACGGTTTGCGATACTAAAGATTTTTCTGCTTTTATATATTTGCTGTTTAGCCGTCCTACGAGACGCTAAAAATGCATCTTATATCGACGTTTGTGATTTTTTTTTTAATTCTGAGTTTTCATCTTGGAAACTGCAACCCGTTTCTAAGGAAAGTTCTTGATATGTTCCACGGTGGCAAACAAAAATTTCAGGTAAACGACGAGACAAGGAAAAGCGTTGATATTCTGGATGTAAATGAATTTAAACACCACGATTACGAGGAATTGACCTGGTTTTTAAAGTACTTTGCTAAAAAGTACCCAGACATTACAAGATTGTATTCTATTGGATACAGCGTGCAGAACCGTAAGCTATGGGTGATGGAGATATCAGACAATCCCGGAAAACACGAAGCTGGCGAAGCGGAAGTAAAATATATCGGAAACATTCACGGTAATGAAGCCTTGGGCCGAGAACTTTTATTACAGCTGACAAAATACTTTTGCGAAAACTATGAAAATGACCCAGAAATCAAGAATCTTGTGCAGCAGACAAGAATACACATTTTGCCGAGCATGAACCCGGATGGTTACGAATTGGCAGCTGTTCGTGGCAAGGGGAACAAACTGGTTGGAAAGAGAAACGCTTTTCGAGTCGATTTAAATCGTAATTTTCCAGACCAATTTTTCCCCAGTACTACTGGTCCACCACAGCCCGAGGTCAGGGCTGTGATGGACTGGATAAAGGAGTACCCGTTTGTATTATCTGCTAGTCTGCATAGCGGAGCTTTGGTTGCGCTCTATCCTTATGACGATTCACCGTCAGGACAGAGTCAGTACAGCGCTACACCGGATGACGATGTTTTCAGACGTTTAGCCAAGACATATTCGCAGGTACCTTATGTTTAATTTAATTCCTAACGGTACCAATTTGAGGGAGATGTCTAGATAACTCGACCGTTAGGGTAAATCTTACATGTCTTACAAATCCTTCTAGTTGCTGCTACAAGAAAATGTATGCAGACCTTTGAGGAAAATTTATGAAAGAAAGAATTAAGTGTTATTTCCCTGAAAGTTTGAATTTTATCACTTGAGCTTTTAGCATTTACTATTTGGGTTTGTTATTCCTTTCTGTGAATTTAGCGTTAAGTATCATTTTACATATTGATGAATTTCAACTGTCGGTGACCAGTTTGGGGAAGGTCTTATCCCCCTTTTTTCACTCTTTACAATCTAGCATCAATATGCATATTCTCCATACTGCTCTCTGTATATTTGCTGTGATATTGACATGGAGAATTTATATAAAAATGAAGAGCTGCTTAAGTAAGCGATCATTTCCTTTATTCTCATGACCTTAATGTTTGATTTAGCAGTGATAATGTAAGGAGATATAGAGTGTTGGTCAATCTTAGGAGTCGAAGGGTTTAAGTCAAAAACTGATTCGCTGCTTTGTTTTCTACCCAAGGCGCATCCCGTGATGCATCTGGCAAATCCTAAATGGAACTGTACGGATCAAAAGGAAGAACATTTCATAGACGGCATCACAAATGGTGCCAGCTGGTCGAGTTTGTCTGGAGGCATGCAGGATTACAACTACGTTCACTCGAACTGCTTTGAAATAACACTGGAGCTTGGCTGCGATCGATTTCCTAAAGGTTCCGAGCTGGAAAAGTACTGGCATGATAACAAGAAGGCTTTGGTGGAGTTGACTCAGCAGGTATGAGACTTTCTCCTATTTTGTTGAAATGTCATTGTGATGCAGATTCTCTGCCTTCGAGACCGGTCATTGTATTCTGATGACCTTTCCCCCCCCCCCCTTAGTGGCGCTTAAATGGCGGTCAATTTTCTACAGTTCCCCGTTATTTCTACAAAGAGTCAAACATGTATCATTTCTCTTGCATCTAAGGTGCATTATGGCGTGAGTGGATTTGTCAAGAACATACAAGGAGAGCCTCTCTCTGATGCAACCATTAGCGTTGCAGATCGTCGTCATGACGTCACTTCATCAAAGGATGGAGACTTTTGGCGTTTACTCGTACCAGGTTCATACGAAATCACAGCCACGGCACAAGGTTACCAGCCACAAACCCAGCTTGTGGAGCTTCGGGCGTTTGAAGGGAAAGTTGTAAATTTTACTCTAAAGCCGACTCAGGAAGACGGGATGAAGATATCACTTGAAGGAAGCGAAGACGAATTATTAGACCGAGTCATGGTGAGTCTAAGATACACAGCATTATTTTTTTTACTGATTTACAGAGTAATTTATCTCGGAGCTGTGTTGGGATGTGTACTTGTCCTGTGGAGACGAACGAAAAAAACCAGCGAACGTTTTCAAGAGCAAATAAGGAAAAATGAGGGACAATAAGGGCGCTCATTTCACTCATATTCAGTTCAAGATGGAAACGTAATTCTGTTTACTCAATCCTTCAGTCTGTGATCCTTCAATTTTTTTGACACGTCTTTTTATGTCATTTTTAAACAGGCAGGAACCTTTGTCACGGACGAAGGAGTGGATCCGAGGGAGCATATCATCAAGCTGACCAATCAGAATGACAGAGAGGAACAGCCGTTTCATAAACACGTATTACATCCAGGGCTTAACGACAGGTGTGTCATGTAAGGCGTTATGAAATGAAATCATAAAGTTGGTCGGACTTCGCTGTAGTAGTCGCCCTTTCTTAGTCACCTCAGGCACGTCGACGCACATTCATCGAGATCTTACTATGACAGCTCATCAACTTGCAAAATGAGCTTTTGTTAACGTAGGCTTGGTTCATAGACTAAGACTAATAGTTGGGTTGAGTTAATGTTCTCAGAGAGCATATTCTCTTGTCGTCACTAGTATCACGAACACAGCAAATAACCGTGTTGATTTTTTCCTTTTTTCATATTTATAGATCTAGGTTGTCTCTTGAGAATGCGCTTCTTAGCGATGAAACTGCTCGTGGAAGTGGATCTGTTGAAGAAAGCAAACCCGACGATATCTCTGGTGAAGGAGGAGGGAGTGGTGACGTAAAATCCAAGCAGGAACCAGACAGACGGGTGTCTCATCCAAAACCGGTTAAACCAGACAAACCTGTCACTATCTCAAGACCGGTAAAGCCGGCTAAGCGTGTCACTATTCAGAAACCGGCTAAAACCATCAGTAACAAGACAGCCCCCAAAGTTATTACAAAGCCCCAAGCTCCTAAACCGAAAATCAATGTGATACAAAAGAAACCAGCGCTTGCAGCAGGGAAGAAAACCATACCCTCTAAATCACCTGCCACAGACAAGCGCTTCTTGAAGTTGATTGGCTCAAACGTGGCGTGTCGTCTGGTTGGAAAGAAGGGATTAAAGAATGGAAACTTGAGGTGGGTGGGGCACTTACCCCACTTGCCATTAGACGACTCCCATCTCATCGCTGGTGTGGAGTTATCCACCGATGATAAACTGGGAACTGACGGCACATATCGTGGTGTAAATTACTTTAAAAGTGCTCCGAAACGAGGTTACTTCTTCCGACTGAGGGACTGTAAGGCTTTGAAGCATTGAAACTTTATTTCCCTTGAACTGATTCGAAATTATCCGTCATAAGCTGCACGGCATTCATTGTATGCTAGTTTCGAGAATCTGGTGTTATATGGGGATGACGTATAACAACCATTCTGCTCCTCAGAGAGCATCACTAAAAACCGCTTTGGCTCTCCCTTACAATATTATTTTCATCATAGTGCGATATCATTATCATTTGTTAAATTATCATTACTATTATTAGCTGATGCCTTTTTGTATTGTCATCAACTTTTTTTCTGTACAAAGTTTTGATATTAATCGAAACAAGAAGTTATAAAACAAAAAATATATAGCCACTAAACAGTAGAGTGAAATGCAACCTTTTCAGTGACACTAGAAATATTGGTGTTAGACCTTCATCAGTGTTGTTCCTGACGGACAGTTCAGATTAGCGTCAAGACTTTCTTTGTAGCTTCTCTTGACCTTGCTAGTTTTATCTTCACAGTTTCCTGATCAGTGACTGAGAATTTTTTTGATAAGACGTAAGTTTTTTGTACATGTAAAGCATAAGTTGATGCAGAATCATTGTTAAACAGGAAAGAAACTAGGAGGTAATGTATTATCAGCGAGAATAACCTGAGAAAAAATAATCAGATTCGTAACATTTAAACTTATCTATTACCTGGTCCAATTCGACGAGCGGCCAAAACGGCGAGAGTTGTGTGAGGGTCTGGCACTATAAAAATGCCAGAACCCTCATGGACCTCTCGCGCGCTCGCATTGAAACTTCTCTCGTGATTGTTATGTTTACCACGTTTTACCGTTTTACTACTTTGTTGTACTGTAGCAAGTCTGGCCTGCAATGACAAAAAATAATGCTGTTGGCCATATTTTCTTAAGTCGCCTGGCAACTACTAGACATCAGCAGCAAAGCATTAGATTTCAACTACTAAAATATTTACTCAAAGGAGTCCACAAACAATTTCCTCCAACGAGAGGGATTTTGCAGTCGCCGTCTGATATGGCTTTTATTAAGGAAATAGAGAACGTATTCTAACTTGTCTCCTACAAAACAATACGATGATTATCCTTTTTATGATATCAGAAGCTTTCCTCCTTGAAATGATACAAGGATGCAACTCTGCGTGATTTTCCTCCCTTCCAGCGCATTCAGCTTCATGCGAATACCGTGTGCATCTCCTGCTATATTCTTCCTCTAATCGACTTATTCGCTTCTCCTCAAATTAATGAAACGAATTATGATTTCGTTCGTGAAGACAACATTTGTTTTAAATTGATGGTGACCGTCAAGGTAACGAAGACTGTAAACAAAGAACTTTCAAGACCATAATCCATCATCGGCTTTATGAAAGCCAAGTTGTCAAATTGGATTTTGCCCTGTTTGACAACGAAACCTGAGACTGCTTTAAACCATTCGGTTCATTTTGCTTGACCTTCTAATTTATTGTCATATAGGTTCCTTGCTAGGCAGCAGAAAAGTAGCGAGTCTATCTAAAATTCAATCTTGAAATTCCCAAGTAACAGTTGTGGAGTTTCTTACATACTGGAACAAAATGGCCTCTATCGTAATTTCCGTGTTTGAAATTGCAGTTGGTTTGCTTGGGGCCAACATAAAAGGAAAGGCAGCGGAGATGCTTAGAGATGGAGATGTAACCGATGAAGAATGTCGGGATTTGGTCATGACGGAAATCAATGACATCAAATCAATGTTGAAAGGAGTTTCAAGGAAAGACTTGAGAGCCAGTATCTCTTATTTTAAAGAAGGCATTGGGTACTTATATCAATTCTTTGACGAGGCAAGGATCCATCGCGAGTACAACGCGGAAACAGCGCATGCTGTTAGCAATGAAGCCCTTTTGCTCACAGAAGAAATGACAAAATTGGATCTTAAGGGCTTGGATGACTCTACCAACCAAGATCTTTCAAGTGCAAAAGAGCGATTCAAACTTGCTCGGGAAAAAGCCACAGAGGCTTTCGCTAATGAAGCACTAAACATATCCGACCGCCTTCTTGCAACACGATACCGAATTATGGCGACCATACTTGAGACAGTGGACAATCCCAAAAGAGCATTAGTACCCTGCAAAGTATGCATTGAAGAATTAAATTGCCTTCCAGCGGTTCAGAATAATTTTGGTGTTCAGGTTACAAGAGGCATCAAGTCTGTCAAGGGTTGGTTTAGAAAAAAGGAACGAGGGACACTAATTTCCAGTGTATGTTCCATGAATCGGGTCCTCTACGATGTCTCACGAATAGTGCTCGGTAGATGTCCTTTGGAGAAGGCATGGCCCACTGTTGATACCGGAGGGAGCGCAGTTGATCCATTGCGTGACGAAAGAATAATTAATGCGCTCCGAAATCAGGGCATTGAGGATTTTTGCGTGAAATGGTCCTTTGGTAAGGACGAACTGAAATGGGTGTCAGGCATCGCTACAAACTCTAGCGGACAATTTATTTTGACAGAACACGCAAGTGCCAATATCAAGGTGTTTGACAGCCACGGCAAGTTGAAAAAACGTATCAGTCTACCGGACAAGGCGATTCCTTTGGATGTAGCCACTGACTTCAACGACGATATCTATGTGCTGGTTGTCATCTTGTCTTCAGATGAGGTAAACTCGAATACCAGCCGCTGTTCAGGAAATGAGCCCAAATTCCCCCCCTCGAGAGGATCGAAGACCGAATCTCAGAAATGTGTGGAAATCGAGGCTATCGATGAGGGAACCCTATGGGTTTACAAGTACACTGAAACTGACGTCTATCAACAACCTTCGGGCAAAGGAGGCTGGGATAGCAAGCTATCGGTCGATGAGCGTGGTAATATGATTGTTTTGAGGATCGGGAATGGGATGTCTATGGAACGTGCGTTGGAAAAATATGACATTAAGTGGCGGCTTGTTCGCAGGTTTAGAGAGGAAACTGCAATGAAAAACTTGAGGGATATCACTTCTGTTAATGACGGTCAAGTCATGGCATTGGATAAGGCGGGTCGCCTTATTCACATCTTCAGTGAAAACGGGGAACATCTTCGGGAGTTTAAGCTGCAAACAATCTATGAACCCGACATCATAACTTTTCATCGGAAAAGTGGACATGTCGTTGTAGCTGGTGTTAGAGAAGAGAACGAGTGTCTGGTTGTGGAAATATACACCAAAACCGGCAAGTTTATACAAAGCTTCCAAATCTACGAGAAAGGAATACGAAGGCTATCAGCCATGACAGTCACAAATGAGGGACAAATCGTTGCGGTTACCAAATACTCCACCAAAGTACTTGTTATGTGACATTCCACCAAAGTACTTGTTGTGTGACATTCCGTTTTGCCCGTTCATCGATGAATTATGAGGCGTTCTTTCAATGATAGAATTCCCTAACCTTTCGCAAGCTGCTAACTTACTTTGGAATGCGCAAAAGTAAACTTATATCGGGCGAATTGAAAGTCTATTTTTACAGTTCCATTACACCCTGTTGGCGACATCCAATCCCTCTCCGTGCCCTCTGAAAACCAAGATTCTCCACCTCATCCTACGGCGAAACTGTAATCAGTGATTTCTGGTCCCTCAGACAAACCTTTCGTGTTTAGTCGTTCGATTATTTCCTTCTTACCGGGAGATAATCACTTCGAAAGTTTTGAATAAGTCGGCGTTGCCAAGTAGGTGTGCCAACCGTTAAATAGTTCAACAATGGCAAAAAAAAAAACAACAACAAAAAAAAAACCAAAGAAAACAGCAATTTTACTTTTCCTAAGCGAATGTCGTTAAAGAAGCGGAGCAAATCTTAACCCTTTATACCCTAACATCAATATTCATATTCTTCATACCGTTCTCTGGACATTTACTGAGGTGCTGACAAGGAGAATTTGTCAAAATTTTACAGCTGTACAATTTTTTCATAAATTTATCAGTTACATTAATATTCTAGGGTTTGCAAGGAACCATTTATAGCGTAGATTCACTTTTCCTATCATCCTTAGCATGATGGGTTTGATGTAACTTCTAGAGTTTGCTTTGACATAAAACGACGAGTAATTTCTGTTTTATGGCAATTGCAGAATACGTAACATACGCGCACCAAGCGCGCTTTTTGGCGCGAAAATATGATTTGGCCTTTTCGCAACTTTCAAAATGGGAGTCTGTTTGAAAGACTTCGCCGCGAAACCTAGAGAGATTTTCAGTTTGCTTTTATCATGTTTATGACCAAAAAGCACCACCAAAGCGTTATTTGATATATTCGTAATTGTATGAAGAAATAGCCATGTCAACACCACACTTTGGTTAACATTTGAGTATATTCTTTGTCATAAAGGACTTAGATGTGGCCTACTGTGACGAGTCTTTACCTAATAAATCAAGTTTAACATCATCGATTAGCTTGATGGTGACTATCCAGAACGACAGCCCCAATTTGAGTTTCATCGGAAAACTATACTGAAATAACTTCAAATTTAATAGCCTCAGAAATCGTCGTTCGAGTATTGAATAATTTAACAGAAAACAATTAAACAGATCTCAAAATGGCAAAGCGCATGCGTAAATTGCTAGTCACCCCGCACCGGAAATTCAGCCAAACATTTGTAACAGGGAAAAAGTCGACTCTCTATTCTGTTAGATCCTATGTGTACTGCGCTGGCCGATGGGATTTGCGTCTTTCAAGAACAGAACTTATCAACAAGAATAATTTTTCCCCATCACTGTTTCTCTTATATATTTTAAACTTATTTCTACCATCATGATATGGATGTGTTGAGCATTAAGTAGTCAGTTCTACCTAATGGCGGGCGCCAGGAGTCCATTAATGTTTGCCTACTGCAGGTGTTCCTCCGTGTCAGTCTCGACTGCATGTTAACACACATTTGAAAAGCAAAAAGGGCAGCAAAGCTGACAAGTAATTCCTTTATTCTTTAACAATTGTTTCAGTTGAGAATACAACTATCTTCCCAGCTTAAATCAACGCCGGAGAGTCAGGTAAAGCTTACATTAATTTTATATTTACAAGCCGAGGCTTAGAAGCCTTTTTTTTCGGAGAGAGCACTGGATCAAAAAGAAAACGCAAAAAAATAACTCTGGCCGATTCAGGCTGTGTGATAGTGATATACCATTATCGCTAGCAGCCGTCAGCTAAAATTTCAACGCGATTTGAAAAAAGGTGCGTGACTGAGGAGGTACCTATCTGGTAGCAAAACGCTCTTTATACTATTTCCAAACTTGAAATTGTCAACATATGTCCATCTTGCAATGTTTTATGACAATGATGCGAAAGCAACTCCCTGGCAATTGTCAATAAATTGTCAGCCAGTTGACAAAGAAGATTCTCATGTGACTATTTATGCGTTCCTTAAAACAGGATCAAACAAGTAATCGCCTTCTCTATTTTCATAACACCGTTACGTGACCAGCTAATTGTGATTCCAAGCCACCAACAGATTAGTCACGCGGTGCTATGGAACGTCACGCGCCAAAGATTTTACTATGATTCCACAAAAAGCTATGCTTCCTTAAAACAAGATAAACTCAACATCGTAAACTCGTTTCCTAATGTAACAATAATGGCACGGCCCGACGCTGTCTATTGAGAAGGATAGAGCTCCATTACTGGTATTACACGTGGTGAATTGATCGTTCAGGAGATGAAAGAGACCTTTGCTTCTCAAAGTCAATCAGAAGGTCGAAATTCTCTACAGTGGTTTCAACATATCCCACAATTCCTCTTATTGAGCCTCTTAGCGGTCCAATAATTTGTGCACCTGGAATAGACAAAGAAGATTATCAACTATAAAGTGGAACCCTCTATTTTGGGACACCACCTTCTTTTGTACTGGGGTCTAACGTGAAAAAAGGTACATTTGTTACATTCGTTTACTGGACACTTCTATTCTGGGATTCTTTCTAGTCCCAAGGGCAGCCTCAAAATGAAGGCCGGAACTGGAATTGCCGTTTAAAATGTGAGAAACTATAGCAGATAGACGTTTCACAGGATGAAATCACAGTGTTTTAACCAATGAAACAAAAACACTGCGCTTAGATGGGTGTTTAACCCTTTGTGCCCTCATATCAGTATTCATAATCTCCATATTGTCATCTTAACTAATCTTATGGTACTGACAAGGAGAATTTTTATTCCAATCAGGAGCTTTCTGCATTCTCTCTCTCTCTCTTTACATTTAACCCTAGGCGGAGAAATTAGAAGTCAGTCACTCCTTGGGTTAAGGGACTTTTGCTGCAAGGAAGACGATCTTCACTCACTTTAGGAAAGACCTATGAACCGTTGCGTTTTCGATGTTGAAAATAGTGATTTTGCATTTCGGTTTTTAAATTAAACTTACCAACGTTTTCAAACGGTGTTCCAAGATACTTCTTGATTGTGGGTGTTTGAGCTTCTGAACTCAGTGATTCGCATGAAGTCTGATCGCTGCATATACTAAAATCTGCGCTGAATCGAGTGTCATCGAATGAACAGGCAGACCTAGTTCTTCTAAGAGACGAGCTTGGGTTCGCTGGTCTCTGAACCTCAGGAGTGTGTGAAGCAGTCCTTTTTAGAGTTTCTTTAGGACGCATACATTCCCGTGGCCAATTCAGAGCTCCCACTGATCGCTGGTTATTGATACGTTTTACTGGTAGCCGGAAAAATTTCGGTGTCGAATGCTCAGAATTCGCAGTAACCTGGCAACTACGAATGCTGGGAGCACGAGAATGTGTGACAGGTTCACCACATTGCGTGACAATAATCGAGCGTGATCGGAGACTAGGTGATCTGGAGGCAGAACGAGATGAAAGACTATCCATAGACTCGTCAACTTCTATTCCTTCACTTCCGCTCAGTTGATAATCGCATGTTTGAATGGCTACAGTTGGAAGCTGCGTTCGCTCGTCTTCGTAAACCATGTTGCTATGGTAATTTACGTTATTCGCAGAACCTCTCGGCACGATTATTTCTGGGAAACTGCTTACTTTGCGTAATGGCATTTGAAGGATCTAAAATGAAAACGAAGCCATCATTAGGTAACATTTAGGCTCCGTTATATAATTTTCCCTCGCTTCTTTAAGATCCTTGGCTTGTTGTCTCTCAGTCTTCAATTAAATCAGTAACAAGGTTGTAATCAACTTGTTCACACGTACAAGACAAACAGAAGAGGATGTATCAAAGATGATAACATGGAGGCCGTCACCGCGGCAATAAAAGAGGAACGTTGAGAGTGAGGGACAGTTACAAACGTAGACGAACAAAAAGATACTATGTTGGAGACAGGTGAGGAACTAGGAACTATTACGAAAGACAGATTGAGGCGTCGAGAGGTTTCTCTGAATAAAACAATACAGAAGGTATCAGGAAGTTCATAATTAAAAAAAAAAGACTCACTTGGGACAATGCTGTGTTACTTCTGGCCCTCATGGCATCAAGCTGAACCCTGCTAGCAGATGACAGCCTCCGACGATCGTAAGAGTCTGTGTAGATTGACTTCGACTTCTTTAAACTTCCCAGATTACACGTGAGAAGCGCCCACCAACACTCGCGCACTTTCTTCTGAATCACGCAATAAAACATGAAGATAGCAAAGCCTTGGAGACTGTTGAAGATCGCAAAGAGATACTGGAACACAAGACGGGCTTCCCTAACAGCAAAGAACCCAAACATCCAGGTGATACCAACTAAGATAAGAATTCCAAATGCTCTTTTGATTTTCAAGAGTCCTTCGCTAGTTCGGTCTGGGTCGGCAGCGTTCGGGGGTCTCGTGGCCAGTTTATACATGATCAGTAAGAAAGTTATGGTATTGATGAAAATAACAAACACTACAGGGGTCATGAAAGCAGCAAAGAATGCCACGTCCCCGATACGACAGCTGAAAAAACAAACAAACGAAACACTTCGTTAAGTGCGTGTTTTAAAGATGGCCGATTTAGACCCACTTTCCCATCGTTATCTGTCTAATATTTACAATTCAATAACCAACACAGTCTCATTAAGTGCGTGCTTTTCAGGTGTCAATTTCAGAGTCCCTAGCTCCCCCTCCCAAGCATGTTAACATCAAAATATTTGCATTTCAGTAAAGTATTTAATCCTTAAAATCTTACTCAACGCATCGAAATTTAACGGGAAAAAATCATGCTCTTTCTTGAAAATTTTTAACAAGCAATACTTATCTATATATCTTAATAAAGCTTCATGAATTTACCTAAAAGTATTTAAATAAAGACGGTGATATAATTATCCAAAACTCTATACAGCATATATCAACCTCAATAAGGGAAAGTTAGGTCTGAGAACGAGACTGGCTCGCATAGAATGAAATGAGCGAGGGGAGGCATGGTGAGGGTCAAATTTCCTTGTCCCAGAATAAAGCACGGTAACCTCACGCTAATACCAAAACCAAAACTTTTTGTCCAGAGTTGAAATTACTCGAAGTTTTAAGTTTCTTAACCCTTTTACTTCAAAGATCCCATTAGTAATTTTCCATATTGTCTGCCATACAATTATCAGTAATTTTAAATATGAGAATTTGGTATTGGATTAACTAATAATTCCCTAATTGACATTTTCTTTATTCTCATCACTTGTTTGCTTGATATTGTATAGATATTGTAAGGAGAAATTCTGTCTTGGTCACTCATATTCGAAACCCAATTGTATCTCTGTTTCACTTACTAGTTTTCTCCACCATAGCTACTTTTATCCACACCTAGAGTAACGATAACCACGAGGAAAGGCACACCTGTAAAATGAGGACAAAATAACTCTAACTGAAGCGTCCTTTACATCAGAAACGGTTCTGATAAGAGGGTAGGAACAGGGGTTAGCTTGGGTAGAGGCTAGCTTAAAAAACCTCACGGTTCTTCTAGCGTCCAGGTTGAGGTAATGATTAAACTTTGATTTTAAAAAATTTGACTGTTAATACAAATAACTTTCTTGTTACTCCACAGTTATGTCTCTTCTTGAGAGCACTAAAATTTTTCTTGTGTTGCTTGCTGCTAACAATTGAAAAGTACATCAACACTTTTTTCGTGACATTCCAAAATATTTTCGTGCACCATGGCTGAAAATTGCGCATCGCCATCACCAAATTCTCGTCTATGATTCTCTTAGTCGTTTTGAACAACGTTTGCATTCACTTCACGTGAGGCAGACCGAAAATGTTAGATCAATCGAGTAAAAAACACTTAGATGCGGAGAATCAACAAAAGTCGAAAAAGAATACATGAGGATGGAAAAGATTATCTCCGATTGCCTTTTAAAAAACTTTAAAAATCTTGTTTGTACTCTAAAAGAACCACAAACTATGACTCTGTTTCTTCGATAACGCGTACAACTGACTCACCCCAAGCCAACGCCGTACATTTCCATATCACGTAATCCCCAAAGTCTCTGAATACTTTAACAAATGCTTGGTACATGAAATACGCCTCGATCAACATCCACAGAAACGCCACCAACAAGAAGTAATGAATAAGGGCTGCTACGATCCGGCAGGCGTCCTCTGCCATCCCGCCCCTCTCCACCCCCGCGACAAACACGATTAGCACACACAGGAGCGAGACACACAGATGAAGCAGAATTTTAGCAGCGATTTGATCCTTTCGAAGCTTCCTGTGATCGAGGATTGAAAAAAAGAAAATCATGAAAACATTTTCCTAAACACAAGTGTAAAAAATTGTCAAGACCCCAATCTTGTACGATCAAAAGAGAGAAGCTGGCTGAGCACACCTCTCAGAAGCTTTTCCTTACACATCACACAATTATACGCAGTACAAACACAGAGCCACATTATGCAAAAGAATTACCAGCACCGCCAAAAACAAGTGTTACATTGCTTTCAATTGAATGATCACACAAAATAGAATTCCCAGATTTAAAAGTCCCCACCACCTTATACAAAGTGATGAAAAGTACAGTTAGAGGCTTTTAGTGAGATTGTCCCACAGAGAGGTTTCGCTCACGGACCTAAAAATGTTAGAACTAAGTTGCCGGGCACAACACTGCTCAGAAGCTTTTGCTGAAATTTGCGAACACTAAGGTTAAATCCGAAGTTCTCGTTCTAAGCTAGCAACATCGCTAAGAAACCAATAGAAAGGATGATTCAAAGTAGAAAATCATCAAGAAATTCAAGTCTGAGTTTGGACAGAAATGATTAACAAGTTCAAAACTCTTACCTGAAAAATGCAAAAGTAAATATGGTCAGCGACAATCCCAAAATAGACAATCCACAGCCGATGTAACTAATCAGCGACAGCACCATAGAATGTTTGCCGCAAGGCTTCGAAGTATGAGCTTCTACATCCTGCAAATAAACAATGACATAGACTCCATGTTTCAGATGTGAATGATAGTCGCTCCTACTGTGCGCAAACGTAACGACTAGGAAAGGTCCACCATAGAGCGGTTTCAGAATCTCACGTTTCAACCCTTTAACTTTAAAGGAGACTAGCATCTAATTTTAACTAACTGTATCACTCCTGAATCAAACATTAAGGTTACAAGAGTAGAGGAAATCATCACCAATTTAAGACACTCTTGATTATTAAACATATTCTCCTTGTCAGCCCCTTAGGAAACGTAAAGAGAACAGTTTGGAGAATATGCATACTGATGTTAGGGTGTAAAGGGTTAAGGAGCTGGGTTCATGACATTGTGTTTGCTACAAGGGGGTGTCCCAATCCGTGACTTGGAGTGTGCTTGCAGGGAGTGTCCTTATATGGGAGGCCAAAGGGCAGATGGGATTTGCAATAAAAGGCTACTCACCACTAGGACTGCAAAGTTAGTCATGTGATTACAATCGCAAATGACGGTATCATCAACTATCCCTCGAAGTGAACAGCCGGCAGTAGACCATTCATCTATGAAAAAAAACGAGACAAAAAATTATTGTAAAACGGTAAAATTTTTCAGGTTTAATTCTCAGTCATGGACACAGTTACAAAAAGAAAAGTAACTGTGACTAAAGAGGATTTAAACTAAAGCATGGAACAATCCAAGGAAGAATTTAAGAACAGTGTAGGAAAACCGGAGAAAATAGTTTCATATACTTTGATCAAGGTCATGTTAAAAAAAAAAAAATGGAATATCACATTTGCAAAGCTCACAAACCAATTCACATGATAATACAAGGTTCTTCTAAGTTACCAACTCTGATAACCTTGAATCATCATATGAATCATATGTTATGAATTATACGCTATACCTCCAAATGCCACTAAGTCGCTGGTGAAGGGATTACCCAACTCCCACACCACCCCTACAGAAAACATTTAGCTTACCCCTCAAATTCAACACCTGACACAATAAGGAAATTACGAAAGCGAGAGCTAACGCTCAGCCACAAGTTGCTACTTAAAATAACGACATATATGTAGCACTCACCGCTTTCAAAATCCCACCAGACACATCTGGTGCTATTCTCGATAATCTGTTTTAAGAAGAGATGAAAGTAAGTAAGGTATTCAGTAAAACAGATCTCGTTAGTAATTCTCCTTACTGTCTGTCAAACGATTCTCATTATGTTTGGAGAATTTGGTATCGGATTAATTAGCATTCCATAATTTAGATTTTTCTTTATTCTCATCACTTGTCTGCATGATATTGTATTCTGTTCTTATTCTCAACAAATTTTTACCTGTTCGTGAGGCATTTTAAACTTAATAACGACGGGCTTGGTCAGGTTGAACACGTGCTTTTTCCTCAAACTCGCAGCCAACACCGGGCTGCTTTCTGTGATAACATCTCCAGTGACGTTTTCCATCGTATAACGTGACCGCGCTGCAGTTTCCCGCTGGAATTTGGACACCTTCTCGGCAGTGAAACCATCCTCGCACTCCTCCGTCTTGCGATATTCAGGGGAATATCTGGGAGCAAATAATTTGCTTGTGCGATAGTACACCACAATCAGAGTCGCATTTTCTTCTGTCTTCAGAGCGGAATTGGGTACAGTCACGCTAGCGTCGATTTCCGCGTTCTCTCCGCGAGAAGCGTTTGCGCTTGCGTTAAACGCAATACTGTTCTGGGTAGTTTGGACTGACAAGCTGACCCCATTACTGGCTCCTTCAATGAGTTGCTCGTGAACAGCAAGATTACGTGTACTTCTGCTAAATTGGCCACCTTTGTCGATGTACTCGTCAAGAAGCTTTACAAATCTGGAAGCGAAAACAAATTACAGGGATTAAATTTTTAGAGCAAGAGGAAATATTTCAAAACAGAGAGCAACGTGAAGCTCTGCCTCACAACCACTTTAGGGTGTCCAAATGGAAATGAAGCCCCCGTCAATTCGAATGTTCCATCAAAATAACTTTGAACCCTTACTTAGCAGATGTGTTGAACTTATATCGGGTTTTCTGCAACACGTCTGTTTCCACATCCATCACGTGACTTATGGTATCCAACACGTGATCACCGACTTCAGATGACGTCATGTTCGTCTTAACAACATTTTGGAGAATGTTTGCTGTGATTGAAATGTCCTTTTCTTGCAAGTCGGAAGACTTGGTTGTAATATTTTTGACTTCCTTCATAACTTTAACTGCGTTGGCGTCAGTGACTGGAACCTGAAAGATAGATAGATGAATAGCTTATAACAATAATTACGCCATATTTGTGCTGTTTCGTGCACTGGAAAAATTAAACTCCGTCAACCACCGAGTCGGGGTTCTTTCCGAAGAAAGATTATGAATTGCATAAAAAGCCTAAGAAGAAAAAGTCAAAAAAGGTTTTCTTTGAGCTAAACAGAACCACTTACTTTGTTCAGTTTCTCCAATGCGCGTGTTATTTGGGAACCTTCGCTGCTTTTCTCTGTAAAAAATTAAAACAAGCAAATGATCATTTGGGACAAGAACCAAACCACAAAGCAACTAATCAAACACCAAATTCTCAAGGCCAAGATCATGACAACTGCTTGGTAGAGTTGAGAGAGTTGATATTCAGATCTAGATAGTGAAGGTGACAACTTTCCTCTCTATTTCATACCTATTGAGTAGGTAATATTTTTGCTATAAGGTCCAGGCCCAACTCTTGTAAAGGCACGCACGCCAATGTAGTACTTCTGATTAATTACCAGGCCCCTTATGTCCTTTGAAAGCTTCTCTTTGCTTATGAAAGTGTACACTTCCCCGTTGGGTTTGTATAAGATAACTTCATATTTGGTGATTTTTCCATTACTGTTCTCAGCACTGGGGATGAACCATGACACTCTTATGTCGTTTTTGCCACGTGGTATGATGACAACATCACGAGGTGGACCGCTAGGAGCTGGAGACGAGAGGAACGGGAAATAAGCAAACGTGTTAAGAGAGAGTTTAAAAACACCACTTCTAGAATATTACTTTAGTAAAAGTAGTTAAGAAATAAAGTAGAGGAATGACAATAAATTAAACAGGAACAGGGATGACGAAGGATGAAAGTAGCATTCCATAAAAAAGGTAAACCACCGCTGTCAAATTGTTTGGGAAACACGTATAAGGAATTTCGCTGAATCAAGGTGAACACGCCTTCTCGAAGGAACCAAATGTTTATGGCTAGATAGATTCTGTTAGAAACTTAGTTTCGACACGTTCAATGTGTTCGTTTCGCGATAATGAAACCATTCTGTATTGATTAAACTCATAACGACGTCTCCTGATTTAATCATTAGCCCAAAATATCTAATCTTACGAGTGAAAAGAGGAACCAAAAAACGGTTTGAATCCGGGGGTAACATTCGATTGTATTGTCTAATCGTCCGTGTAAGGGTAGTCCTAAGAAGGACAATTGTTTGAAAAGTGACTTACGTTTCGACAACCTTGGTGGAGGCCATCATTAGAGTCGAGGAGAATCGACAGTGAAACAATAATCCTTCAGCTACCCACGTCCGGACGACCAGACGACATGATCACAATACAAGTAAACAAACAAACAGGTAAAAAAAGGAGAACGTGATCCTCACCTGCTTCCTTTGTCTCAAAAGACTGTGGCATACTGAATGGTCCTTCGTCATCGTCGTTGTAGTAAGACGCCACTTCTACTATGTACGCGGTATAAGGATGCAGTCCGTCTAAGGTGACCATAGTATCGTCACCTCTGGTGGTCTTGTTTAGCTCCACTTGTACCCAGTCCCAGTAAACTGAGCGCTTTCTGTAGCGAACAATGTACTTAGCAGTGTCTGTCGGTGTGGGATCTTTAACTCGGAAACGGAGAGTCCTAGACTGGACGTCCATGATAACCACTTCTGGACGAGGAGCTGGGATAAAATGAAATAAACAATGTTCAGGGTCCGTAAACACACCTTCACTCACGCAAAGGCTTGCGAACGTAGGGGAGTTAAGTCAAAATAATCAGGCGAAACCAGAAAATAATGTTTTCCTAAGGAAGAAAAACACCAAAGCGGAAGTAATTAACCAAAAGGGAATGATAAACTAAACGTTTGGGATGGAAAAGATTAAAGCAGATTCCTCATGACACACTTACAAGAATAGGCTACATTTTACAGGAGGAAAAACGCAAAATCGGAAACACATACCATGGACAAGAAGATGAATGTTCCGCGTTGCATTGATTGGTAATCCTGGGTACCAGGCCGTGCAAGACAACACTGAACCTCGGTCTTTGTACTTAACACGTGATAACATCAACACGCTCTTCACACTTCCATTCCTTAAGACTGCAGCAGGGGGTGGGGAGGGGATCACAAGTCCGTTTCGATACCATTCCATGTCAGCACCAGGCTGACCGGAAACCAGGCACGTCAGATTGACAGAACTGGTGCGATTCAGTTCCACAGTCTCACTTGGCGGATCAACTACCGGTACGCTCCCTGGATGAAAAAAAAAACGTGACCAGTATAAGATTTATCGCACAAGGCGTGGCAGATGGAAAGCGGATTTGTAACCTGAATTAATAATTGTATTTTTAGGTTAAAACCACAGAGGTGTCAGCAATTAGACTCGTATCATAACCGTTTCATCAACGGTTGTTGGGAAATTGATTGCTATCAATGACTACCAGAGGAGATGGACATGAAACTTCTCATAGCAGTTGCAATAATTGTCACCCAATTATGGGACGAGACTACATAACAATCAGCCAAATTGTGTGAAAAAATTACATTGCATAAATAAATGAAAATGTACACCGACTAGATGGGAGTTAAAAGGGAGTTAGAGAGTATACCAGTATTGATACCCGCGATCTAATTGATAATTCTCTCTCTAACAGTAACACATTTCCTTGTAAATCACTTACGAGAATTTGGTGTTAGATCAAGATAACAACATCTACCTGATAAGTTTGAGTATTCTCATTACCTGTTTGCTGTATAATGTATGGATATTATGGGGAGAAGTTACATATCAATCACTTCTGGGAGTTAAAAGGTTAACGTCAAAGCTCACAGGAGTGGAATTAAAGGCAGACATGGTGATAATTTTAGAGACCAAAATATGTTATTAATCTCCCTTGGCGCGCTCACAAATCTTTATGTGGCTATTCTACAAGCCGAAACAGGAAACTCATCTCATGCACACAAAGAGGAAAAAGGTAAGAAATCAGAAGACAGGAAAAGGGTCAAAGATCTAATTACGTTTTAGTCATGAACAACATCCCTCCTATTTTTAGCTTAAAAATCACAATGTTAAGACTGACACACTCAAAAGCTTTTTACGAGATTCACTATCCAACGTTTTCGCTATCTGGATTTAAAACCGCACTTCGCATCCTACCATAATTACGACAAAAAAAAAAACCAGAAATAAAATCTTTCAATAGTTGATTTCTTTAGTTAGTAGAAGATATTTTCCACCGTCTAAGCTCATTATAATGAGTCGAGTTGGATAATAAAACTCTTTATTATAAATTGCGTTCACTAGTACAAGTTTTTAAATCAGTGCTTCCAATGTCACACAACTAATTCAAGAATGATGAAGGGCTCTTAGCATATAGCAATTAAAAACTCGTTGTGTTTAGTTCGAGAAAAGGGAACTATATTTAGTAAGCATCAAGCGGAGAAACTAAACTGTAATTTGCGTCTTGGCCTCCTCTTCAGCTGCAATCGTTAAAGATTAACTTCATTTTCTTGTACAGCGATTTTCAATGAGTGTCGTAAGTAATCTGAGACTGCATTGGTCAAAATTTACTTTGTCATCTGATTGGTTCCGAAAGCTTCCCGCTACCCTCTCAACCAATCAGATTCAAAGTCAAACCAATAGCTACTTGATCACACGCGTTTTCCCGCGCTTTACGTTGTTTGCCTCTTTTTTTACTTTCTTCCTCTTTCTTCTCTTCCTTATGATATTTCCCTTATTCTGAAGCCTACAGAAATTACTTCCACTCGTTGTAACGACACTCAATCGAAATGCGCTCTAACTGAACATGAAAGCACATCAATCGAACCACGCCTCAGTTCTTAGCACCAAGCCGAGTTTAAAAATGACAATAGCTTGAACAAATCTACCACTAGATGACGTAAAGGATTTGATCTGAATTCAACAAAGAAAAATAACTTAGGCATTTTCATGGTATATCATTTTTCAGTCAAACAATTTGTAATCAGCTAAGCGAAAAAACTAAATCAAAGACTTACAAACTGAAAATCTATCACAGTCGTGTACATAAAAACTAAATTTAAGAACACCCTCGCATGATTCTGCTATCAGTTAATGCGTTGACCCCATTAATACGCGTCCACGAATCTATCTGTACCTTTAGTTGGAAGACACTCGTAAATCTCCACCCGCAAACAGATAAAGCCCCCTGCGTTCCAAGCCAAAGGATTGAAGCGGATGTAACGAGCAAATATTCTGTGAGAAAGGCGCCTCTTTATTACAGTGTCGTTGTCAAAGTTGCCTTGGAAAACCTGATGAAAGGAGAAATAAAAGCTTGGCAAACCTATTTATTTTTAAAGACAAATAAAGTAGAACTGCTCTTCCGGATCCCGAGAGAAAAAACAAATGTTGTGATGACCTTTCAATGAATACATAATAGCCATTTAACTCCCAAATTCTGATTGTTAATTATCCTCGCTAGCTGCTACACAGTTCCACGTAAATTAGTAACCCGGAATTAGGTATCAGATCAAGTTGACAACTTCCGCCTGATAAGTGATTATTCTCAATAACTGTTTGGTGAATGTATGGATATTTTAGAAAAGTTACATGTTAATCACATTTAGGAGCTCAAGGGTTTACAAACTTTATGAGAACCTGAGACGCACTGGTAGCCCCTGATGGGTAATCATTCCATTCAGGCACAGCCGTTTGGACTCGCAATGCAGTTCTGCCCCATAGTTTAATCCCTTTTTTTTGTATTTGCTCATACCTTGCTTCTAGTTTCTCCCCTCTCTCTGAAGGAACGCCACGTAAGCCCATCCGTACTGTAATTCAAGTGATACTTCGATACAAACATTTCCCCCATGTAGCCCTGAGTTGCTACGCCAGACACAGACCGCACCCGACCCAGATCGACCTGAGTTACGTAGAGCACAAATACTAGTAAGTATAGTTATCATGAAGGCACACAAGTTCAGTGGTAGCACCCTTTTCTAAAAAGAGCTTGATAAAGATCTGTTGATGCTTGAGATTAAGGTGTAAATTCGAAAGAAAAGTAGAAAAAAGCATCCGCCAGTCCAGGATGCAAGAGCTTACTACTAAACCTTCCATTTTTAAAAAATTTCACAATCCTTCGCTAATGTTGAGAGAACTTTTTTCGAATTTGGGGTTTAGGTTCTTGGGAAAAAAGAATTCGGGTACAAAGGGGTTTCTTATGCCTGAACCCTCGTTTCACAGGGCTTGTTACACTGAAATCCTCGCTACAAAGGTCGTGAGATGGCTGGTCATTGCTTAACGGGGATTCGGAACATCGAGACCTTCTCCATTATACAGAGGTTTGTTGTATATCAAGCTGCAAAGTAGCCACGCACTAACCTGTAAATACTGGTTCTTATCCTCTTGATCGGTGCACCACCCGCCCCAGTTATATTGACCATCATGGTTCCCTGCCTTATTATTCAGCCGAGCGTTGAAGGCATAATGGTTGTTCCAATGGGAGGAAGCAGAAATCTGTCGGTTGGTGATTCTTCGATCCTCAAGACCAACTGGCGTTTTACAATCTATTGTTGTGATGAAGAAAGAGTCTTAATATTTTTATGAGCCTATGACAAAGTGTTCCCCTTGAGTTCCGCAAGTGGATTTGAACTTTTGGTGGAAACAGAAAGGGTAATGCTCCAAATGAGATAAGCGCGGTTCTTTTGGATTAAAGAGCTCGCTACGTCACCCGAAGACGCATGTCGTTACATTTCTCAGATAAAAGTAAGTTCGAGGAAAATAGTAATCCGTTAACGAACTCGTGTACTTCTGGGGATCATTAACGACGCTGCCTGGCTACGAGGCAGACGCGCGGCAAGAACGTGAGTCACACGCGCATGCGAGAAGAAACCCGCGCATGCCTGTTCAATTCACTTAGCGTGGTTAGATTAAAATGCTCGCCACTTCCTAACTAGCTTTCAAACCGCACAATTTGTTTAAAACACAAAACTCACCAGCCCACAAATAACCGCCGCAAAATTCGAATGCTCAAAATTGTAACAATACTTAATTGTGTAGCTCCGCTAAAATAGAGAGTTTCCATAGTGTAAATTAACTTTCACTGGGTTGACAACCACAACTAAGTCGTTACTTACACAGTTATGTGGCTCCACTTAATAAAAAGAGCGTTCACACTGCGCACTAACCTTCTCTAGGTCGACAGTCATAATGAAGTTGTTACTTACATACTTAGGTATGGACCTCCGCTTACTGCAACCCCTTAAACCCTAAGAGTGACTGGCATCTAATTTCTCCCGACAGTATCACCCCTGAATCACACATGAAGGTCATGAGAATAAAAGAAATGATCACCAACGAAAGAAGCTTTTGATCAGTAAACAAATTCTCCTTGCCGGCACCTTAGGAAATGTATAAAGAACAGTATGGAGAATATGCATACTGATGTTAGGGTGTAAAGGATTAACATAGAGCACGTTTAAGGTGAACACCAACCTTCTCTAGGTTCACATCCATACAGCTCCAGCTTGAGACAAGGCTCCGTGTCTTTTCTTTTACCCAATATCGGGTGTAACCGAATCAGACGAGCAGTCAGCGGCTGTGTCAAATTATTTTCCTTGGGAATAAACGCGTTTCTATTACCCTCAAATTCCTATAACAAAAGTATATGGTACAGTCAATATCTTAACATAAATTCTCCCTACAGTCTGTCACACTTTTCTTTTACTTTCATTTGGAGAATTCAGTGTCAAACTTAGCAATATTCAGATGAAGATAACTCACCGTAACCTTGCCATGGACTGTGTAGTCGAACCACTTTGAGTTGTCATAGCTGAATGTTAATTTGAATTTTTCAACGTAGTTACCATAGCCGCCCTGAGTAACCACTCCTGTGATGGTGTGGGGCGTAAGAAGATCTATTTGAATATACGGACTGTGATCTGTATCTTTTGGACACCAACCACTACCACTGGAAAGCAAAATGAAAATGTGTAACTTCAATAAGGGCTACATTCTTTTCTATAGAGCGCATTTCGACTGTGTGTCGTAAAACCAAAACCAAAGTAATCATAATGACCAATCAAAAGAAAGGGAAATACCTTTAAGAGCCAATGAGAACTTAGAGTAAAACCGACCAATCAGCCTAAAGCGCGGGAAAACGCCAGCGACCAAGTCGTGATTGCTTTCAGATTCGTATCTCATTGGGTGATTATTTTTATTTTCTTACATGTTTGATTCAGGGGCGATTTGGTGAGGAGAACCTACCTTATTTGTTACTGTTATTGGTACTGACATGACAACCATTGAAAAGAACTCGTATTTTAACTAAAACAAGAAAAAAGTGAACACTTACCCATGGAGCCTAGCTTTTGCCGGCATTGAATTGGATGTTCTGTAAGAAGAAGCAGTGATCTGTTCGTCTTTGATTTTCACTTTGCCTCCAGACTCCATTCCAAGAGCTGAGTAGCACCCTTGAACACCAAAATTAAAAAAAAAATCACCATAACAATACATCTGATACATGGATGAATCAATGGACAGTGTCACTCCATCCGTTCTTTCCAACCATCCGAATTTTAAGCTTGGAATAATCACTCTGTAAATCAACCCTGATTCACGATATCACGACGCAAATTATCCCTATCACCCCTAAGACCTAACTAGTACTTCTCTGCGCTGTTCATATACATTTCTTTTACATCTAGCTCAGAAAATTTCGTACTAAATTAAACGATTAAATCTTTACCGATCTTTTCACTTTTTCTCCCAACTTTCTGCTTGAAAATGTATCGATATCTGAGGGAGAGAGTCAATTTTGGTCACTGCTAGGAGATTACGCAAAGGCAGTGCAAGGACAAACGACTTTCAAAAAACTAAGAATAAAGGGGGTAAAGTTTCTAAAGAAACTGAGGTGCTGCGTCGGTGGGAGAGTATAGCAGGTAATTTAGAGTTAACAACTGAGTTGAAAACGTAAATTGGCCACCATAAAGAGATAAACGGCTAACGTCGCTCTGACGAAGGGCTAACGCTCTAAACGTCAGAGCGACGAAGGGCTAACGCTCGAAACGTCAGCCTTTTAACTCGATACGGTGGCCAATTTACGTTTTCAAATCAGTTGTCAACACTAGATTACCTGCTTTAAAAACTACGTCCTGCGTTAAAGACCGAACCCACATGTGTAAATACACGACATAGCAATCACCTCGAAACAATGTCCGAAAATAAATTGGCTTTAGCGAGACTAGCGAAATCCTTGCTACCTTACTTAACGATCTTAATGCAACAAAAACAATAAAAACTTAAGTTCTGATAGTTTAAAGCTGTGATTTTCATGAGCGAATTGAATACTCCATCAGAGTGGTACAAAAACAGCAAACTTGAGTAGGCGGTCTGTATAAGGCTTTACACGAAAACCCTGAAATCATCCCGTGATCTTTTAGTTTTTCACACAAATCAGAAATTTAAAAGCAACCTCAAAATTTGGTCCCTTAATTCCACAAAATCATCAGGATTTCACTCAAAAACTAATACAAATTGACCATATTTAATGATGAGGTGATGTTCCTCGGCGCACATGTAGAATTAAAAAGTATCAAGCGCCTCTAGAAGTAACAGACGAAGACTAGCATATGAAACGTACCTAACTGAGTGAAGTGGAACAAAATCACCAATGCCCCAATACGAAATGTGGCGTGAATACGAGAAAAAGCGTTCATTTTTCTTTGTTCTGCCATAATCCAAGCCGCCTATTCAAATCACATATCTGCGCGTTCTTTTGTCGAAGCGCAGAAACGAAATTTAATTTTAATAATCTTTCGCCGGAAAATACAAACATTGGGTGTGATAATGCTACGCCACTCATTGAAATGGTAATTTCGGTTTGAATGAAACAACGACACAATTTTAGGAAGGCCCTGTCAAATAAATAAGCGAAATTAGATCAAAACTTTTGATCAGTGTAATAAAATCATAAAATATTTCTCGTTAAAGAAAGCAAAGCTTGCTCGGGAGGACAAAATCGAAAATTGCAAGTATCAAAGCGAACTGATGACATTATTGTTCAGTTATCAGAAGAATGCAACACTTTTCCCAGATGTCATTTCGATGGCTTGTTTTGACTAATCTTCAACAAATAAATCCTTCCGCTTGTTCAGACTTGGTGACTATCAACAGTATCCCTTAGCTCAGCTTATCCGGTGGTTTTAGCGAGATTTTAACATTAGCATCCGCGCGCTAATAACGAACAACTCTCCTTAACCAATGTATCGTCGATAAGGGAGACACTTCATAATTTTCTCTATCGATGAACTTAGAAAATGGTCCGGGTTCTTGTTGTTGAGTACTATACGTGACTCAACAGACACGAGGAACAATGACATCACTGGAATGTTTGCTTACATCTCTCCTACTACACTGAATTTTCCAAAAGTAAAACAAACATTATGACATTATGACAGATGTCACACACGTAGATCCTGAAGGCACCATGATGTTGTTCCTAAATTTAAAAATTCTCTCCTTCCACGTGAAAACCATTACACAGCAAATATTTCTCTGAATTAGATGACCCAAATAAATATGGCTAAGTGATACTTTTGAGTATAAACAGTGACAAAAACTCCCCAGCGTTTCTGGGTTAGGTTGTAAGATGCTGGTTCACAAACTCGCGGACATATTTGTTTAGGCGTTCCTTGCCTTTAGAAACTTGAACAAACAACACGGCCTGCCGTGATAAGAGTCACACACGTAACTAGAGTCATTTCTGCCATGTTGTCAAAGAATCCTTCTCCCCACACAATGATGAAGGCGAGACCTCATTCAGTGCTTCTAATCTACTCAAGTTGACACTAGGACTCATACAACAGTTACATAGGTTTATAAGCGTAAAGGCTAAGGCAAATGGTAGATTTTTGTGATTTCCCTCTAGTCTCCAACTCATTTCTAACAATAATTTAGTACAAAAATAAAAGGCTACACTTAGTTAAAGAAAATAAGACAGAACAAACAATAAGCAAAATAACGGTCGGTCTATCATTCAGAGCTTGGCCTGAAAAATTTCACCTTGTCATTTACAATCACTGAAAATATTCTCCATCTTTGTTCCTTATTGGTCTATTATCTCATCTGTGTTTTTCTACCACTCATGTTTTTTAGAAAATTGCAATCCGTGTCAATCTTCTCAAATTCTACGCCATCTGATTGGCTAATGTAAATACTTTGGTACATTATTGAAGGTGGTTAGATGTTAACCACTGCTTTACAAAGCCAAGATATGGTAGAAGCTGTCCCTTATCATTTTGTTCACTTTGTTTCCAGCACTGTTTGGGACATGAGTAAGTTAGAGCACATGCTGCTACAGGAAAAACCATTTGTAGAAATTTCACTTTTTATTTCTTAGTCAAACAATGAAGGAAAGTGATCATTGTTTAAAATTGATATATCTAGAAGTTTCAAGGGTTTTCAAGGAAATGGGAGAATTGTGCTTTTAAGATAATTTTGATTTACTAACTAAAGAGGTTTCAGGGAAGAGTTGTTGATATTTTGTGAAGTAAGCACATATAAACATGAACCTTAAAAACAAAAACAGGTCCGACTGTATACAATAATTCTAACATAAACCTAGCTAAATGTTTCTTCATGGCATCTTAAAAATTGAGAAGTTTCATGACAGCTATACTGAAAACTCGTCTTGCATTCTATAAGCCATTCATGCATTTGTCATTGACAAATTAAGAGTGAAATATTTTGCTGAGTACATAACATCATCCCCATGTAGTGTCTCAATTCCCATAGTCATGAAGACCTACTTTTTTGCAAGAGTAAACATATATATATATATATATATAGAAATGTGGGGGTAGAGTCTACCTTGGCAAAAAGTGCTCAATGCTGTAGTAGCAGAGCTGAGCATATATAAGTGAAAGAATCAAAGAGGACGCATTGATTCTCTGTGACTCTGAGTTTTGCACCTAAGCGCTTGTCAGACAGAACTTTTGCTTGTCAGACAGTTCTGTCTGACGAGCGCTTAGGTGTGAAACTCAGAGTCACAGAGAATCAATGCGTCCTCTTTGATTCTTTCACTCATATATATATATATTATATATATATATATATATATATATATATATATATATATATATATATATATATATATATATATATATATATATGCCAGATACACTATCAGAACAGGTACATTTTAATATTTTAACAATGTGACACTCTTGATACTTTTTAAGATGCAGGTGCATAAGATTTTGTCTTAGATAAAAGCCTTTATACTTAATCGTCTAGCCTGTATATCATATCGGAAGCACTCTGGTTAAGAAAACAATGAGCATAGGGATCATGCATATCCAAACTTTTCCAGAACTCACAATCTATTGGAGAATTCCTACATTTCTTTTTGTTTCCTTTCCTTTTTTTAATTATGGATATGTATAGCTTAGGAAAAAAATAGTTGTGGAGATTTCACATGCAAATTTTTGGGCATTAGCACAGCTTTCTAAGAAGAGCATGCATCTTATCAAAGATGGTGCAATGATTGTTAAGTATGGGAGATCGATAAAAGAGGACTTGTGAGGATGAAAGCTTGTTTCTGTTTCTTGGAATTATGGGATCAATGGCTTTTAGAACAATTACTTTACATTCTTATCTTATTCTGCACTGCATATTGACAAGGGCACCACAGTGTCACTGATTTCACCAACTGACCAACCCATTAGATGAGGTGGAGGGAAATGGGAAATGAAACATCTCATACAAAAACAATGAAAGATAAAACTATATAGAATGTTTTGTTCTATATTTTTCCCAAGGCTTCACCTATTTGCTATGTTCCCATTCACTTTTCACAGTAGTACATTTTGTCATCAGAACAAGAGAAGGAGCCAAGGAAAAGACAGGAAATTGGGAGGAAAATAATTTAAATGTTGCAGTTAATTACAAAAAATAATGAAGGTAAAATGAACCCCCCCAGCCCAAAACAAAAAATTCACACATAATTCAAGTGTGTGCGGCTGTGACAACCTTTCCTCTAAAAATCATTTCTTCTGTAATAGTTTGTGAAGCATACCACTTTTTTTTCAACAGTACCTGGCTGGGTGCCAAACACTGGTTCAATGTTTTCAAGCACATTTCCTATCTTTTGTATGCTATGGAAAATTGAGAGCTTCCCTTTACTAAATAACAAGACTGTCATGTCATCATTGGGGGTACTCTCTAAGTTGCCATTTGGGGTAAAAAATTTCACAATAGGTATGAATAATTTCTCATCAGATATACAATGCATTTAAGAATGAATTTATAGCAGTAGAGTAACAAGTGTCTGGAATAAATTTTTTTTCAACATGAAAGTTTCAAATGGGACAAACATCTGCTTCAGATAATCATGTAGATGTTGCACGGCTTACTAGAAGAGTACTACGAGCATTTGTTTTGCAGCATTCAAGACAGATAACTTACCCATAAGAAACAACATCAAAACATTTTTTTGGGGACATAAAAAATTGTACAAAACCAGTTTCAACAAATAATGCAAAAAACCAGACGGTGCAAATTAATTCATTCAAAACAACGTGGAAGACAAAATGAGACATACAAAGCCGATAAATCTAATTAGATAATTTTGCTCTGGATTTCAATAGGTGTCTATTTTCTCTTAGCTTTGTTCTTGATAAAATACCAATTATTCTGGGTGGGTCCCTTCGAAAATGTGAAATTTGTCTAAACGAAATATCAAACTACTAGGGCGCAAAGTTTTGTTTACGCATTTCATTTCAAAGCACCCGGCAAGTTTTCCAGCCGAAATAAATTTCATAAGCTCCTTAGATTTTGTGTTTTTATTTAAAAAGGCCGACAATGGGTCAATGACTTAAAATAACAGTGACTAATAAAAGCATATTTGCCGTGTTTTAAATTTTCTGTTTTCCCTTGCGGAGGGCCGGCGATCTGAGCTCACTTTTGAGTTAAACTGAAAACCATTCCAACACGGGTGAAAATAACTTCTTATATGAATCGAACGAAGCAGAAGTCCCAGTCTTTCTAGATTACAAGAAGGAAAGTTTGATTTTTAAGGAACAAAAGATAAAGCGAAAAACAATACCTTCCGCAACACCAGCATCCCACACAAATAAAAATGGACAAAGCGCAGAGCGAAATTTGTGAAACAATTTCACAAAAATTCGCAGAAACGAAATTTCAACATCTAAGAGCAAGAGCAAGTTTCAAAACATTCTGTTTTACAACTGGCCTTAGCAAGCTAGCAATAACGATAGTTCTGTTGATAATAACAGCGAGTCAAATTTTCCCGGATTCCATCTCGCGCGAGAAAGACAACATTTTCTCACGAGATTGTCGCAAAGACTTATTAAGATTTTAGACAAATAAGCTAACCCACTGGAAAAACCCACTGTATTAAGCACAATGAACGAAGTAAATAAACGCTCGAAAAAGTGAAAGCTAATTTCCTAATAGCAAAAAGCAAATATTTGAACAGATTACTACAGAACAGACACACGGTGTGAAAAAAATTACGCCAGAAGAAAATATGCTTTAATTTTCAGTCACACATGTACAAAAGATCAAAAAATGAATTATTGAATGCTCACTTATCTTAAAGTTGAATTTAAACCGACCTTTCACACGAATATGTACATATGTCGGAAATAAGAAAATATTTTCGCTTTTAAGCTATGTTGCAGCACATGACCTGAAG